AAAAAAAAAAAAAAAAAAAAGGAAAGAAAAGAAACACAACATCATTGCGAAGGGCTATGCTGATGATTCGCCGGGGCAAACGTAGCCTGGGGATCCCAATCACGCCCTTGTGATGCGCTGGGTGGCCGAGGCGAGGAGAAACTCATCGACGGCCGCACGTACCGCGCCTCGCGTCCGTAGTGGCTCCCCTCGGGGCTCATGGTGCGCGCAACGCTACGTGCAACGCTGGGCGCCCGGGCGATAGGTTCCGGGGACTTGCATGATTGCAGTCCCGTGCTTTCGAGCATCTCGTAGGTTCGAGTGTCAGGGGTTTTCGTGCGCGCATCCACAGAGACGAACTCCTGGTTTCGGCCGAATTTCAGTTTGAAGAACTCGGCCCATCCGAGGAACATCGAGGGTCGGGCGAACAGGATGAAGTTCCACAGACCAACCAGCGATAGCAGGATTAATAATGCCAGGATTGTACTCTCGCCGGGTCCGATGCTGAGGGCCTCCTTGCGGCATTTCTTCCGGTCGCCCTTAGTGTCTATCAGACATGCAAGCCACGGCTGGGCCCTTTCTAGGTTTTCGTGCGTCATATTCATCTTGTTGTCGATCTGGATGAAGACCACAGCGAAGAAGATGACATTGCCGATGATGATCAAGACCAGGGCCACCCCCCGCCACTGTAACTGGAGGACGCGGCGGATGCGTCGGTATGCCTGGCGCGCGGTGACGGTCCGGATACTGGACGTATACGATGGCAGACGGGAACTGTTGGTGCTCGAATCGTTGTTGGTGTCAAAGATAGATTTCACATAGACATGGATACAATAGGCCATCGTGGCAAGTTGCAAAACCAGCGATGCTGCGGCAAAGGCCATGATCGGGGCCCAGTAATCCTTGGTTCCATATTTGATGTTGATATGGCACATGTCCCCAAAGCGAAAGGAGACTCCCGTCAGGATGAGCATCACCGTGATGCCAATGCCGGGGATGCCCCAGCCGCAAATGAAAGCCCCCCACATAAACTTGTTGCCAAGGATCACCTCCCAGCAGACTTGGAGGTGAAAAGCAAGGGTACGGATGAAACCTGCAACGGTCAGTCGGGGCAAGAAGATGTTGGCTCTCGGGGGGGAAAAAAAAAAGAAAAAAAAAAAAAAAAAAAAAAACGTACTCCACGTAACTACGGCCCAGCCTCCGAAGAGGAGTAAAGTCCCGGACCATGCGCAGGAAAGATTCGAACGCATATCATTGGGCGTAATTGGATTGTAGCATTGGTCAGGTTTAGCCCCGATAGGAATAATGAATGCAACCTGGAGGGTCAGCCAATCCCCCACCACACGTAAGACCGTCCAAGAGCCGCATACCTCCATACAGCAGATTCCTAGAGTAAAGCAGATACTCAGGTAATGACGATGCGTCCATTTTGCTGGAAGGACTGCATAAGAGACGAGGAGGAAGATACAAAGGGGCAAGACTGCGACACTCAGCCAACTCGCAGCGTTCGCCTTCGTCGTGATGTCTACCGGGGTCGACCACGTTAGAGAAGCTGGGCGTAGAGCCGGTGTGGATAGATATGACTCACCCTCTCCATAAATCCAGTCCGCCAAGGGACATGGCATACAGCAAGAGGTACTACCGATCTTCGAACAATACCGTCCTTCGATATCTATGAACCCGGCCGGTTAGCCCCTCCACGGCCAGTAAACCCAAGATCAAAAGAGAACATACATCCGCCGTGGGATGGAAAGAGAGACTCCTGGAAGAATGGGGCGGGGCAGAGCCCGTGCAATGCCTGATTTGTCATTTGTGATTTTTATTATGTTGTTTCGGAGTGTGGTGTTGTATGCGACAGGTGGAGTGCGAGGGTCATATCCCCTGGAAGACGGGCGACACAGGCACTCGAGAATGCGACTCTAAGAAAGCTTCCCGAGTGTGATACCCCACGGAGAGGCTCACCGTCGCGCAACGACAGCAATGAGCAGGAAAAGGGAACTATATCACCAAAAAAAAAATCACTGGGGTAGTGGTCGGGGTGAAAAGGCCAGGGAAGGCAGAGCGAAGGGGGGCAATAAGTCAGATATAGTTAGAATTAGCTGATGAGCCATCGTAGTGCCTCTCCGGTCCTAGCCAGAAGTCCCAATCGCTTGAAGGGAACACAATTTCTAGTGGACTGACTGGGGGGGGGTAAGGGAGGGTCCGTTCACCAGAGACACAACTGCCCCCGTCGAACCTCCGGATTCTGATTGGATGCCTGGATTGTTGGAAGAGAGACTGGAACGAAGCTCCAGGATAAGCTTGGCACCAAAGGGGAAGTAAGGGTGGGGATGAGACGCAGAGAACGAGGATCCAAGAAAAAGGCTCTAGGCTGGAGAGGAAACGGTATGCAAAGCGGGGAAAGATATTGGTTAATTTTACTGACACGAGGGTTGGTATCGTATTCTAGCCTCGATGGGGAAATTTTACAGATGACTTTATTTATTACTAGGTGGATTTTCTTTTATTTATTTTCCTCTTTCTTTTGGGAGAGGCGAAGTACCGGCACATCTCCACTTCAATGTTGGACCTTACTCCTCATTAATCTGAAATGGGGGAAAGAAAGGTAGTAATTATAGAAACTAATCGTAGCCCTAAATCGGTCGTGTGTCAAGTTCTGCTTAACCCATGGTTACTCCCGTTCCGGACAGGCAGACAACTTCCCGTCAACCTGATACAAAAGACGACTCCATCCATCGGTCTCAAATATGAGTAGGAGTTTCGAAGTATAGGAAAGGAATCAATTCCGTACGGAGTTCAATGTTTTAGTTCTCTCTCCCTTTGACTTAGTCGTCGACAACCCTTGCGCTTGGACTGCTTTCTAGGGTTCGGCCTAACCCTAGGTACGGCCAAGTATTATTAGCCCGTAACAACCTTGCATAGATTCCGACATATACATACATACATCGTTAGTCTAAAGCGAGCGTGGCGAAAATAAAATGGGACAAATAAGATTTATATTATGTACACACTTCCTGTGTCCAACCAATAGTTCCATTTTTTTTTTTGACCCTGGAGCCCAAGTCTGCACAGTGTACATTGGGATAGAGATAGTAGTTAGTGAACCTTGGTCTACGGCAAATGGACCGTCAAGTACCGTGGACCACCAGAGGACGGGGTCACTTCTCTCCCTTCCAGACCTGCATCATCCTAAACAACTAAATAACTAAAATAAATATTAACCGATAGACTTTCCTCGTCCCACTAAGGTCGCATCTGCTCCAAAATTTTTCATCTTTCCACGCATCGGAGGGCCGATCTCTCGATTTTGAGTTCGCCGGACTGCCTCGTCATTTGTCTCCCCCTGGTACCTGCACAATGCATGAATGGCTGCAGGAGAAGTTTTTGGCTGACTCTCTCTAGTAATTTTCCTCTTTTTTGTCGTTTTAGGACTAGGAACGACTTCCCCTCCTTCTCTATTTTATTTATTTATTGACATTTTAATTTATATTGTTACCCTTTCCTCGCATCTTCCGTCACATCCTGTCGTAGTATTCTAGTGGGATCTCTGAGTAATGATTGTCCCGACCGGCTGGGAAATGGAATTGGCTTACGTCGAACATGACACCGTCCATCCTGCTCCGTTACTCTAAAAGTATCCACCGTTCAAATCCTACCTGTTGGATCCGGCCAATGACCTTCCCCGGTCACGTTCTCATCAGGTCTCTAGAGCCTCACCGCGATCCCTCAAGTAAGACACGGAGCACGCAGTGTCCACGGTACGTAGAGCGCACGTATCCAGAGTTCAAACGACCTAGGGGGGTTTCGACCTGCCTTTCTCGGCCACGAACCCATCCCCAACACTGATCGACGCGGTGGGAACCTTACACCACGGGCTGACAGCCCTCCTGATCGTCACGGAATAATGGATAATCACGGCAATTGGAGGTTTTCCCTCCAGCTAAGAACCTTTTCCGCCGCGGGATTTAGCTGCGATTGTATCAAGGTTCTGCCTTAGCTACGAACCGCGGTGACGATCTAGATCAATAGTCTCTGTTTGACGGGATGTCACGGTGTACTCTTTCTTTTTTTTTTTTTTTTTTTTTTTTTTTTTTTTTTTTTTTTTTTTTCTTCTTAATTTTTAGGGTATGAATGGAGACAGTCAGCAGGCCGAGCCCATAGTCGATATTTTGCGATAGAGATGGAGTATCCAGCTATGATCTTAAAACCTGTCGGTTATACGTATGCAGTGCTTCGTGTGTTATAAAATAGTAGACTTGTTCCACGTGGAGCCCTTTCTTATTGCGGTATCAACCATGTTATGCAGAATATACCAGGGATGCTAGAACTATATCCATTTCCCGTTTCCTTTTTCTTTTTTTGTTCTGATTTGGTTGGAATGAACCTTGGTCAACTCTACGATGCTGCAAAATTCAGTTACAACGCCGGGAACTATAATTTGCGGCCCTCAAAGTTTGGCGTGGAACTTTCCACTGAAGAATCCACGGCGTTATACCCGTTTCCTTTTCACCCTCTGCCTCACTTAACTATATCCAGTAAGTTAGATCCGAACGATGAGACACCGGCGCTGCTGCACCGAAATTTTCTCCTCGTCTTCTTCTTCTCCTCTGCTCATCTAGATAGGGGGATTCACTCAGATACCAGGTTGGCCGATAAGAGTTGATACCAGCCACGGCGCCTTTGTCAGGAAGCCACTGACGAATAGTGCATTTGTCGCCTTCGTTCATCTATGCCAGTCGGGGAATTTAGCCTCTCAGCCCATTGACTGGATTGAGACAGGTACAGGGAAGGAAGTCACACGAGTATCTAAATTGTACGACTTGGTAATCAGATAGAGATGCGGTAAAGAGTTAAGGTGGTCATCTGTCAAACAATATATAAATATATAAGCTAAATTTTGTAGTTTACATCTATTTACACTTCTCTTCATCTACAATTTTATATTTTATACAAATTTACCATGATCCCCGGTTATCGGAGCACGTAGCCAGGGTCTATATCAACGACAGAAAAACAAAACAAAAAAAAAAAAAAGAAAAAAGAAAAGAAAAGAAACAGTACTGGAGGATCGCTATCCTCTATCTATCTTTCGTATCACCGTCTCCCGACATGGATTCCTGGACATACGAAACCATCCTTAACTCAAAATGCGACCCTGTACCTGAATGCTATCCTGGCTTGGCCCCTTCAAAAGGGCTCAATACCCGAGATTTGTGTCACCGTCAGTGCTCCAACAAATGAATTAAGAAGATTCGCTAACGAGGCAATGCACCAGTCGGGGAATCGGAGAATCGCCGGAGAGATCGAGACCTTTCTCAACAGGCGATCTCCATTCGCCTGCGCGTTCACTCAAACCGTGCTACCACGAGAGCAAAGTATGCCGCACGGTCGATCATCCACGATGTGTATGGTTGATTTATGCTTGGGAATACATCCAATCGGGAAGCGTTGCCCCGTGGTGAGAGTGACCGTGGCGAGGTTGACATTGCGGCACAGGCAACCTCGTGCGCTTCATAGGCCCGTCGCTAAATGCGCAGCTGGACTGCGGTAAAGCTGCTTCTTTGTCACTTTGTCTGTGCTCCATCCATCCGCGCGCAGTTTATCACTCTAGCTCTCCATGAGTGATCGAATCACCGCTTAGTTTTAGCCACATACTTCCGCTCCTGTCTACCAGCGGCTTATCTGCATCTAGTTTCCAAAAAGTCCTTTGCTGACGGTGACCCTGCGATGGGCTGACCGTCCTGGTTCGAGATCACGCCACAAAGGGAAGGCATCGCGATGAAGAATGCTTCCTCTTCCCACCTCTCGACATTGGTCGAGCTGCGGGAAACGAGGTCTTTACCCCTCCTCAATCCACCGCGCGCCCCATCGCAAATACGTCTATCTGTCCAAGGGCATTCGCATATATCTCCTCCAGGCCCCAATGCAGCCAGAACCCACACGATTGAAACGCCGCACAACTTTGCGGCGCACAATGCGATTGTGCTCAAAATGCCGCACGCGGTGGATGATAGTATTTCTCCCTCCAGACTCCACCCGGGCAATCTTTCGGGTTCCGCGGGACAAGTCGACTTTGCAGTTGACGTGCATGTTCCCGTATAGCTTACTTCCGAGAGACCCTTTGAACAGCGGTGTGATGCGCCTGCATCGGTTTTGATCGCTATCGGCGATCTTCCGTCCTTCTCTTTCCTTCTTTTCTACGCCACTCTGTGGGTATCCTGATATTTGATGTATTTTGTGGTATATCGTCGACGTAAGATTTATCCTGATATAAGCGATGCGTGACACCTACGCCGACGTAGGATGTGCAACGCAACCGAATGGAGCCTTGCGCTCTTGCAAGGCTCACCGCGATCATTGTTTTGGGGTAATTGACACTGCGTAATCGCTGACCAGTCGCTGGTCCGTTCGAACTACAAAGTACTAGCCGTACTGGATGGTGGGATCTACATGTTTCCTACGCCAGTAGTGATACGGACACGTACAACTGGATGATACAGGTATAATTTCATTCATATTATTTTTGAGCTTGTAGCTTCATTCTCCACTAGCAGTATGTTCTCAAGCCGAAGATACCTAAATATCGCAATAGTCAGCAGATGTTCGGATGCATCATTGCAAGATACGTAGAGCGATATAAATGGGATCAGAAGTCCATTCCATTCATTGAACAGGCTACGAGAACCTGCCCTAAAATAAGAGGTACCAGAAAAATAATAAAGGTTGCGTTTCATCATGTGAAGTAGGGGAGACGAGAAACATCGGAAATACTAACCAGTAGATATCTCCTAGATATATAAATATAAGAGCATCATGAAGCTCTTGAGTCGTAAAAACCGGCAGAAAAATTAGGTGAGGGAAGGGAAAAACCACCAGCGAGAACCAAAGCAAGCAAAGAAAAAGGGAAACCCGACGAGCCTTAAAACTAAGCGAGGTGCATCCGCACCACGTGACCCCACAAACCCGCGGCCACACCGCCTTCAATCATTTCGTCGTCTTCAAACTTGGTGGAATTTTCATTCTTTTGTCTCCGCGCAGCTCAACACCGTCGTCGACAACTAATCCGACAAAACAGCCACCTTCATTCAAAATGGGTCGTCTTCACTCCAAGGGAAAGGGCATTTCTGCCTCCGCTCTGCCTTACTCTCGCTCTGCCCCCTCCTGGCTCAAGACCACCCGTGAGTACCACCGTCGCATCTGGACTCTCGACATATTCGCCTGATACTAACTCCGTCCCAGCTGAGCAAGTTGTCGACCAGATCTGCAAGCTCGCCAAGAAGGGTGCTACCCCCTCCCAGATCGGTGTCGTCCTCCGTGACTCCCACGGTGTTGCCCAGGTCAAGCACGTCACCGGTATGTTCATTGGTCCCAATTGCATCTTAAGAATCCGATCAAAAACCTAACAGAGATCGAATAGGTAACAAGATTCTCCGTATCTTGAAGTCCAACGGTACGCCACTACCCCTCCCCCAAACCCCTCCATAAAGAAAAGAAGGAAAGGAAATGGCCGAACGCGAGTCGAGAGCAGCAGCTTGAGAAAGTTTGCCGCGCCTTGACCCGTTCTCCAGATCCGAAATTTCCCAAATTATGCCTCTGCTTGGTCATACAAGGCTGACAGAGTGATTTTTCAGGCCTCGCTCCCGAGCTCCCCGAGGATCTGTACCACCTCATCAAGAAGGCTGTTGCCGTCCGCAAGCACCTTGAGCGCAACCGCAAGGACAAGGACAGCAAGTTCCGTCTCATTCTCATTGAGTCTCGTATCCACCGTCTGTCTCGTTACTACAAGTCCGTCGGTGTTCTGCCCCCCACCTGGCGTTACGAGTCCGCCACCGCCTCCACCCTCGTTGCTTAAGTGATTCTTTCGTCTTCACGGTACCTGGGTTGGTTGGTGAGTTGGCCGGAATTGTAGTCCTCGTTGTCTTCTTTCTTACCCTGAGAATGGGTGGGTTTTGAAAATCGTCTAGTGTTGGTTTGTGGCGGGCATTAGATGGTGGATGGATTATATCCTGTCGTCGACTAGAAAATTAAAAGAACTTTTCGTGACCATTTTTTTTTCTTCTGGTCCTTTACTTAAAAAAAATTCTCGTGTAGATGATGGATGGTATATCACTGCAGAGATCTATATGATCCCTCTGAAATTGTAGTCGTATGTATGTAATGGTATAATATCAATATGGCACTACAATCCGTATCTGTACGACACAATATATACATACCACTATCCCATTTATATTATACACGTCTTACCTCCCTTGCAACCGCATTACACAACTCAACCCTCACCCCAGCACCTCCCAACACGTGAATCCACAATCGCTGCGTATCACTCAACCGATCATTCTCACTCTTCACCTCCACAAACATCACCTCCCGACTCTCCGTCCGCCACAGAAACAGATCTGGAATCCCTCCCCCGCGCTGCTGGTACTCCTGCGCCAACACCTGGCAGATGGCCGCGAGCGCCTCACCCCGGAAGCACCGCACGATGTCGACGAGGTCATCCAGCTCGAAGCTCCAGTCGATGCCGATGGCGCAGGGTTCTCGGGGGGATTCGCGGGCGTGCACGGCCCGGACGATGCGCTCGGATTCACCGTTGGTGATTTCTACGAGGCGGTGGTTGATTTCCGATGCGCGGGTGGCGTAGAAGGAGTCTGTGTGGAGGTCTAAGGGGCAGGTTTGGAAGGGGGTTTGGAAGACGTTGGGGACGTAGGTGAAGAGGATATCGTAGAAGAGGTAGCTGAACTGGCTTTGTCGTTAGGGGATGGGAACATGGAAGACCAGGGAAGTAAGCAAGTGTAACCTACCAGAGTCCGGACAATTCCTCCCTCGGAATGATACCCCTTCCAGCCCTGGTCACGATACCAGCTCAAGCACATGCTTTCCACCCGGCATTCGCCGCCGTCTCGCTCGTCAAGCCAGACGGTCGGTCGACCGCGCCGGGACGTCGCGTCGTCTTGTTGTGCGCTGGGCGAATTCTCGCGGTCGATGCGGATGCCCTCGACAATCCGTCCTGCGGGTTTGGCGAGCATGACGTGGCTGAAATCGTGCTGCTCCCGTTTGACCACCTTGAGCGCTTTCTCGAGCTTCATGATCCGTTTCTGGAGATCGTGGTGCGAGATCAAGTGGCAGTCCGGGTCTTGGAGGCCCTCTTCACAGGTTTGCAGGGCAATTCGTCGCCAGTGTTTCCGTTGGGCTTCTTCGCTGCGTCCGTCGGATGGCATCAGGGCCCACATGTAGTGTTCTTCCAGGAGCGCCTTGCGCTGGTACCATGAGCCGCGTCGCGCGGCGTGGAAGAGGCGCTGGCCCAGCAATTCAGATAGGAGACTATGCTCTTCTTTATACGCCTTGAACCGGCCGAGCGGGTAGAGACCCTTGTGAATGATTCTGGTATAGACCCAAGCGGGTGAGAACCGACGGAGGTAAGCGCCCTCCCCCCTCTCGTACACGGAGTCCTCTTTTCGCTGCTCTTGCTCAAGCAGGATCTTCCATCGGGGGTGAACCTTGTACGCGAGATCTCGGATCTGCTCCAGCGACTCCACAGTGGGCGTCCCGCTGAACTCGAGGACGCTATCTATCTGGAACTGCGTTCGGAGGGCCGCTTCGAACTCCAGCAAGAACTCTCTCGACGGGAAGATCGAACTCGACCGACAAACGACATATTCGGGAAAATTCTTCCGCGAGGTCTTCGCCAGGATGATGGTGGTGAGGGATTTCTCCGTCCACTCGGTCGACCTATAAAAGACAAGATGGACGCGCTCGAAGAGGGCCCGCGGGCCCGAGGCAAGTCGGATACAATCGCCCGTGTAGTCGAGGATCTTCTGGATGAAGTGTCCGTCCCGGTTGGCGGTCGCTTTGCTGGTCCAGTCGAGTCCGGTTTGTTGCTGGCTGACGCGGTGCAGGGCTGTCAGGAGCTCTTTCTTACTTTTACCCTGTACTTTGGCGTCTTTGGCGATGGTCTTGAGCTCATCTAGGAGGAGCAGTGATGAGGCCTCTTCGAGAGTGGTGATCTCTTCTGTTTTGTCGGCGAAGCGGAACTCGCTGCCGAGATTAATGGCATCTGGGTTTTCGATACCGGCGGGGGTTTCGCCCGCTGGCCTTGAGCTGACTGGGAGACTCCGGTCCCGCTGGAGGTCGTCTACTACGGAAGATAGATCCGAGATATCGGAGTAGTACCCCAGTCGATTGATCCGGTGCCACGCTGAGGTCTTACGGAGGAAAAGTCGCACGTAGCTAGTTCCGTCAGCATGCGAACCGAGACTTAGTGGTTGACACGCTCACGTACAGATACTGTGACTCGTACGGCAGCTCCTTCCACTGTGTGAAGACCTCCATTTCCGCCTCGTCGAATAAATGCGCCTCCTCATCTAGCACAGTCTCCAGCGCTAGGTTGAACGCATCCACGTAGATGGAGCTCTTCCCTTTTCGCCACTTGCCATTTTGCAATCGCTCCTGTAGTCCAGATTCCTCTTCTTCATGATCTACGATGGCTTGAGAAGACTCGTACTCCTCAATTGCATGACTATCCGTGTCGATGGCGGGGAGCGACGACTCGAGCTCCGTCTGGCTAGCAGGAAAGGGGAGATCGTTTTGTGCAGGGTCTTGGTCTATGTACGGTGTATATACCGGAGACGAGATGTCTAAGTTAGTGAAAGGTGTGCCCGGGGTCTCTGGCGTCTCCACATCAGTTCTATCCGTGTTAGCAACGACGTCGTTCTGACTCGGAGTATCAATTTTTCTGCGCTTCACGGACGGCCGCAGGGTGTCCCAGTAGTCCAACAGGGACATGCTGCCAGGGGCGAATGGATACGCATGAGAATATCCAAACCAAACCCAGAAAACCCCTCTTTCTATGTAATAATCGAACAAGCATGTTCACTCAAAAGACAAGACTCGCCGTCACGAAACCCGACACGAGATCACATGACCTTAATAGGGATTTGCATCGTTTGCACCCCCCAATCCATATCATCGAGAAGCAGACTAACAGGTAAGAGTAATCAAATCAATTTAACGTCCAGTCCAAACAACCCCCTCGAAGAAAGAAAGAAATTTCCATTCAAATAACTCTCCAGGTCACTGCGATTCTCCAAACGAATCCCATCATGGCCGACGTCCCAGTGAGTGAAAACCCACTCCATCCCATTCCCTCCCTTACGCACATACCATGGCAATCCCCACAGTGGAGAGAGACAGAGTAGAGCTTCCGCCACAAGTTTTAGAAGCTCCACGAAAGAACTCCGCGCAATTTCTTTTCCCAATGATCGATCACCTCACATTTCACTGCTAGTATCTGGCAATTGCACTTGTGAACTACACTACACTACACTACACTACACCTTCCTTGGCTTAATCTATCTATCCACTTGATAACACACAACTCCAATATCACGGAAACATTGAAAGACGTCATATCCAAAAACCAAACCCTCTCCCAAATATTTTCTTAACGGAAAATAAAAAAACACAGTCTCCCATCCCGCCCTCCTTCAAAGACTCCCCCTCCAACGCCATGGCCAACGATTCCACCCCCAACAGCGCAGCCGCGAACACCCCCACCGCCGAATCGAACATCCCCGTCCCCAACGTCCGGCCCGGGGGTGCCCCAGCCCGAGTCTACATGAATGAGAAGATTGTGCCGTATCTCCTGGAGGGAATGAAGAGTGTGACGAAGGAACAGTGAGTCGAGTTCTTTCTCTATCCGTGTTTATAAGGAGAGTGTTGACAAGATGGGGCGGGATGATATTAGACCTCCGAATCCGCTGCGTGTGCTGGGCGAATTCCTTATTCAGAAGAGTAACGAGGTGGAAGGTGGTGGTAAATCTCCTGAGTAGATTGTGGGGATGGACTTGGGGTTTGGAGTGGGATGCGGCCTGGGTTGGGATTTGTTTCCTCCTGCTTAGGTCGGGGGCGCTTGTCTGAGTGATTGGTTAGCTGGGATGCTGTGCGCTAGGTATCATGGATGGATTTATATTGGATGGGTGAGGCAGTGGAATTGGTTGAGGGTTGTGAAGCTTGAAGGTTGGGTCGTTTGTGGTGTTCATGGGATTGGATTGGGTTTACGGCTTGGACTTGGAACTTGAGCTTTCGGGCTGATTTTACTTGGGATTTTTGAGAGTTTATGATACCATTTTTGTAGTTTTTATTAGATATGGCAAATATATAAAAGTTCGCTTGTTTGGCTGTGTTTTATGTGCGATGTGATGTTTTGTGTAGGTTGGCTATATGATTGTCTTTACTATATATTTTCATGCACTTGATAAAACGTCAGGATCATTCTAACCACCCACTAGTTAATATTCACCCACTTGCTGTTATAGCAATATAGACCACTAGCTCCACATAACGAGTAGTAAATATTTCAAATCAATTCTCAGGAGGATATATTCTTCTCAGCCACATCCAGTATATCAAACACTCTATCTACATCAAGGGAGATCAAGCCCCTTACCTCCATCAAAAGCTCGTTGATCCTTGCCCAAAGCTCGCAAGCACGAAAATCAACCTCCCCAATTTGCAAACCATCCCCGATAACCAACCCTCTCCCATCCTCCCCGAAAACCGGCCACCGCACCGACGGCTCCCCTTTCTCCGCCATGGATCTCCACAGCCCCATCAGCCCGCTTGCAAGCCCGTACTCCGTAGTCGTAGCATTACAGCTCCCATCGGGAACAGGCTGATGGGCCAGATTGCCAAAAATAAGCGGGATCTCCGCGGTATGTGTCGCGCCCAGGGTTGAGATGGCTTCGGGAGGGATACTCTCCAACCAGGCGCAAGAAGGGGTGTGTTGGAACTCGTAGGCTCAGACCGGGATACTGTTGTTAGAGGCTTGGATTAGGGCGCGGTGGGTGGGGCACTTGTAGGCTGGGTCTGTCATTACGGTTGAAATTGCGGCGATGGCTGGGAAGGTGGTTGAGCTGAAGAGCGAAAGTGGATAGTACTTTTTGATGACCGGGGCGAGTTTGGGACCGAAGTTTTGAGTTAAGAAGGCGTTGTAGGCTGTGCTATTTGCGGAGCCGAGGTCTGGGGCAAATTGAGCAGAGGCGAAGATTGTGCCTTCGCGCTGGGCTGGGGAGTGTTAGTTTGAAGGATGGGTAGTGGGTGGGGGGTTGCAGTGATGACTTACCGAAGCCGAAAACGGTTGGGACCTGGACTCGGTGGTGGGAAGGCTGCGCGGGGATTACTTTGCCATCGTGATGGGGGTAGAAGACGTGGCTTTCTGGGCTGACAATGCCTATAGCATCGGCTGCACCTAGGCCCTGAGATAGGAAGGGGTTTGTTTTGTAGGCATTTTGGAGGCTAGAAATTGATTTTGACTGGAGACATGTCCGCTATAGAGGGGTGTTAGCTGGGGTGAAGTGAGCTTGGGAACATTGCAATTCAACCTACATCTGTAGCCTTACAGGAAAGCCTTTGGGCGACGGAGTCCCCGACGCGTTGCGCCGTGGAGTTGAAGAGCACGTCTCTGCCGCCACCGGATTCCGTGATGGCCGCGTTAATCAAACTAGGTGCCTGTGGCAGAGTCGCGATGATGAAGGCATTCACCGCGCCGGCGGATTGTCCGAAGAGGAGGACCTTTTTCTGTTATCATCTGGTCAGCCCTTGTTCAATACCAACGTAGGTATGTATATACCCACCGGATCGCCGCCAAAAGCTCCTATATTCTCTCTGACCCACTCCAGCCCGAGCAAGATATCCTGGATTCCCTGATTACCCTCAAAGCCAGCTGCGCTCAATGCCAAAAACCCCAACGGCCCCAGCCAATAGTTGACGGAGACTAGGATGGCCCCCATCTCGCGCGACATTACACCCATCGTACAGCGGGTTGGAGATCCCGCCATTTGTCTCAGACCCGCCGTATATCCAGACTTGAACGGGGAGCCCGGAGGTCTTTGTGGCGTTCGCTGGTGTCCAGATGTTCAGATATAGGCTTTTGGATTCGTGTTAGCGGGTACATACATGTAGTATGGCAAAGGTGTTTTAGAACTCACCAATCCTCGGAAGTAGGACCCGTCTCGGCGAATAGATCCCCGAACTGAATGCAGGCCGGAGGTGGCTTCGTGGCGTGCAGGGTCCCGTTTGGAAAGTGGCCATTGTATGCTACTGGGGCAGCGAAGCGGCGGTTCCCAACGGGGGGCCTGGCGTAGGGAATTGCCTTGTAGTAGATTGCATCGGGAGTACCGGTACAGCGGCCACCTTGGACGGTTCCCGCATTAATCGTCGCTGTAGGAGCTGAGATGGCGGCCGTCAGGGGAAGGGCTGCCAGACAGACCCGCGGTTACTAATTTCGCGAACATCATCGGTCACTAAATAGCAGAAGAAGAGGTTGAGAGCCCCTCAGAATCGTGTTATACAGTCAAGAGGTAAGACTGATTTCCAGGCATCATTTGGCCCCCAAGCTTACAGTAAGCCTCCCGACGCGGCAAGGCTTGGTTCGCAGGTGTGAATGAATGGAGAATGTAAGGGGGGAAAGAACTGTTTCTATTTCTACATAACAATGGGGTTACGCCCATAGCTGTAACCAAGACCTGGTCTGCATAGCAGTCTGTTAGTGACTCGACAGGAAGACCACCAAGCAACAAGTCATGACGAATGGGGCAGCACACTCCCTCGAAAAATGAAATGTCCCTTTTCCATAGGTTAGCCCGGACCGCGACGATCATAGAACCTACCGCGAGAGAATGAGGGAACAAGGATCAGCGGCCGATAGAAATTACGTCGACAGATTGTTCGCTCACGCGCGATCTAGACGCGTACAGCAACTTCGCTCGTACTGGCGAGACTACAGGCACGCAAGCAACCCGATGGCGGAACTGGCGGATCATGGCTGAACTCCGTTCAACTGCTTGTGTCCTCAGGAGGGGCGTGGAGAGAGAAATTGTGCATGGCAAGATGAATATTATGTCTTTCTTCTGGCCGTATACAGATCGAACAGTCGTTACGTATAAAAGGTTGAATAAGACGCAACAAGGCGAAAAGCTGACTAGCGAGATAACGACCAATTTCCGGAAGAGTTGCAATGTAGAAGTGCTGAGATCCATCTGACAATCCGAGGAATTACAACGTTAAGGTAAATATCATGTCTTTTTTTTCCCTTTTCCCTGCCGCCAAATTTGTCCGGTGTTTCGAGCGAATCAACAAAAGAAAAATCCAGCTAGCGACCGCAGACCGACGACACAGAGTATCTTGTGCTTCCCTTTTCTTTTTTTTTCTTCTTTTCTTTTTCTCCGACATGGTGGAAAGGTCGCAGAACTGATGGCGTACCGATTTTTGCGTAGAAGACAAGAAGTAAGTGCGCAGACGACTTTTTCCGATGAAAAATCACGAACAACATAAACCGACATTCCACCGTGGCCCGTCGAGCTCATTCCCCATCGGTTGTGGGTATTGAATCAAGGAAAACCATCCCAAGGAATGGGGATGAGTGATGGAATGTGTCACAAAACAAGGGCAGGGGGTAACAAAAGAAACGCAAAGGGGAAGAAGCCTAGACAGAAGACTAGAGAATGGGGAGAGAATTACGTGCCATAACCCTAATTTGAAACGTCGAGAACTGCCAACTTTTGCACCTACCTGCTACCGTATCGGTCTTCACGCGGGTCGTAGGAGCGACCACCGCCACCGCCACCGCCACCGCCACCGGCATAGGCCTCACGGGGGGGAGGAGGAGCACCACCACTATGGCTGTAACTGGCAGGGTTAGCATCGCGATCATAATAGCCACGGCGCTCTTCACGGCGCTCTTCGCGGCGTTCATCGCGACTGTACCGGTCTTCCCGTCCTCCCGAAGCATAACGATCGATCCCGCGGTAGCTACCACCGTAGTCGTCACGGTAATCCCGACGAGGGTAGTCACGGTAGTCGCCACCTCGACCACCGTAGTCGCGGCGGTCACTGTAAGAGTCGTAGCGGCCATAGCGGTAGTCGTCGTTGCGACGCCAGCTGCCTCCGTATCCGCCCCGACGGTCGTCGTAGCGGTCACCACGTCCGCGGCCAGGGCCCCGGAAGTCTGCCAACATTGTGAGTTGACTTGAAGAATGAAAGAGAGAAAAGAAAAGAAAAGAAAAATGAATGAGACAAAATATCGCTCCCGATATGGGGATACTGACCACGCTTGGGGGGTCCAAAGTATTTGCCGGGGGTAGGGGTGCGAGGGCGGCTACGACGGGCCTTTTCGATGCTGAGAGTACGGCCCTCGATAACCTCACCCTGCAGACCCTCCTTGGCGGCGTCGGCTTGTTCAGCAGTCACCATCTTGACGAATCCGAAGCCACGAGATTCCTTTGTATGGGGGTCGACCATGATGGAGCAGTTCTCGACATCACCGTACTTCTCAAAAAGACGCGAAATGTCCGACTCAGTCAGGCGAGGGTGGATGCCAGTGACGAAAAGGTTGGAGCCAGTGTTGACAGCACCTTCTTCATCATCAAGAGGCTTACGAGGCTCGATGGGAGCTCTGAGAAAAAAAAAAAGTTCGAGTCAGTTTGTTTTTTGTTTCCTTTCTTTTCTCGAATTCAAGCAAGGCCCAGCACGTGGCGAGGGTTCCCGTCATGCGACATACCGGTCATCGGCGCGACCATTGGGAGAGCGGCTACGGGCGCGATCGGCACGAGGCTCATCGCGAGGAGATGCGCTGCGGTCGCGAGAGAAGCGAGGCTCGTCTAACGCGCGAGGAAGAGGAATAATCAGTATTGTTATGGATGATTATAGGGCGACCCAGTGAAGAAGCTGATGTAACCATCGAACATACCGTCATAGCGACCGTTTTCGTGATCGTACTCTGTGGCCATATTGATGGAGATTATCAAGTCGGAAGATTGAACTAAAAATTCTGTTGGCAAAGGGAGCGGTTATTGCAGAGGGAATGGGGCGCGTCGCACGTCCACTGATTTGATTATGGAAGATGATGAAGCAGAAAATTCCACCACGGTATGATTAAGAAAAAAGAGATGAGAACAATCACCAATCCAGAGAAGAAGGAGAAGAAGAAGAAGAAGAAGGGAAAATTAGGATAGCCGAGCAGAAGAAGGGTGAATGTAGGGGAAGGAATAATAAGAAAGGGGAAAGGGAAAGAAGGGAAGATGTTGGGAAAGGATGATGAAAGAAGGGGGAAAGAGGAAAGAAAAGCATTCGAATTCCAGACCTTTTACGGCAAGCCGCTCCTGATTGGTGGAGCGCCAAGACCTCAGGCGGTCGATTGTCTTTGGAACACTATTTGATGTGATGGATTATATACACACAGATACCCATAAAAGGTAGGGCATAAATCCATAAAGCTAAGTAGACGTATAAGTATAAATGTAAATATAAATAGAAATATAGATTGAATCTTGTGCGTAGTCCAGGAAAAAGCCAAGTCGTCATTTTTCACTGCATCACCCTCTCTACAACTAGTAGGTATACTACCATTCCTCAAACTAGACGTATTCCTCCAAGATATATGTATTCATAGCAGGAAAAACTCAAATATAATGAACAACAAACACAAAAGGACGATGTAAAGGAAGATTTGGCAGAGACAAACAGAAAGAGATGCCGAATGCTTTCTTGCGCCATGGAACCAACCCTAAAGCAAACATATATGACAGGAAAGGGGCGAAAAAAAAAAAAAAAAAAAAAAAAGGCTAAAGAGAGAAGCTTAACCAGGCTGGGAATCCGTCTATTATTTAAATCCACGCCAGCGTCTCCGAGTTCGATGGACCTTGACGGCCTGTTCCGGTGCAGTATCCGGCCCACTGGTGCTTGTTCCATCTCCATCAGCGGTAGGGTTCATCTCCACTTCGAGTTCATCATCGACCAAGTCTTTTAATTCCTCCTCGTCAAGCTCACTGAGTTCCTCACTCATCCCGCGCATGACGTCCCGCCCGGTCCATCGTTCTTCATGGATAGTGGTGCCCACGGGATCGAATGGTTGCATATACCACTGGATGCCACCTTGGGTCAAAGGAAGCTGTTGGTCACCCTTGAAACTTGGAGGAGGCGTTAATGGCTCTTTTCGTGACTGAACAGGCTGCTCGGTGGGCCCTGAATTGCTCTCCTCAGGGTTGGTAGCTACTCCATTGGGAGCTGGATGCGTTTCGATAGCAGTGGATGGTGCATCTTCAGACGCCTTATCTTCTTGCTTACCAGTCTCATGCTCCGCCGTCGGAGTGGATGAGCGAACTTGGGGAGTTTCCTGAGTTTGAGACACTGTAACACTGTTTGGAGGAGGGGCCTGATCTGCATCTGTCACGTCGACGTCGACTGACTGTTGGGGCGTAGCAGTGACCTCGGCGCCGTCGAGAGGCTCCGATTTGGCAGCTACCTCCACATCCCCATTGACCTTCTGATCAATGTCAGTGGGAACATCGGGTGTCTCCGGCACCTCGTCGCCAGCCGGGGGCGACTCGGCTTGTGAGCCTCTCCGCGACATGACGCTATTCTCAAGCATAAGATCCAATTCCTTGAGCTCCTGTTCGAAGGGCTTCCGGTTCAACTCGCTCTCCTTCTTGATCGCTTCCTCCAGGGCGGGCTGGATGAATTTGATAATGCGCTTAGCTAGCTTTCTCTTCTCGCGCTGCTCCAGGCTGAGCTCTGGAGCACGACCGCTGATTTGCATTTGGAGTTCAGCGGTGTCCCCTGCGGGCTGGACCCCGATTTCTGAGGTGAACACGCGGGCAAGATCAGCGGAGAAGGTGGAAACAGATGTGTATTGGCGCTCATCCAGTTTGGTGCGTATCGACAGCAACCCTTGTCTAAAGATGCCCTTTCCGTCAAGCCTGGATTGGTATTAGTTCAAAATCCCCAAGTAGGCAAATAGATGGGTACTTACCCTTGGGCCTTTTCATAAATAGGCCAAAGCAAGGGGAATATAGGAAAGTAGACAGTGTCAACAATGGTTCGAAGGGTCTCGGCATCCTTCAATTTCTCCCTCTCCCGTTTCTTGACTTCGTCGCACAACATTCTCAGGCGGTCGAGATCGTGATATAACCGTTCCCCGAATTCAATGCGTCGTTGAAGGCGTTTACCTCCAGCCGCTCCCATGGCAACGTAATCTCTCCTTGTCATCTCCATGGACGAAAAGGTCTCCAACTGTAATTGCAGGCGCTTCAGCAATGCGGCTCCTCGCCTCGCCTCCCGTTTGAGTGTCCAGTACTTGCACGCATCCTCAGCATACTGCTTTCTCTGACGCACACCAAAGCGCTGAAGAGAAGCTGCAACGGAGTTTAGAACAACGTGGGGTACGACAGGAGCGCCCGAAGGTAGTTTCCAGATCGTTTTGGGTACAGTAGGTCGTTTCCGCTTATTCCCACCAACCGTAAGAGTGATGCGGGGGGTATGAGTCCGCTGTAAATCCTCGTCACCATGCTCGCACCCGAGAGGATGTGAAGGCTCCAGCGCCAGTGCGGCAGCTTGACTATCGCCCCACCGTCGGCCTAGCATGGTATTACGATAGTACTCCATAGCTTCGACCGTAGCAGCGTCCGTACCATGTTCTCGACGCCACTCAAGCGGCACATGTTTGTCGCAGAATGCCTTCAGAAGGTGAGTGTCCATGACTGCGGGGGACCCGTGGCCGGACTTCATCTTCAGGTAGAGCTGAGCCCTTCTGGCACAAGTTACGTGGAACGCGACGAAACAATTTTTGTTGCTGCACTGGATCGACGCACCCATTCTTTGACGGCAGATATAGCAATGAAGTTTCCAACGGCTCCTGGGTACCTTTTCAACGTCGGTGATTGGTTCCATCAGGGATGGATTGCCAATAGACACTTCGGGAATCCATATAGCGCAAAGCAAATGAGACCACTTCGAAGTAGTAGTCTGCTTGAAGGCGCCTTCGGTGTTAGGGCAGAAGATGCAATTGACGGAACCCCTCCCAACCAGTTGGCACTTACGACACAACCATTGACCCTCGGGAATGAATGGAACGCCGTAACATTCTTGATGCACCGCCAAATCGCACCCGTCACAGAAGACAATTGCATTAGAATTCTCGCAATCGCCATCATCGCAAATCGCACATTTGCTGTCCTGATCCTCTCCGGGCCCAGCGGTTTCGCCATTCACTGCAGCGGCAGAGCTTGATCGAGGCCGTTGTGTCTGGGGAGGTTTCGGGTTTGGCTTTGGTATACGTTTTTCAAGAGCATGCCATTCTTTTTCTATCTTCGTCAGGGTAATTTCGAAGACAGCAGGTTTAATAGGCTCTAGTTGGTCTTCTCTTCGCTTTGCATTGTAGTCCTCCAGCCACTTTTCGTCTTGCTCATCCATGTCATATTCTACTCTTCCAACAGATGTGTTTGGCTCTTCCTCAGTCCCCACGGGATTCACGGCATCGAGATCATCTTCCTGCGGCGCCTCGGTTATTCGGATCAACCGACGATCGTGGCGAAGGAAGAGGTCACTCTCCTGGTATCCCACGCTTGCCATTGTACGGTCAACGTAATTTTGTTGGCCCACACCAGGTTGATCGTAAAAAACGAATGGATCCCGCAGCCGAAATGAGGGTTTAGGAAGCGTCAGCCTCTCGTGTGGGTTTGGACCGGGAGGCGGGACGTTTTTCGGCTGCGGCGTAATGCCGAGAGCATTCAAAATGGCCTCAGGGCGACGGGGAGGGCGTCCTGGCCGGCGCTTGATAGGTGTCGGGGACGTGCCGTTCGCGTGTGCACGGATCAGTTCAGCTAATGGGTCTTTGTCGTTGCTGAGGTCAAGACCATTCGGCGACAAGATATGGGCTACATGCGCGGATGGAGCTGGCCTATCTACCTCCTCGGCAGGAAAAACCACAAACTTCGTTTCAATATCTAGTTCCGGGTGGAACTCCTCCCATCCTCGCTCTTCCCGTGGTTTATAAGGATCGCCATGTTGTAAAGCGAGAGCAGCAGCTGTCGAGGAGCCAAAACGACCGCCACGGCTTTGGCTTTTATCTCTTGTCAGACGAGCGGGTGGTGGTGGTGGTGGTGGTGTTTTTGGGACAGGAGGTGGTTGTGGAGGGAGCTGCATGGGTTGAGGTTCTTCTCGTGCAGGGCGTGTTCGGGGGGTGGAGTTGCGACCAACCAGCGACGGTTTGGCTGGTTTCGCCGGTTTAGGCGGTTTAGGCGGCTTTGTCTCTCTCACATCAAGTTCAATGTATCTGCCTCCACCCCCGGGTCCACCAGGGACGTACTTCCGCTTCTTGAGGGGTGGTCCTTCAGCGGTTGAATTCTGAGTGCCCTTCAGCGCCGCTTTAGATTGGTTCTTCGGTGGCCTTCCGGGGGATGATCGATACTTGTTTGACGAGAGTGGCGCCATTTCTTTTTGAAGGGGAAAATGAAAGGCGAATGAGTATAGATGGATGGTGTGTTAAAAGAATGTATGTCGAATAACGTCGTCGTCGAGCTTGTCGCTCAGCCTCACGTTGCAATCAGACTGCGTCTACTCGCGCTGTGTAGCTTAAGGAAACAGGACAAGGCAGGATAGAAATTTCAATCATGACTCAACAGCTGCGGGGAAAGATTCAAAAAGCAGCAAGGAAACGAAGGTTAAAGGTGTCACGGCCATGGGCAAGGGAAGACGCGAAAGCGAGGAGTGTTCGTTATCTCACTTGCCGGTCTGGCGCTAAACCTTATTTAGCCAAGGGCGGAGAGAACTCCACCTGACATTCAATCAAAGCAAACGCGGAGCTGTTTAAAAGCCCACAGCTCTATTGAATAAATCTATCCTGATTGATTCGGCTTCTTCCCACTCCTGAATTCCCAACATGAGTGGCCCTGGCGATGACCGGTAATCTTCTGATTTTTCTTGGTTTCCCCTGTCCTTCGATCTTCGATCCTATATCCCTCTCTTCCATTCCATCATTTGCCATCGCTAATGTCGGAGCTCTGATTCTAGATGGCGCGGAGGCGGCCGCCCATACGACCAAAACCGCCAGTCGGGACAAAGGCACTCCTTGCACAGAACAATGAGCGCACACAGTGGCTCTCGTGGTGGACAGAACCAAAATACTACATGGGGAGAGTCGCGTGATCAGCTTTCCACCGGACCAGCTCAGGAACACCACATACCCGTGCGAGGATTCAATGCCGCCGAGTCGAAGGGAGCTCTCAGGAGAAGTATGATTTCCTATCGTACGCCTTGGCGATACAACCTTGACTAACAATATTCGTGCGATCTAGATCCAGGAGGTTCGTTCCGTTACCTGCAAAAAAGCTTGCGACACCATGCAATCATTCATCTGGTCGCTAACCGTTCCCTCAGAGCCAAAGCCCCTCTTCTACAAACCTGGTGGAAAAGATACTAACCGCTCTAGCGGGCCGTGGGGATCAAAACGTATGTCACCCGATTGACCTAAAATCTGTTTCGTCCTGTTGACGCCCATGCTACAGCGAACACGATGGCCAATGGGAAGGATTTCTTCCTCGAGCTTCGGAAACAGGTTACCAGTCTGCGACAAGGTGGCAATATCGCAGGTGGCTGATAGGGGTGCTCATCTTCAAAATTAGGTAGTCGATGCGAGGAATGACCTACGTGACGGCTATAAAGGCGATATGCAACGAAGGTTGAAGTGCCTGAAGTGGCTTTCGCATTCGGTGGGAAACATGAGTTCATCTGGTCGCAGGCCGATTGGATGGTAATATCCTCAACACCACTGAATGGAAACTACAATTCGTTGCAGTCCCTTTTTGACAAAAGCTAGTGGGCACCATCTCTAGGGTTAGGATAATACTACCCAGAGGCGCGTTCTAACTGTCGGATAGATATGGTAGACAACGAAAATCTAATCAAAGAAGATGTCCCTCATACCAATCGTGTCTACTAGTATGAATGTGTGGATGTGAAATGGTGGATATACATACATTTATTGAGTAGTGTACATGGGTATTACTAGTATACGTATGATGACCAAGTCATCGATTGAATGCCAGACTATGCTTTCTGCCACCCGCTGGGGCCCAGAACCCCGCCATCATCGGCTTGCGGATCCAGGGTCCACTTCCTGAGAGCGCGGCAACTGAGATCTGTGCGCCAGCCCGCCTCAAACATCTCGAGGCCAGCCCATCCGATCATCGCTGCATTGTCGGTGCATAGATAAGGAGGTGGCGCCACAATGGCCACATGACCGAAGCCGCGGACGTGAAGGAACGCGCGCAAAACAGTCATAAGGAATCGATTGGCTGCCACGCCACCGCTGACCACCAGAGTCTTCACCTCCTCATCAGGCTTCTGCTGGCGGAGGGTCTCAAGAGCGATGATCGTCCGGGAGGCGAGATGCTCGAAGCAGATCCGCATGGATTCGCGTGCCAGGTCAACTCGTTCTTCATGAGACATACTCTGTCCCGATTTCTCTTTCTTTGTGACTATCTTGTTGACTGCACTGGCAATAGATGAGAAACTAAATTGCAATTCACGGGTATTGGCGAACGGAGTCGTAAGGTACCAGCCCCACGGGGTTTCTCGCTTGGTGATTTCCTCGCCACGTTTCATTGGGGGCCGGTAGTCAGCATAGTCAGTGCTACCGTTCGGAAAAGCAAACTCCTCTAGCATCTTGCCGTACATAGTAGTCTTCGCAGTTTGCAGCAAGGAGGGAGGTAGAATTTCTCTAGCAGCCTTGTCCAGCGACTCGCCGATTGCGATATCCGCGCTAGAAGCCATGATCGCATGGTCCGTAAGAGATGATGATTTCACAAGAATCGAATGGCCGCCAGAGACAAGGATTGAGAGGAAGGGGAACCCCGGGGTGTTCGGCGATGATGGTGTGGTGATACCACTGTCCGGGCCCAGTGACGAGACGAGTCGAGGTGTCAATAGGTGAGCTTGCATATGATGAACACCGATGAAGGGGATTTGCCATGCGACCGATAGAGCTTTCCCAGTATCTAAGCCAACGAAGAGGTTTGCACGCATCCCCGGACCTCTGGTAGCGGATATGAAGTCTGGTTTATAGCGGGGCTGGGAGCCATCTGCAAGCGTTATCGATCTATGTCCTCCAATACTGTCCGATGCAATGGGCAGATGCGCAAGCGCCTTGTCGACAAGTTTTGCGAGATTCTCTTGGTGCGACTCGAGCGCTAAGATCGGGTGGACGCCTCGGTATGCATTGGAGTCGGCCGTCACGTTCTCAAGGAAATGAATCTTTGCGGCCCTGGCGGCTTCATCTTTTTCAACGATCGCGACCGATGTGTCATCGCTACCGCAGATATGTAGGTTAGCAAGTCGTCCAGCTTTGTGGTCAACTCTCGAAGTCGTTCTCACCAAGATGTTTCGATAGCAAGAGTGAGCAGCGCACGACGTTGCGAGAACAAGCCGCGTCTAGTTGTATTGCATATAGCCTTGCGAAAAATCGCGCTCGAGGCACTCGAGTTCAACATTGGGGTGTGTTGTCAAGATGGTGCTCCGGCTTGACGCGGCGGAAAAGACCCCGACGTCCGGTCGCACGGGCCGCAGAAGCCCTCAAAAGGTGCCCTAGGACAAGAACCAAAACGGTCATGGCGCGAGCAGTCATGGGCTGACTTTTCCGTTGCCTTGTTTTTATATCTCAAGTACTTATTCATTGCGGACTATAAAAATTAGGGAGAAAGCATAGGATCGAGCCATACGTGCATGAGTACACATTCTACAAGCTCACAGATCTTAAAACACAGGTGATGGAGCGTAACGACTGTACTTGGATTTCTCCAGATCAATGCTCTATAAATAATATGGATCGTGTCGTCACATCGTAGCCATAATAGAATCATATATACATTGACAGACGGCCCTCCTTGCCGCCGGGGACGTTCCATTCCATGACATTCGTTCCGGACGTCCGACGCGCTGCGCCGACGGCCCTCCACAGGGTGTGCTGCATCTGTGCTGCAAGTTGCATTGTCGATCCAGAGTTAGGACCGGATAAGGCCGCGGGACATGGGGGTCTCAAGGGATGACGAGACCCTGAACTCTGCGGGAGTCCTCCCATTCCATCTGCATTCAAGGTGTTCATCGAGTCTAGCGGCCGATGGTTCATTCACGCACCATCCAGCGCCGCTCCTCGCGTGACATCTTGGTGTGCGTCCCGTAGTATTCTTCGGGATTCTCAATGGGCGTCACGCAGTGCACCGTTGGCGTCCCTTTGAAGTGAATGCGTTTGTTCACGGAGCCGGCTGCGCCCGCAGCCGAGTGTTTCTTGAGAATGCCCTTGGAGGCACACGAGTTGGCGTAAGTGTAGCTCGGCACTTGTAGAGATGAGAATCGGGCCGAGCCGGGGCTGGCAGCAGACGGAGAGATCGGAGTACGGGGAAGAGGGCCAGGGGACTTGAGGGACAATGAAGGCCTAGAGGTATTCTGCGCAGCAGAAATACTCAGGGACAACTTGGGCCTTGCAGCAGCACGAGGGATCATTGTGGAGGTGGAAGATTGGGCAAAGTTTTGGGAGGGAACGAAGGCAACTTAAAGCAATGGCGGATTAAGAGAGCGCTAACGATGACTTCGGTCTACGAAGCCAGATGATACTATTATTGACGTAATGCAGATCCAAAAATAGAGGACTCAAAAAACAGCACTTGTCTGGACCAGCCAAACGAAGACGAAAATAGAACAGAAAGGAGACTAAAAAAAAAGCTCAAACAAACGGTGTCCCGAGAAACAGAATGAATTCGAAGACCGGGGGACAGTTGGGCGGCTATATAGTCTCTGGTTCATGGAGTCAATAAATTGCCATGGGAGGGCGGCAGAGGGCACGCTTGGTCCCTTGGCCAATGATCGCCGTCCTGGCCCGTTAAGCGCCAGCGAAATGCACGACTAAGCACATCAGCACATCTCTGTCACACTTTAGACTGAAAGCCTTTTGTGGGAATAGACGAATCGTGAAACAGTTCCCGTGTGTCTTTAGGAGTGTCTCTGCCGATCGACAAATCCACAACCCTCTTGAGTGTCTCTATACGGAGTACAGTCCCCCAGCCAACGTGAACGAGGTATAACTCTCCTGCAACCAAACCTGCAGGGAATTTGCTGCAGAAGTTTCATACTATTCTTGTAATGAAATAATAAGACCCAGAGTGTTGGATCACCGAAAGGGTGTAAGGTTTTGTTTGGCCCTAAGTGCATTCATTCTGTTCCCTGGTTCTCCCACCCTTTTTTTTTTAAATGGAACATCGCGAACCCAAACCTCTAACATCATTTATTGTATGAGTATATTATTACCTGGTCTAGTACTAAGCTTTCAAGGAGATTCGCCGAGAGAAGCGGAGCCATGGACAACGATAGAGTTTCCAATGATGGTCGTGTTGTCCCTCGTTCTGCGTCACTATCACAAACGTTATGCAGTGATACCTTTCATGAGGTTAGCCCTATCACAATGAAACTGAGCTAGATCAATAGACGAAAAGAGGTTAAAGGGAAATAAGAATAGCCCAGTTTATAATAGAGTGGCAACGATGGACCCTAGTTGAATTCCTAGTCCTAGACTCACATTGCCGGTGGGTCGGTGTGTTGAATGCCGTTTCCATCCTCTCTCGGAGGATTAGGGCAAGTCTTTCTGCAAACTGCCCTTCTTTATTCGATTTGCCCAAGCGTTACGCCATTCCTTTCTTTTGCCACATAATCTATCTTCCTATCGTCTTTTCTATATTTAGGTGCCCACGTTTCAATTGTCGGCATACTCCGTGAAGAACAAGTCTGGTACAGAGTATATCATTGCCCATAATCCTTTATACACATCATCTGAGAAGTTCTATATCGGGATAACTCTTTTGTTGCTGAGTCCAGTAGATTGAATTTGGCCCCAACATTTCCCTTTCTCAGATACTCGCTGTTTGCGGATCACGTTGAAAAAGAAAGAAAGAAAGAACAAGAAACTGACCTAGATCTCTGAATTGTACGACCTACTAGAAACCACGTCTTCATAGCTTATATCGCATTACCCTTCGTATGGGTTTATGCTGTATTCGAAAGGGAGGCCCATTTTAGACAGGATGTTTGTACAGACAACTTCAGAGCATTGCCCGGCTTGCGCTATCCACAACATCTCGAACAAAGTCAACCTGCAACTTCAGTCCTGTTTGCCTACCAGGACCAGTGAGTAGACCCAGGTGGAGAGCCTCTCTGGCGTGATATGCAGTCTCTTGGGACCATTTTTTTGGTTGAACATCTGGAGTTCTTGATCCATGGGTGACACATCATCCATACCAGGGACCCTTACCAGAACTCGGGTTGTAGTGCATGCGTTCAATCAACGGCCCTGGAGTCCACTTCGCCAGTGCTGCCAATGTTTCGACAGTAACATGATTTATATAATGAGGAGCAGACTCTTTAGCGGCCAAGACCAATGAGTAGGCTTTTCGTGATTCTAATGCGGGCACATCAAACACTGAGTCACCTCCTTCGGCCCAAATAGGCAGAGTCGGCGGAGGGCTTCCACTTAATCGGGATGCACGATGTTCGACAGCCATTGCGAAGTTCAGGTATCTTCTCTTTCGCGTAGTTCAACCAAGGGCGACAGGCGATTACAAAGTCAGCTCTTGGGTCCATGGCTGCGGTCGGAGAGCAATTGGTCCATTGAAGGATATTCCCCAGAATTCAATCTGGTTTGGGTTAACAATCCGATGTGTGGACAGGAATGCCAAGGCAACAGAGTAATGCTCGGCCAACTGAGCCGGATCGAATTCGTTTCTAGGCAGACCCTCACTTTCACCTAGGGTACGTGGATCGATACTAGAGCGGTTGTGCTATTCTGTTGAAATTGCATAGCGACTTGCGGGATAAACATTTCTTTAACGCAACCGAACTATTCCTTTTGTCAGCTACCTCGGTGATCTTCACAAATAGAGCGGGTTCAAAGATATACGCCTCCTCCCATGATAATGGCAGGGCCTTTCGCCCTTGCAGATAAAGATTGCCACGGAGCACGAGACCATTCAGAGACTTGAACTCAACTTTCTCGACGGACATTATGCCGGTATGTTTTCCTCCTCCTGGGTTTTTCCTACACGACGTCTACAAGCTCAAGGTCAAACAGTCATTAGATAAATCTTATAGTATTATATAGTCGTTTCTGGCACTCTCCGCTTCAAGTGAACCAGTATGGCTGCATCGGCCATGATCAGGTCCGACGTGAGCCCTATGCAGGCACAGCCGCATATGGTTAACCATTTCTAGGCTACGCATCATGGTCCTAACGGGGTTGTATATGTGTTGCCACACTACGCACGCGTTCACGTATGGAAACTAGGGGGGACTACAATATCAGGCTCAGTGTAGGTGATGTCACAGCGTCTACTCGATCCTGTCTGGGAACTATCATTAGGCATGTTTTCTGACCGCGAAGGGTCAGCTATTCTATACGAATCAACTCAAGCTTACAGGGTAAGTGATTAGCTCAAATCTTGCGTCTAAATTTGTTTTAAGCTCAGCTCAACGAAGTAATGAAAAGAAAAACAAAAAAGGAGGGAGGAGGGGGAATGAACAAAGAAGCTTACCTTGACAGGATTTCCCACATTATTTCCGAGGCTCAGATAACCTTCCATATCCTGAAGCACAATATCACCTCACACGTGGGGAGCTCGCTGGCTTTTATCGATGCTCGACTCCTCGGCCTTCCTTCACAATCGCCCATGGATTGGATGACCTTTACTCGGTTTGTTCCTGATCACAAGTTTTTCGTTTGCATACGTTTTCGACATCGCCAATCAAAGTCACCGGGGTGCAAGTGAACAAGCTGAACAAGCCTTCTCGACCAATACCTGCTGGCTGATGAGCTACAAGCAAAGCCAAAGACGGTGGATGTACAGCTGGCTAGGCCTTCCTCTAGCTTGCCTTTCGGTTGAAACTGTGAGACTCGCCACTTATCTTCTACTTGGGGAGTCCTTGATCTTCACGTTTTACGTGTGGCCCATTTTCCACGGTCCGCTGAGCTGGAATTGCTGCACTGCGTTTGGCTCCATCCTCCTGGACAAGTTGATAGACGGCCTGTTGGAGACCTTTTCCCCCTCCATCCATCTTGCGTCGTTTGGCTTCTACAATCACGACGATCCATGTGCAAGAATTCCATGACACTCAGGGTGACAGACAAGCCGGCCGTCGAACGCTACCGTTAGCCCTCTCGACGGCCCGAACCGACACGATGCGGAAAGCCACCGCCTGTCTCATATTGACGATGTCCCTTGGAAGATCTGTATGTGCTCTTGGTTACCGGATAGCCGAGATCACTGTCCTAAGACTATTGATGTCTTTCCTTCGCCTTTTTTTTGAGTCCTCGGGTTGCAACCGTGTTCGTAAGATCCCTAGCAGGCTAAGACGAGTTTATATAGCGATATCTGTAATTTGCGGCATTTTATACTCTGATACTGTTATACGCTTCGTAGATGATGAGAGGATTTTTGAGATGGAAACCACGAGTTTAATGCGAACTCTTGTTGAATATGTTGGCGATTCTCAAGCCTTTTCAGCGTTTTACATGGCTGATCAGTGAAAGGGGACCTGTAGGACCTTGAGGACCTTTGTATGGGCTTGTCTATGTAAGGGCCTCAGCTACCCCCTCAGATAGTTCTATAGATCATCAAGGCAGTTGTGATTTATTGTTTTGTTGTTTCAGAGATACTTCCGCAACTCTTAAAATCTTCTGTGGTAGTAGTAGTGGGCAGTAGGTAGAGATAAATAGATACATACAGGCATATATGTTTTAACCTAGTCGGTCTAGCTTTTTGATGTCGATCAAGAACTAATCTTGCATCCTGTACGACAACTTGTTTTTGAATGTAATAATTTAGATTTCTGTATTATAATATATTCCGAACTGAATGCTGGTGGGCTCCGTATACTGGGCAAATGGAAGAAGTGGATGCGGTGTTAGGTACGGAGTATACAAACAAACACATAAATAAGCTTAGTCAAAACAAACCACTACGATATTGCCTCCGAAGGCCTAGAGCGATTACCTGGTACACACGCCTTGCCTGTCGTGGGGACAATTTCCCTAAATTATCCGAATCGAGGGCTAAAATCGGGGAAATCGGAGCCGGGTACACATACCCTCTTGGTACTGTGCAGACTTAGTAGTACGTTTTACTTAATATTTGATATGGTCTACACAGAGTTATCCGTCTATGCAGATCCACTACCTTCCCGGGCCAAGTTAAACACCTCTCCCCGCATGAATGCCAATTCCTTTCTCATAAACTCAATGTCTTGGAAGGAATTGTTCATTCCGTAAGATGCCGAAACGAGGTGCTAGACCGTTTCTTTGCCTCCGGTGAGATTGGCATATTTTTTATTTTCTGATGCGTCGCCTGATCATACGGTTTTTGACTCAGTCAGAGCCATCCGTGGCTTTTTTCTCTGGAGACGGTCGATGTAGGCAAACAGATCTCGTGGATGTGGAAAAGGGATCTACTGGAAGGATGTTGAGTTGCGTTGACTCCGTGTCTACGGATTGACTCCAAGATAAACAAGATCGGACGAGAACCGAGTCGAACCCTGCACTGGACACGGAGAAGGGCCGGGGGAGAGCCAAGAATGCCTCAGGCAGGAAACCCAGCCTTACTGCCCATTTTAGCGGCGTCTCTTCAAATCCATCTGGACCCGCCTTTCTTCCTTCTTTTCCCCCCACCGAGAACGGAGGCACCTCACATCGGCCCGAGATGGAGATAAAAAGGGTTCTGGTTCTCGCGACGTGTCATGTGAAAGAATGATTAGTCAGGATTGTTGGATAGTTAGTGAAGATATTCCATTTAGTAAGGAACTTGGATTCCGATGGAACATATCCGGAGTATATATTCCTGACTTCAATATTCTAATATTATTGAAATATTGAAATATTGAACGGATGAACGGATGTTCACTGGATTGTCCCTGTTCGGAGATCGATGGGAGTTGCATCGCTTTATCTGAACATCCTTGTTCACCGGCATTTTTCTCCAGTATCTTCTGGAAATCATGCCCCAGGGGTCAGCCGGCGCGGGCATCGAATCATCGACGGGCCCCGTTCCGGAGTTTACCGTTGGAGTGTGTGTGCCTCGGAGAGCCAGAGCCCGTCTTGTAAACCATGGTTATTGGAATCAAATTTTGTTTTTGGGTTTGGTGCGTGAACCAGAGTCATCTATCTCCTTTCAGGAAGTCAAACAGGGAGATTTGGGTGATATATAATAATATAATATAATATAATACACACAAACAATTGCAGTCAACTTTTTTCGAGTAGAAATTCCCAGCGAACGCCGTGAGGAGAAAGAAGTTGATATGCGGAGTTGACCCGATTGAGTTGATTGCGAATCGCCGGGTAATTTTTTTATTACTATTATTATTCAACGCATTCCAGGGGCGGTGTGTCGAGGGTAGCGTGACCTCTGTTCTGAAAGCTTTTTGAGGTTTTATTTTTATTAATATCGACTGATCTTAAGGTGTGCCAGCTGGGAAGAAGTGAAGTATTGGTTCCTGGGGGTTCTTTTAACCGGCGCAATCTGATCTTTAAGGAGGCAAATAATCATTAAAAAATAAGTAAGATAAAATAGTAACAAGATTAAATATTTTTTTTTTTTTAAAGAAAAAGGGAATTAAAACTCTTTGTCTTTGTCTTTTTCTTTTCTTTCCTTTTCTTTTTTTTTTATTTATTTCCCTCATAGAAAAGATAAAAAAGAAGAATCAACACAGTCTCGTTGTTTATACAAAAACATTTGGTCTTCTGTCACTCACGCTGTTTCCCCCCATTTTTCAATTTTTTTTTTTTCCTTAATTAATTTCCGCTTTTCTCCACATTACTTTCCCTCATCCCAGCCCCTTCATATTCCCGTTCTTTGCCCTTTTGGTTCCCTTCCTTGTGAATCTTATCATATCTTGAGGCTTGAATCCTTTGGTGGATTTGCTTCAATTGCGCGTGTCCTTTCCTTCGTTTTGCGTTCCCGTTGATATTATACATATATATAAATAACTCACAATGACCGGGGTCAAGGACGCGGTAAAAGAGTCCTTGGTTGGCTTCAGTACGGATCTGTCACAACCATCACACCAGGCGAAGACCACCTTCCACCGTCACGCCCACAAGGATGAAGCTTCCGGCGATCTGTACATGACCGAAGATGGTTTCATTGATGCCATCGCCCCAAAGCATGAGGATTTTGTGAGTTTCCCTGGCCTTGCGACAATTGATGATGTGTCATCGCCGAACCGACCTAGCTAACCAGGACACCCTTCCGCTCTGCCTTTTAGCACAAAATCAAGCGGGAACATTATGGAATCCTCTTCCGAGTTGCGGATCGCAAGCAGACCGGCAAGCTCAGTCTCAGCGATTGGGCAACCTTCGAGAACCTCCTCTCCAAGCCCGATGCCGAATATGAGATCGCCTTCCGCTTGTTCGATACCGACGGAACCGGCACCGTGAAGTGGGAAACCTTCAAGAACCTATATAATGTGAACAAGAAAGAGGACAGCATTCCCTTTGATTGGAACTCGGAATGGGCCTCTCTATACACCGGACGCACCAAGAGTCGCCATGACATGACCTACCCCCAGTTCGCGCAAATGCTCCGAGGCTTGCAGGGGGAGCGTATCCGCCAGGCGTTCCACATCTTCGACAAGGATGGGGATGGCTACATTCAACCCGAAGAATTCCAGCGCATTATCCTGGAAACTTCGAAACACAAGTTGTCCGACTACGTGCTGGAACACCTCCCCAGTCTGTGCAACATCTCCGCCGGCTCCAAGATCTCTTACGCAACCGTGCGTGCCTTCCAGAATATCATGCGCGAGATGGACATGATTGATGTCATTGTGCGTGAAGCGGCCCTGAAGAGCGACGATGGGAAGATCACCCGCGCCGACTTCCTGAATGAGGCCGCCCGCATCACCCGCTTCTCGCTGTTCACCCCAATGGAAGCCGACATCCTTTTCCACTTCGCCGGCCTGGATGCGCCGTCCGGCAGACTTTCTCAGAAGGATTTCGCCAAGGTCATCGATGCATCATGGCGGATGCCCCTTGCGATTGCGGGCCAGGCCGTCTCCACCGCTCACAAGGCGGCGGACAAGACCAAATCGGTCCTGTATAACGTGTTGGAGTCGGTTCACCACTTCGCACTGGGCAGTCTGGCGGGAGCGTTCGGCGCCTTCATGGTCTACCCCATTGACTTGGTCAAGACTCGGATGCAAAACCAGCGGTCAACGCGGGTCGGCGAAAGATTGTACAACAACTCCCTGGACTGCGCACGGAAAGTGATCCGGAACGAGGGTTTCACCGGCCTGTATTCCGGAGTGGTGCCTCAGCTGATCGGTGTTGCGCCGGAGAAGGCTATCAAGCTGACCGTCAACGACTTGGTCCGTGGACATTTCACCAATAAGGACAATGGCAAGATCTGGTACCCGTACGAAATTCTGGCCGGTGGTACGGCCGGTGGTTGCCAAGTGGTAAGTGGGAATTCTTTAACGGTCATGGCATCTACCTGTACTGACGACGGTAGATCTTCACCAACCCTCTCGAAATCGTCAAGATCCGTCTGCAGGTTCAGGGTGAGATTGCGAAGAGTGTGGAGGGTGCTCCTCGTCGCTCGGCCCTCTGGATTGTGAAGAACTTGGGACTGGTTGGGCTGTACAAGGGCGCGAGTGCCTGCTTGCTTCGTGATGGTAAGACGAGATTCCCTGCGCTCTTGCCGGAATTAGAATCCAGCTAACTTCGATATTCCTCGGCAGTTCCCTTCTCCGCGATCTACTTCCCTACCTATGCTCATCTGAAGAGCGACTTCTTTGGCGAATCCCCGACCCATAAGCTCGGTGTCGTGCAGCTGCTGACCGCCGGTGCGATCGCTGGTATGCCCGCAGCGTATCTGACGACTCCTTGCGATGTCATCAAGACTCGTCTGCAAGTCGAAGCCCGGAAAGGTGAAGTGGGATACACTGGCCTGCGTCACTGCGCCCAAACCATCTTGAAGGAGGAAGGCTTCAAGGCTTTCTTCAAGGGTGGTCCGGCCCGTATCATTCGCTCATCTCCCCAGTTCGGTTTCACTCTCGCATCATACGAACTGTTGCAGAAGTGGCTGCCCATGCCCGGGCACGAGGAGACCACCCCCAGTGGACAGATCGAGCCCGGCGTCGGTCTTCAGGGTGCCAAGGCTCCTCTTCCCTACCTCAGATCCCGGAATGCTTTGAAGCTGATCCTGGATCTTGATGAGAATATTGGCCGTGTCAAGATTCCTCAGGCCGACAAATGGCCCAAGTTTCTTCAAACACCAAGCACTAACTGAGCATGACTTTGTATTTACTAGCGACATTTTGATTTCGTTTCTGCTTTCCTTTCTTTGTCTTCCATTGAAAATACCTTCTGCTTTCATAATTTTTTTCTTTTGCTCTCCTTTTGGTTTAGTACCCGGGTTCTGACGCGAAGACCGTTTTCTTTTTTTGCTCTTCTGCCCGTCCGAAGGACCACCTCGCATTTTGCACATTGTATCAAAAAGGAATAGACGTGGGAAGGGATAGAGATATTTTACTACTCCCAAATTGCATGAGATGTCCTAGACCTTGTGAAATTTGTGATCGTTCAATGGATGTGCCATCGCCATGTCCAACTGTCATTTTCTATATACGAATGTACAGGTACCGAATATGTGATATGTACCTCACTTTGATTTCAAGCGTGTGAAATATATGCTTTTCTTTTTTGCATTCGACATCCAGGCTTGGTACTATACAACAGAGCAAACACACTGTAGAGGTCAAAATGACGTGGGTATCATAACATTTCAGAAAAGCCGGAACACGTCTCTTCAATATACAGAGTGAGGAGTGATGGTGGAAATACGTTTTCCTCGTCCGGACGACATCGACTGTATCCGTTCTTACTCCACACGAAGAGAACAACGCATATAATCCTCAGGAATATAATGAACCATCAGCGGAGGTATCAATCCTTGGTCACAGTGATAAGCCCCAACCGCAGTGGAAGGACACCGTGCCCCTAAGGTTCAATTTTGGATCGCCGCAACAGCGCATTCGTCGGAGCGCGAAGAGAGGCAGTTGATATCCGAATCGCCGAGCTGACCAGTCCCCACCTAAATATCCTAGAAGAAATTGACCTTCCGTCTTGAACGGCCATCTGCAGGTGGCTCCTCGTTTGCAGCTCCCTCGGCGGGCATCGCTGGGTCCTTTGACCTTGCGCTGTCACTTGCTTGTGGGTCTTCCGACTGAGCTTCCTGAGCCGATTCCTCTTTCTTTGATTTCTGATGCCATAAAGAATCTTCCTCCTCGATCTCGCGCAAAACTACCCAACAAGGAAAGCAGAAGTTAGCAGACCGATCGACACCCGAGCCTCAGTGCAGAAAGGACGAGGAAAACCAACTTTCATCCCACTCCCTCTCTTTGCCTTGATCGCCAGTTCCCAGCAACCGTTCAACATCCACCTTTTCGCCCTTTTTTACCCTCTCAATGACTTCCCGCAGTAACCGGATCTTGGCGTCCGTTGTCCGCGTGTACGCCGAATATTCGTTCTTCAGCGCGATCATCCGAATCGCTTGGGATCCGATCAAGATGAATATGATGATGTAGAAACTTGCGGGGTTCCATTCTTTTGATTTTGAGGATTCGGCCTTTGTGTCTTTGGAGGTGCGGTTTCGAAGGAATTTGGGGACCATGGATGCCCACAGAGATGCTTGGGCGAATCGTGGTACTCTGGATGTAGATTGGAGACGGATTTGGTGCGGGGTTCGGGCGGGGATGCTCCCAATGATCCGGGAAGCCGTTAGCGCATTAGATAGGACGCGAGTGGTAAGCCTGAAGGAAGACATATTGAAGGAGACTTTGGTGTGTTGGGAGGGGTTGCAACGTCGACTTGCATTCCATTAGATTTCATTGCATGGACATTGAAAAGGTGCTGGAACATCGGACTCTCGGAGCCTTGGCGCCGCTATACCTGAATAGGAGTAGTGACACTAGGTTGTTGCTACGACAACGGTCACCAGCTTGGCTTACGGTTTAGCGATCACCATCACAGGCCCGTCACGGAGACAAGCCACAAATGCTCCCACGTTAACGATCATTGCGGATGGCCTGGCCTACTAACATATAATAATTGCAGCACGGATACAATTCTTCCAATGGCAGTCACCACACTACTCTCCGATTCCTCGGTGGAATCGGTGAAGCAGGCCGTCCGCTCGACGTCAACATGCTCGAATGCCACCGTTCTCTCTCTCCAGACCCTTTTCCGTGGGCTGTCGAAAGTATCGCCGGAGATCGAGAAAACCACAGTAAAGAGGGGGACCAGAACCACGAAGACTTCAACAGCTTCCAGCCGAGCGAAGTCGTCGAGAGGCACCAAAGAAGCAGCAATTAATACAGTCGTGGAAAAGGACGCCGCGCGTCTGTCATATCAGGAGAAGCTTGTCCTCGCCACGGATGTCTTCAATACCACCCTGAAGACTCTCTCGGATGCATCGAAGCTGTGCGCTACACGGGACAACGTTCGGATTAGGACAGCGACCAGCTCCCCCTCCCCCAGTCGCTCCAGAAAGTCAAAGACACCGGAGTCGCAGGTATCAGATGGGCTAGATAATGGCTTGGTAGCTGTGGCCGAATGTGCAAGCACTGCTCTGTCTTCTTTAAGGACTCTGAAAGCGGAGCAAGGGAGCCAGGAGGCCGGATTCCCCAACATGCAGCTGGAGCAAGGTGCATGTGTCTTGGCAGGGAGGTATCTGTCATTGGGGCTGAATGACATGGCATACAAGGAATTGAGAGGCCTGAAGAGGAGGTTACAGCAGCACCTGGATAGCCAGGCCACAATCCGTCAGAAGACTATGAATAGGCGGAAAAACGAGGTTTTTCAGGAGGAGGAACCCACGAAAGAACGGATGTCAGACTTGCTCACGTTTGCTAATCTTGCCCACGCCGGACCAGTGCTGAGTGTACTTGTCCCTTTTCAATCGAATGCCCTACGGCTAATTGCCTCAGAGAACAAACTTGCAACCATCCAGAACGTCGCCTCCTCACTGCAGTTAACCGAATTGAGCAGTCCAGCGAATGTCATCGTGGCGGCAACGGAATCAGGGGCCCTCACCAAAGACAAGGCAGCAATCCAACTCCAACTCCTCTCCAATACCGTACTCTCTCTATCAGGAACCCAACAAACATCCACAAGCAGCACAACACGGGATCGCTTGAAGCCAATCACCTCGTTGGCCCTTCAGTTGTTATCATTGGAAATGCGATGCATGAGTTGGAAACTCTCTGGCCACACCTGCGATGAAGCAAAAGAGATGTGGGATCCATTGACACGCTACCTGGCAAACTTCTCTCATCACAGCAAATCTATCGAGAGATTCGAGTTCGCATCCGTGTACAAGACGATTGTTCGGCTTCAAACAGCTGTCGCTAATATGCAAAAGCGGCCATCGGCCAGTGTCAGAGACAACCTCTCTGTCGCTAGGATTGCTACCACTCTAGGCCAGCTGGCGCAAGAGGCTGGATGCTTCGAGGAGGCGTTGAAGCTTTTTACAGAAGCTCTCAACCCGCTCTCCAGCGGACAATGCCTCTCGCTCGCCACCGTGCGTTGCAAGATTGCGTCTTTACACCTTCAAGCCAGCAGGTCTTCGAAACCGTCGCTAGACACAGTGATGAATGTTGTATCCGATGCCACCACCTCACTTAGTATGCCCTTAAAAGGGAGCCTGAGTGACCTCGATGAGTTGCTGGTTGAAGCTGCGAAACTCAAGAAGCTTACAATGAGCGCTTACGGGGATTTGGTTACGAAGGCAGGAGAAAAGGTCACAGTTGATATTTCTCCGATTTACGAATACCTTCCCGCCTTCTTGAGGTTCTTGCGCCGGTACCTTGGTCGTTCATCCACGGATCAGGAACCAAAAGACAACGAGTTGTTTACTAGCCGAGTCCGCGCTTGCAGAAGCATTGTTCTCTCGGCTGTAGATTCAACTCTAGCGGTCGGGAAATTCTCCATCACGTCACAGAGACCCCCCTGGGAAGATGTGCTGGTGGCATTGACTGATAGCCAGCGTCTTCTGACGACTATTCACACTGGGGATGAAGATGCTGACTCCGCCGTCGAGCAAATTGGCACGGCGTTTGTTCGTTTGTCGAACCTTTTTTGGTCACGCTATTTGAAGGAGAAGGAGGGCGGGAAGGCCTATCGTGAACTCGTATCCCTAGTGAAACACTCCGCAAATTTACTATCCCGCTGTTCCCCAGACCAACGGAGTACTGGATTCGCCGCTTTGAAATATGAACGACTTGCGCATCTCTACATGGAGGGTAATAGGGGTGCCGAAGCCGAGCAGGCTTTCTCGCAGGCCATCCAAGAGCATATCGACACAGGTGCTCTGGACCAACTGACGTCCAGTGCCAACTTCCCCCATCGCATTTCCCAAGACACCAAAAGCAGTGGATTTATGCTTGGTAGAGTCCTAACTGCTTACATGAAGCTGAAACTGCGTAGCAGAAAGTCTCCCGGCCTCTTTGATGATGAGGCACAATCGCCGATAGTGAGAGGCTACATTCTGGAATGGCAAACGGGTATCTTGACCGAACTACATTCACACGCTTCCAGTGATGAAGCCTTCTGCTCGCACTTGACTCAACTTGTGTCTAAACTGCTTGACTTGTATGACCCTCAAACACATCCCATACGTCGTTTGCGAGTTGTTCTTAGCGGGCTGCGTTCGTCCCTAGAACGGCCGGGTTGTTTGGAGTCGGCATTGTTGCAACAACTGCTTGAGGAAGGATCTCAATCTATTGAACTTGGAGAATACTTTGAAGACTCTGCTTTGGCGCTGCTAGGGACTCACCTGTTGAACTCCGTACGCCTTCATGTAGGACTTCTGCAGGGGGACCTACAGCCGGAGAACCTCAATCTCCTCATATCATCATGGACATCGTTAATGCGCACCTGCCAAGATGAAGCATCTCTTGTTCGGTATGTCGGCGATGCTGAGCATTTCCTTCTCCAGCTGAAGGCCGTGGTCGACTACGCAGAAATCCATGGGCTTTGGCAGCTCCAGCTCTCCACTCTTGAATTGGTTTTGCGTGTCACAGAACTTCAAGATGGCGGAGACTTTTCAGAAGCTATCATCGTAATTGCTCGCCTCGTACAGCAATACTGCCGACTTGGGTACTGCAAGAAGGCAGGAGATCTTCTCGCTCGCGCGGATCAGTACCTCGGTCCGAATGTATCCTGCCTGGCTACACTATCGCACAAACTGGCGCGGGTAGCCTACCTCCTGGAAACGGGCGATACTGAGAAGGCAGCAGTCATCCTTGCCGCAGCTCGAGCCCTCTACGAGAAGAACCAGAAGAAACAGGACCTCAGCAGCTGCTCTGTCTTGTCTAAGATTGCTTGGGAAAGACTGGTCGCAGATGCGGCTTTTATTAGCTCGCAGCTTTCGTTTGCCCAGGGTGTTATCAAGGATGCACTCTTTTTCGCTAAGCTATCTGTTCGGCTGAACTGCAGGATTTGGGCCAAGGTTGAGAAGATCTCGCAGAGGAAACAGGAAAAGAGCTTGCCCGTGCCGGTAGGGGACAATTCCGAGCTTGACAACGTAGTCGAGACGATGGCCAAGCTCGACGTATCGCCAGCAAACCCTCCGACGACTTCCGTTTATACTCAAGGAGCACCGTTCTGGCCGCACATTGGCTCTCACCACACGTCCCTCTTGAACCTTGCAAGTCTATCCGCACATCACGGCCTGTTCCAAGATGCCATATATTATGGCGAGCAGGCCTTGAAAATTAACAAGACACTGAACGCCCCCGTCCGTCTCATCAACTCCCAAGCGCAGCTTGGATCACATTGGATTCTTGGAGGCCATATCTCTGAAGGCCAGGAACTCTTGGCGGCTGCCGAGAAGCAGTCTAAACAGCTAGAGAGCAGCGTTGAGCTCGCTTCGCTGCATATGGGCCTTGCCTCCCTTTACAGGGCGCAGGGTCATTACCGTGACGAACTTCAGGCTCTTCTGGAGGCCGATCAGATCATGGCCAATTTTGTTAGTTCCGAGATGTCCGACGCCATTTCAGTCTCCTCAGGCGTCCCCGACTTGGAAGACAAAATGGAAAGCCTTCGGATCCGACCGAGCACCAGGAAGGCTAAGCAGCCAGCCACGGCAACTCGCAGGACTCGTGCTACTACCTCGACTAGAAGACCAACAAAGGCAGAGGCGACCACGCCGAGTGATGCTGACACTGCCACCGAATCCAAGTCCTTGCTGCAGCTAAGAAGCGACATACTACGACAACAAGCCGCTTGCTCGCGCTCCTTACGAGATTTCGAAACAGCCTCAACCCTTCTTGCCACCGCGCGAAAGTATGCAGTCTCCAGGGACAGTCAGATCTCGGTGCATCTTGGGGAAAGTGAGCATTTCCTCGCCGATGCTATCCGCCGCTTTGCCTCCCATGCCGTATATTGCGTTCTTCCCGAATCAACGATATCTTTGCCGTCCTTGCAGTCACCGAGTAAAACTGCCCAAGTCAGCGCCTCTAAGGCTCCCACCAAGTCTGCGTCACGGAAACCTCGAGCGCTCGCCCGAGGGACACGGTCACGGGCACCAACTGCCAGCGAGGACTTTGCTATAATGCTTTCTAAAGCAGGTGATTCTCTCAATAATGTCTTCGCCGCTGCCACCACGCTGGGTTCCACGTTAGATAGTCACTCCGCTTCTCGTTTGATGAGCCGTATCTCTATGCTGTCTCATGTCACAGCTGCCGAGGGCTCCACGGCCTGGTTGCAGCCTCCAGCAACTGTCAATGGTAGGCCTACGAGAGTTTTCCTCTTTCTAGTTTTACGAATCTTAGCTAACTTGGGTAGAAATTGGCCGCATTGGTGCTTTTACGCGGGAGCATACTGCTATTGATCTTGACAAGCAGTTGGCAGAGTGCAACGACCCACTCCTTTGGCCGACGCCCTCGGCAATGACAACGGACTCAGAGAATTTGTGTAGCTCAAAGTTTGCTGAAGAGTACATTGATATCCTGCCGGACAACTGGAATATTCTCTCCCTATCATTGAGCGCCGACCGCAGTGAGTTTATCGTCTCACGTCTGCAGCAAGGCCGTTCGCCGTTCCTTTTACGGCTTCCGCTGAAGAGGGGGAACTCGGAGGAAGAGGACGAGCAATTTACTTTCGATGACGGCCGGGAGGAGATGCAGGAATTGATCAAGCTGGCTAATGAGAGTGCCCACGCGGCCAAGGCTCAAACGGATCGGCAATCAAAGAAGGAGTGGTGGAAAAACCGCGAAGCTCTCGACCGCCGGATGGAGACGCTCTTGCAGAACATCGAAAATGTATGGTTTGGCGGCTTCCGCGGCATCTTCTCCCCGGTGCCTCAAGACAAGGCCGCTCTGGGGCGTTTTGCAACCTCATTCCAGTCCATCCTGGACAAGCACCTACCCTCTCGCCAGAAGGGTGGCCGAGCGGATGGCCCGCGCCTGACGCTGCACCCGAACGTACTGGAACTGTTCGTCGGCGTGGAAGACCTGGACGACCAGGAAGACCCCGAAGAGACCTTAATGGACCTTTTGTACTTCGTGGTGGATATCCTGCAATTTCAGGGAGAGCGCAATGCGTACGACGAGATTGACTTTGATATGATGGTCGTTGAAACTCTCGACGCTGTGCGAGCCTACCATGACGACGCCCACAACCGCCGCGGGAAACCCACACCCAACCACACTGTCTTGGTCCTGGATAAATCACTCCACTTGTTCCCGTGGGAATCTCTCCCCTGTCTGCAGGGATTTCCCGTGTGCCGTGTGCCGTCCTTGGAGTGTCTCCGTGACCGAGTTCTGCAGTTCCAGAAGAAGCGTAACTACAACGCCAGCAAGGGCATGGGCATTGACCGAAACAGTGGCATGTACATTCTTAACCCCACTGGGGATCTTCAGACGACTCAGAGCACGTTTGACCAGGATCTGTCCCGGTTGCCTGGCTGGACCAGGATCGTGCAGCGCGAACCGAGCGAAGAGGAGTTCAAGCGCGGCTTGGACCAGACGAGTCTCTTCCTGTACTTCGGACACGGCAGTGGTGCGCAATACATCCGGGGTCGGACCATTAAGCGACTGGAGCAGTGTGCGGTTGCATTCCTCATGGGTTGCAGCAGTGGTACTCTGACCGAGGCTGGCGAGTACGAACCTTACGGAACACCGATGAACTACCTGCACGCGGGCAGCCCTGCCCTCGTTGCTACACTATGGGATGTTACAGATAAGGATATTGATCGGTTTGCGCAGTCTACGTTTGAGAAATGGGGTCTTTTTGATGCCGGATCGGACGGGGCGACTTTGGATGAAGCCGTGTCGCAGTCCCGACCAGCTTGTGTGTTGAAGTATTTGAATGGAGCAGCTCCTGTGATTTACGGCGTTCCATCGGTGTTTTTGGAATAAGCACCTGGGTCAAGCGAGGGGTTTCTTTCGGCGTTTGGGTTGATTCTATTATGTTTGATACATGGTTAGAGGAAGCATGGCTATCGGTGTTTACTGTATGTATCTTAATACGGTAATTTATTTTCTTTCCTTCATGGTTTCATGTCCTAAAAGAGCAAAAATTCCCGAGTAAAAAGACGATGAGGGGAAAGTTCCGGTGTTTTTATTTATACTGTGGGGTTCGAATTGACTGCCCCTCATTGATCTTCTCCCCTCATCGAGAATCCACTCCAGCATTTTAATTCCCGTCCCTCCAACAGCAATTCTTCAAACCTCCTTTCTTCATCATCTTCTTCTACTCGCTAGCACATTGTGAGAGAACGACCTTAATCAACATAATAATGTCCGTCACAACAAAAGCAACCATCGCATCCTTCGGCGGCAAGCTCCTCAAGCTCAGCCATGCCGCCACCTCCACCCGCTGCGAAATGTCCTTCAACCTCTACCTGCCTCCCCAGGCCTTCCAGAACCCTTCCCAGAAAATCCCTGTTCTCATCTACCTCTCCGGCCTGACCTGCACCGCCGACAATTGCTCCGAAAAGGGCTTCTTCCAACACGGCGCCAGCAAGAAAGGCATCGCCGTACTGTACCCTGACACCAGCCCGAGTATGTCACCGGAAACCCCGCGATGTTACCGATTAAATATCCCGCAACGCTAACAGCAATGCAGGAGGACTAGACATCCAGGGCGAGAACGACGCCTGGGACTTCGGCACCGGGGCCGGATTCTACGTCGACGCGACCAAGGAGCCCTACAAGGGTGGCTATAACATGTACACCTACGTGACGGAGGAGCTGCCCAAGACCGTCTTTGCGGCTTTCCCGCAGTTGGACGAGAGCCGCATTAGTATCACGGGCCATAGTATGGGTGGTCATGGTGCTCTGACATTGGTATGGCTGATGGCTTTTTTTTTTGTCTTTGGGATTTTTGGATGTTGGTTATTCAGGTACAGGTACTGATTGGTATATGTGGATTTGATTAGTTCCTCCGTAACCCGGGCAAGTACAAGTCTGTCTCGGCGTTTGCCCCCATCTCGAACCCCATCAACTGTCCCTGGGGCCAGAAGGCCTTCGCTGGCTACTTTGGCGAGGACCAGCAGGAGAAGTGGAAGGAGCACGATGCAACGGAGCTGGTGAAGAAGTGGAAGGGTCGCTTGGATGTGCTTATTGATGTGGTATGCTTTTCCTTTACCTTCTATCAGAACCATCGGGATATAATACTAAGAACAGTAAAAATAGGGAACCGGCGACAACTTCTACAAGCAAGGCCAGCTTCTTCCTGAGAACTTCGAGAAGGCGGCCAAGGAGGCCGGCGTCGAGGGTCTCCAAGTCCGCTACCAGCCGGATTACGACCACAGCTATTTCACCATGGCGACGTTCTCAGATGACCACGTCGAGCACGCGGCCAAGTACTTGTTTGCATAGTGGGTTGATTTCCCTTTCTAAAACCTTTCTCCTTTGCTGTTGAGTATTTGTACCTAGAAGAATTACGAACGTGATGCTTGGAGGACCGTCTTCTGATGTTGGCAGCGATCGTCCGATAAAATCTATGATTTAGATGAATTACGAGGAGCTTTTTCTTTATTCTCAGGTGCTGTATAGAGTAAGTACACTGGTGACTTGTAGATAGATATAACAATGTACATACATATAAGATGGAAAGCTCCACCGCTGGACATGGCTACCCCCACAAAATATCATCTAAATAGAAACTAGAAACTAATAGCAGGTATACATTTCCCCAGACTCAAAGCCCAAATATATAAAAAACCAAAAACAGCCTTCGAAGGAAATAACTCGGTTAAATGTCGGATCCGACTCGGCGCAAGTCGGAGCCGGCAAACCATCAATATACATCTATGAGACTCAGACCAGACTCCCCCCAAGTTCAATCCTCTTACAAATTCTACCAAAAAGAAGTCCACATATACAGAATTTCCAGGCCCAGAAAAAAAAATAAATTGAAAATAATTGAAATTTCTATCTCTATAACCCACACCACCACATAACATGACATAAATAATCAACCAAGAATTAGATCCCCTGCCCCTGCCTCTTCATCTCAATCTGCTCCCGAATACTCCCCCTCAGACTCCCATTCTCCACCCGATCCAGAATCTGCAAGACCCGCAGGTGTTCCTTCTTCAGGTCCTCGAAGCTATCGTCGAGTTGCTTGTGCCAGGGGTAGAGGACGAAGACCTGGAAGGCGAGGGCCGAGGATGCGACGAGGAAGTTGGTGAGGGAGATGCCGCGGGTTATGAGGACCATCTTTTTGGTTTTATTTGGGATTTATTTGCTTTGCTGGTGTTAGCCTTTAGGTCTTTTGACGTGGGTAAGGGTACGATAGGTGGATGTACGTACAGATTATGGGTTGGCTTGTGGGATATGTGATAAGGTAGGTTGTAAGGAGTGGGTTGATTATTTGGAGATGGAGATAGACCTGGAAGGAACGGATTGTATTGTCCAGTAGCGCAGAGAAGAGGAGAGGAGAGAGATCTTCGATGAACGAGTGGAAGACTGGATTGAGTCGAGAGGAAGAGAAAATAGAATGACAAGTTTCAAAGGAATAAGTCAAGTAGAAATATAGGAGAGGCCGGCCGCTGATTGATAAACCGGTGGGTCTGGAATGAACGATCTGTGCCCAATGGAAGTGGAAGACACAGGGACCGTTGCGACATTGGTTTAGTCTGGGTTTTTAGGCTGTGGGGACCAACGGTTTCCATGTGAAATTAGGTATGAGTGGGTTCCAACTTAGTGTCTGATGGGTCTGTTTGGAGGACTGATGCTGTTTGAGTACGTTGAGTGTATGTCGTATCAGGGATTAAGGGCTGGAGGTTGAGCGTGACATGTGCACGTGGATATTTGGACCCTTGACTTTGATGCATATTTCCATTGTGAAACAGTTTAGAAACATCCATGCAGTCCACTCCACTCATTACGCAACGAACATCTGGTCAAACCCTACCACCTGCCACTGCCCGGTCTCAGTATTAAGGGTCAGGTTACTGTGCTTCACTTCACCTTGGTGGATATAACCCGCTTCTACATGTCCCCCGGCAATCGGTCGAGTCAGGTGGCTATCACCATGCTTGACGGTGAAATTGGCTAGGGGAAGTTCCCAGCTATTCCGGGTAGCCACAGTAGGGCATCCTATATTTCCAGTTAGAAATCACGATTGAAATACCTATTAAAAGATAAAGCATACCAAAATATTTCGCCTCCACCTCGTCCTGTCTCAGGTGCAGCTCAAAATACCCACGGTAGTATCCCTCATTCCACTGCAGATCGTCGTTGGCCGCATATGAAGCAGCGATCTTCTCAGCACTACTGATGGTACCCCCAAAGCCAGTGCTGCTCACTGCGGTGCCTGCGAACTCGACGCCGATGCTACCGGCACCAGTCCTGTTGTCATATGGTTTCTCACCGATCCAGGCAATGTCGCTCACCTACTCCAGTTAGCCAGCATATACACGAATTATCAGGACACGAACCCAGTTAACATGCGTGTCACCCGCAATCATGATATTATTGCCGATATTGTTGTCATACAGGTGTTTCAGGGTACGATTTTGGTTCGCGCGGTAGCCCTACTCGATTAGCAGCTTGAACGCTTCCGGATAACACAAGACATTCACCTCCCAAGCATCCATATTATAGGTAACCTTTCCATTGGTCTCCTTTCCAAGTCGGGCGAAGCGAACTTGGCTCCCGATGATACGCCACTTGGCTCTACGGGCATTTGAAGCTGTCAGCTGCTTCTCGAACCATGTCTCTTGACGGCCGCCCATCAAGGTCCGACCGGCATCGTTCTGGATCTCTTCGATGTACTTGGTATTCCAGTCTGGAAGATTAGCTCGCTTCTTCGATCAGAAGGAAGGACATACATAGATCTGTAATGCTGCGATCGTAATGACGTGTATCCAGCATAATCAAGTCAAAAAGGTTTCCCATCTTGAACGAGCGCCAAATGCGGAGGCCGTCATCCATGTCAACTTGACTATAACAATGTTAGACAATTCCGTAAATCTATTAGGTTGGATGTTTAACAAACCGAAGAGGCATCCACTCGAAATACGCCCGGACGGCGTTCATCTTGCGCTGATCAACACTGACATGGGGCCCGTCATTGCGGAATGACTCTTCCGTATTGTTCAGATGGCTGGAGCCATCTCTGTAGCCGTTGTCGGCGATTTCTACTTCGTTAGCGAAGTTCACAAGCTAAGAAAATGTACGTACCATGGTCATCCCAGACAGGAATCCAAGCAAAGTTCTGGTGTGATGCGACAAGATCCAGATCGGTGCGATACTGTAACAATCAGCATGTAGAACCGTACAAAAGTAGCATGGCGTATATACAAATCCAAGTCGAGTGCGATAATCGTAGAGAGTGAATATATCCCTCTCGGGAAGAACAGCTCGTTCTTCCGTCCCGACGATACCGTTTCTGGTTTCGTAAATATAGTCTCCGAGGTGAAGCACGTAGTCGACGCTGTCTTTCCGGACGACATTTCCATAGGCGTTGAAATATCCGGATGCTGTTCTTATTAGCTTCGACAACATGCGCGAGAGAGGCCCACATACGGTAGTTACTGCAGGAATAAACAGCCAGCTTGATTTCTTCCGTTGCATCATCAGGGCCTGGGGCAGTCTTGGTTCTTCCTATTGGACTGGTGATATTTGAATTGCAGATTTGGAACTGGTACCAGTAGGTGGTGAAAGGTTTAAGCCCGGTGGCTTCAACCTTTTGGATGGTCAATATGATAAGAGGAATCAATGATTAATTCATGGTACCTTTAGGGTATAATCGATATCGCTGGTAGTATAAGCTCGACCTTTATCGACAACCTGATGACGCTCTTTATCCTCATACACCCGATAGTCGACACAGATAGGGTGTGCCGAGGCCTTGATGTACGACTCGGTGTTATGGCTATACAATCCCACCGTCCCTGACACGGTGACTTCACTCATGTCAGACTCCAGGGACGGAGCGACACGAGTCCAGAGAATCACACTGTCCGCATAGGGGTCCCCAGAAGCTACACCGTGGGTGAAGTTCAGCTGAGAGGGATGGAATCGGGGCTTATCACGCTTAGCGAGACTCCGACGGTGAACGGAGTCGACGTCAATTCCCATGCGGGTGTGTCGGGTCGAAGGGCTGCGATAGTTCAGGTTCGCATTGTAACTTGCCCAGGTCCCGGTAGACAGGGCTAGTAGAGAGAGGAGAGTAGCGGTATACATCAAGTTGACATACAATAATATCGATGTACTCCGATGCCTTATTCACTCTGTAAACAAAGAACTACTTATAACTTGCTCCACCCTTCAACTCTTATACCGTCGTGGTCCTCGTGTCCTGGAGGAAGGCGTGACCCTTCACTCATGCCCTCTGTGCAAGGCCTTCCTCTCGAATATCCCGAAGACCAATGGAAAGAAACACATTGTCCACATGTCTACCAGCGAGTGGTTGGCTCCATCGCGTGTGGTACACAACGTTAGTAATTGGATGGAATCGAAATGAAAGTGACAAAAGAAGACCGCAGCACTGCTTGTATACAAGAAGCCAAGCCTCGGTTGGAGTGACAATGCCGCAAAGCGTGAATAGGTTGCGGATACTACCAACGATACTAACATTCGTTTGTAGTTGACCAGCTTCGTCGTATAACCGCGTGCAACAGACATTTAGTCCCATTGGAAGGCCAAGAACCGTGTCGGAGCTTGATCGTTGTTCTTACTCTCCTGCCAAGCATTGGCATTCAAGGTCGCTTTCCCGCTTGACAAGATGGGATATTTTAGCTATCAAGTCATTGGCTGTGTTCTGGGTTGGCTGTATATCGTTAGTTTTTGCTGGGCTAGCTCGATGTAGACAAAATTTTAGAAGGTTGTTGTTGCATCAGTGATAGTTGGGAAGAGAAGTAAGCTTTATGCAACCTTCTAGAAAATCACGCTTTGGCGTATCTTTTGGCTATTATTAAGAGATGAGCACTAACTAAAGGGGAGATAAAAGAAGTGTCTAGCTTGAGAATATTCTCGCTTTTAGGGCTCAGAATAATTTTACCAACACTGTCTCTATATTGATAGTCCTCACCGGGTCTCCCAGAATTCTACTATCAAGTCATCTCATCTGTTTGTTAATGTACTGTGCACCGACTGAACTGCCGGGGAACAGATTATCTACATCCTTTTGAAGACTACGCTTCTGGGTTGCATAGTCGCTTACGAATAAGAGAACAGATCGTGTATGGTTCTTCACCGACAGTCATATCATCCTTACAAGTACTGAGAAGCCGATCCCCTAGTGCTTCAACCTCTTGATGAGTAATGCGTGAGAACTTGGATAGATAGATCCCAGGTAGCAAACCATGAGAAGTACGTTCTAGCAGACTAGAGTGACCCGAGATGATGTCTAATAGCGTCAGGTGTTTTCTTGTAATCGGGATGCCTGGGGAAGGGAATATCGAAGTTGAAATAACGGAAGAGCAGACAATAATTGTAACGCAAGGAGACTATAGTCCAAATAAATGGGTGCTGCCGAGATCTTGCTGAGGGTACATACAAGACCAACTTATATAGTCCCCCATCAATATAGAACGATAACCGTCGTGGACCTTTAGGTTTGAGCTCCGGAGGAATTTAATTACATGCGGCCGATAGTTGCAAGTTGGAGAGGAACACAGTCATAGAAGACAGAGACAACAGTAGAGGGAGTGTCCTTACAACCCTTCTCCCTTTATTGCAACTTATGAACTCTATGGTAAACGAACAATAACCATACATCAATCCAACAGGAGGAAGCATGCTTCTCGCCGAATCTACGAGCGCTGTCACACAGGATGAATAAATCCTTCAAACCACCTTTGGTAGCAGTGTCGTTTTCTTCAACTTCTGCATTATCAGCATTATAATCAATTATCGACCGAGGAAACACGTGTCAACAGCTTCGATGTACTGAGAAAGCCCTTAGGAAAGATATATAACGGCACTGTATACTGGGAGCTTCTCGATCTTCTTAGGGCGTGCGTGTTTTACGCCTATTGGGGTATGGCCGGGGGACTTATAATAAACTTCCCGCAAATGGTGTTCTATATGAATATCTCGGATGGGACGCTGATTTTCATTACGGGGGCTGTGTTTTTATTGGGGTTATCCTGAGGAGATGACATGTTGATTCAATATCGGATGCTGGAATCACTCGTGGAGCTGAGATCCTACTGAGATATGTTGGGGTTAACTCTGGAGAAGGTACATGAGACTAGGATGTTCCAACTATAGTACTTAACCGATTGTTCGATAGCTAGTCATAGATCTCGGCATTTCCCATGGGAAATGGGGTAAAAGCGAGCATAACCTTAGCCATGGATTACATCCGATGAGGACCACAAAGTTTGAACAGTGGGTCGGTAGGTGCATTCGTGCGCATGTATATCCGTATCTAGCGGTCATACAGACAGCACAAAGCCCTCACCCTGCTAAAATCACACTGTGTACTGTGAAGAGAGCGGAATGTTCCGTCTTGAGCCCCAGAAGAGTTAGCTGGAACTTGGTACAGAGTAGTACAGTTCTAAGTAACCCGCCACCGAGCCAGACAGGAAGATCCACCGGATATCGCTTATTGGCAAAGAGATGCCGCCCCCATGAAATCGGTTCCTTCCCCGAGGTTCAGGATCCACAATAGTGCTCTAAATTTCTCCATATGCAACCTACAGTCCGGTATCGGGGTCATATCACGTCAAGGATCAAGGATTCGCTGCCAATTCACATGCATCTAATTACTAATTAATAGTTGTAGCGATAAGTGGGCGCCAGGTCACCCAAGACCTCCTCCTGTTCCTCCGCGGTACTACTCTGGGAATCGATGGCCCCGGTTGCCGTCGCTCGGTCGCGTCTTTGGTTATCGAACATGAGCGCGGCGAAGTATACAGCGGCCATTGCTGCCGAGAAACATAGGAATGATAAGCTAATGATGTATCCGTTGCGGTAGAGCGGCGCGTCTTTCTGCAGGAAAGAGTATGTTGAGATGATTCCTCCGACTGTGGTGGGTTAATGTGCGCTCGAAACGAGAGAATTGAGAGCAGACTTACTATTTCCGAACCCGATTTGCCAAGCTGTCCCTACGCTCCGTCTCCGATGACCTCCTAGATTCATTGAAAACCAACACACCAGCACTGGCATTGCGCTGTAACACCCGCTCGTCACCAAGAATAGGGCTCCGTACTGCACGTGCCGTTGCGACTCGCCGTGGACGTTCAGCAGAATTCCATATCCTGCCATCGCGATGAGCATCGGGATGAGTGCGAATGCGAATCGATGGCGAAACTTGTCTGATAAGAATGCGACAAGCATGGAGAAGCCGAATGCCGCGGCCCAGGGAGGGATAGAATAAAGCTGCGTTCTGATGGCTCCGTAGCCGTAGGTCTTGATGATCGTCGGCGCAAAATAAGCGTAGCCTTGCAGGGTCAGTATTTGAACGGAGATGGAGGGAAATGACGGGCGCATACCGTAGGCTGTGACCACTTGGCCGAAATACATCCACCCACCGATGAAGATCTTGTCTGCGAAGTCGGTGGTTAGCATCGCGAATGCGACCTGGGTTAGCTGCGAGGGATACTCACAATCCTTAAAGACACTTAACACATCGCGCCAGCTCAAGCTGGCATGCTCCGCAGCCTTTCCCGTATCCTCGGCGAGCTTCTCGCGAACGAAACGCCGCTCATCTTCGGTGAGCCACTTCGCATCCTCTGGGAAATCTGTCACCAGGAAGTAACAGATGATGGCGACCACGCAGGTAAGGATCCCTTCGATGATGAACACCCATCGCCAACCTCTATAGCCGCGAATTCCATCCATTTTGCCAATGCCGCTGGCAAGGAGACCGCCAAAAGCACCGGCGAGGGTGGTGGAGCTGAAGAAGAAACTGAAGCGCTTCTGGGCTTCGCTGCGCTTATACCACATGCCCATCAGATAGAAACCTGCGCGGTTAGCTTGCGACGGTCAGGACTGAGGAAGTCGCACATACAACCAGGAAACAAGCCCGTCTCAAACATGCCCAAGAACCAGCGCGTAGCCATGAGTCCTCCCCAGTTCTGCACCAGACCCTGACAGACCATGACCAAACCGAATCCAAACATACATAATGACACTGGAGACGACCGTCAGCACTCGCTTTATCTTGTAGGGATTCGGGGGCGAGCCATACACCAAAGATGAGGCTTCAGCTTCTTCAGTAGGATATTTGACGGGATCTCGAAGATAATATAGGGGACAAAGAAGATTGTCAACGCGGTGTTATATTTCGTGCCCGTCTCGATTTTCAAGTCTTCTTGTAAGCCCAGGATAGCCGCATTACTGATGTTCACTCTTCATGCGCATTCGTTTTAGCATCGGCGCTCAATGGGGAGTAGCATTCCAACTGACCGGTCCAAGAATGCGAGCAAATACATGAGGCACAAACACGGTACGACGTGCCAGTCAATCTTTGCCATGAGCTTGCGCTCATTGATTTGGGGTCGCTCGAACCCTGGCGAAATATCGCCATCCGCGTTCTTTTCCAGCTCTGCGACGATTAGCGACTATGTGTAGAATCGCGGGAGATCTCTCGACACGAACCTGAGAATCCCATGGTCGCAGGAATTGGGGTTGGCCACAGGAGTCAAGAGGAGGAAGTTAAAAAAAAAAAAAAAAAAAAAAAAGCTGCTTATCTGAAAAACAGGGGAAACCTGTCAGATTTTAAATCCCATTGTGGTAAACATCGGCCCGAGGACCTTTCTAGCTTAACAATTGCACTTTGGTAAAAGAAGCCTGATAATTTGGCTTGCGTGTGGAGGCCGGAGTCGGCCGCCAGCTGAATCGATGCAGATCCATGACTCATGGAGTAGGGACTATCGCTCGATATGCCGATCCCGGGGTATTCTTCCTAGAATCCAGGTAAGCTGGTCTAATCTACTTTCATTTGTAAGGGAAATTCAAAATTAAAAAAAAAAAGGTCTCAATATTAAGCGTCGCCAAGTGAGCCCTACCACGGATCAAAACACCAACACCGGAACGAAAACACACACGTTCATACTGTTTCTAATTAATTATGCTTGATAAGAATGTTCAATATGCATTATTCGTCCTCGCGAAGTATTACTATCCAATCCAATGTTTGCAAAAGGCCACCATCGCCGATCACACAAAATAACGATGACATACCCCTTGCTTGCCCTCTCCCTTGTAGTCTCACGTTTCCAGTTCATCCTGACGGACACGGGGCCAGAACCATTGACCATCCGGTAAATTTCATTGATAGGAGCTGTTACACATAGCCCTGCGACCGTGTTACATGGTCACAACCGTCATTGCAAGTTTATTCTTGGGCGACGGCAGCTCCATAGCTTCCGTAGGAGCCATACTTGCCGTAGTTACCGTAGCTTCCATAGTCCACGGGGGTAGCAGTAGGGGCCGCGGTGGTGGTGGTAGTAGTAGTAGTAGTAGCCTTGCTCTCTTCAGCTTCTGGGACCTCGTCCCTCTTGTACGACCCGTACGATCCGTAGCCACCGTAGTTTCCGTATTCACCATAGTTTCCGTAGCTGATCGGTGTGGCAGTTGGTGTCTCGGTAGTAGAGAGAGTTGTGGAGCTGCTGTCATCTCTCTTCTCGAGATTGTACTTTCCATAGGAGCCGTACTGACCGTAGTTGCCGTAGTTGCCATAGCTGATAGGAGTCTGGGTAGGGGCTTTCGTAGGTGTGGTTGTGGTGGTAGACTCGATATCATCGGCCTCGCCTTCTGGAACCTCGTCTCTCTTGTATGTGCCATACGAGGCGTAGTTGCCGTAGTTGCCGTAGTCTCCATAGTTGCCATACTGAGCGGGTGTTGGCTTACTGGTCTCGGAGCTGGAAGCACTCGAGACTGGAGCGGCGCTCACGGCCAAGAGCTGAGTGCCCAGAACGAGCAAAAGGGACTTGCTTGTGAAGAGCATATTGAGGGGGGGGTTCTGATGAAGGAGGAAGGGTATGTCTGGTTCAGAGGCGCTGCTGGGGGGATGTAGTCAAAGAGGGAAGGCAGATATATTTATAATTTGTTCGCTGTACCTTTCCACAAGAGATCAAAAAAAAAAAAAAAGTCTACTATAAATATAAACATAATCCCGTTGACTCCATCTCGTAAATTGCCTCTCCGTCATCATTGGACACGTCTCTGAGTGGACTAAACTACGACTTCACAAGCTCCTTAACCCGTGGTTCGTACCAATTACAGCAGCTCCGGGGTGATACCTTGTCGCTCATATGCAGTGCTACCTGCTTGACCCGCAATAGATCCCACTTAATCCAATCTCCAAGCCACCAACAGCCCTGCATATAGAGGGGTAGGTGGTAGTAGGTGGTAATAGCAACAAAAGACCGGATATACCGGGACCAGAGCCAAACAGGAAGCAACCTGGGAACATTGACCAGCCATTTTGCAGTAGAAACGGAAATTTGGAGGCGATCAATCCTTACATCATTGTCTCATCGACCGCAGTCTCGACTGTGGATCTCCAAGCTTCTCCGCAGGCCAAGCGCCACTCGTATTTGATCGACTGTTATCGTCATCCGCAGCCTAGATTAACCACTGAGACATGCATGCATTTAGGCGTGCAGTTGTCTTACCCAGCCCCAGTATTGCCTCGGGGATCTCGGTTGAGGTGGCAGGCCTTGTCTCACATACTATTTTTGTTGTACCAGCCTGCAGATTGACTTGTCGTTTTCTTCCTCATGCCGCCCATTTCCTGTGGGTCGCGCGGGATATGAGCTGGCTTCGGTCAAAGACATAATTAAACAGTGATTTCGGCCTCCGGCCTCCAAGATACACCGACTTTATATCGCTTGTGCAGTCTTTATTTCTTCCGTATTCCCGGAGTTGAGTGATTTTGTTGCCCACGAACTTTTTGGAAGACAAGATGCGGCATTCAGTGTCTGATCCTGACGTGGACGAGAAGCTTCTTTCCGATGAGGAGGCTACATGGCCCCGAGATAAGAAGGCAAATGAAAGTACATTCAAGAAATGTGCGAAATATTTTCTGTTCTTTGCAGTGGCCGTGTTCACCTGCTTAGTAGGTGTTGTTCTCGGCCGTCAGCAGAACAACTCGGATAAATTCTGCGCTCGACAACTCACACAATACTGTATGTCCTTCAATCACGTCTCCGGCTAATCTCAAGAGACACCGTTATTGACACACACACATAGCTCCCGTAATATCTGAAGTCGGGCTCGAATACCACCAACAGAAGTTCAATGGATCCTTCTTAAAAGAGAATATTTATCGTCAAGAAGCAAGCCCAGAAGTAGATGCTGCATGGGAGGCTCTCGGTGTGAACTGTATGTCCCCAGCCGGCTGTGACTGTATGCAGAATTATCTCCGACTAATAGCCGTGCAGACAGAAGTCTCAGGGTCCCTGCATCAGAAGCCCAGCAGTCCGGCCTAGCTCCCGATCAAGTCAAGATCAACGAGAAGTATGGCGGAGGTTATCCTGCAAATATCGAGGGCCTGCATCACCTGCACTGTCTTGTATGACAACATTAGCCCCGAAACATGGGGAACTATAAATGGAAGTTGGAATACTAACGGATGATGCAGAACCTCTTAAGGCAGTCGCTCTACTACAACTATGATTACTATCATGACCAAGGCCAGGGAGCCTTTGTGAACGATGACTTTATTGTTCGACGCCACGTGTGTATGTATTCATGTCCTGTGAGTTCTGGGATAGTTCGGAATGCTAATTAAATCCACAGCCCATTGCCTCGACATCATACGGCAGCAGCTTATGTGTACAGTGGATATTGGAGTCCTCGGCCAGGTCTGGGTTCACCCGGAAGCCCCCGAGCCATTCGTTGACTTCAACACGGAGCATAAATGCCGTAATTTTGAAGCTATTCGGCAATGGGCCGAACGCAATCAGCTTCCCGAAACAGTGCCTCAGGACTTTTTGCAGCCCCCGAAGATCGAGGACAGAGTGTATAATGAGATTCCGTGACGATGTCATTTTAATGACTGTATATGTATATATATATATATATGTTTTATAAGACCTAATGAAAGGAACGTTTGCCGCCAATGCTCCAGTGGCACTATATGCTGTATAGGAGAATTAATCATGGTAGAATGTTTACGCTCCGTTGATTTAAGCGGTAGCAAGAAATCTAGTAATAATATAAAACCCCGTGTTATATGCCTCGTATCATTGTTCCACCCAGTAAAGATCAACGTTATATTCACATAGAATTAGAAGCCAAAGTAACAAAGTTCGCAAAGGTGCAAATTCACACAACTACGGCGAATACTCTAGGGGCTTAAAGACCACATCTATTTCTTCGGAGGCGATTTAGACGCCAATCATATGGGCAACTTTAAGCGTGGGCTTAGGGCATCCTCCTTGTTATCAACTAAAAGGTTTGTTCTATCAGCAGAAGCAACAATAGTACCAGAGGAGAAGCCCTTTAAGCATTACATGTTGGAAAATCAGCCCTCTGCTTCAGGGTCCTAGCATCGTTAAATGTGACCCCCGTATTTGATTAGCATCTTCTGCAATTGAACGTTCTAGAAGGAATAGATTACATTTGATCATTACCATAGATCATCTAGTTGAGGTTAGCATCCTTGCAATAAGCCGACGGCACCTTCGTTGTTTCGATAATGCAGTCAATATCAGAAAGCCATTTTGCGCAGCGCTACGCAGCCCAGGGATAACGGCACTTTTCCCATACAGATCCAATAAAAAGTCACAGCTTCTACTCTCACATAGGGTCTTTCAATTTGAATGCCTCTCCGGAGAAGGGCACCCCAAGTGAAGCCCTCGTCGGGTCAATCTTGCTTTGCTAGAACTGAATAAAATCGGGTTCGATATCTGGCAGAACCTTAGTGTCTGAAAAAGAAGGGGAAAAAATCAGGGAAACGCGACATACCAATAAGGTCTTTTGGAACGCATAGTAGTACCCCAATGCTCTATGTCGCAATCTTTATCAATATCATCTGAGCCGAATAAAAGAGGTCTACGTAGGTGTCCATTGCAGGAATATCAATCATATCCTTTTCTAGAGCCTGCAATATGCTATCAGTCTATGCTTTGTAGAGAAGTCTCCTGGAAGCTCAAATCCTAAGAGTGGCACCTAAACTATAATGCCATACTTATCTCCAAATGCTGGGCGAAGCTCCTCCAGCAAGGCGATATAGTTCCTTGTATCTTCAGGTAAAAAGGGCCTATCATAAGAGCATTTAAAGGTGGGATCAGCGAATACAAAGCGAATGCTATTACGATATGCCTTCTTTATCTGGAACAGTGTTTCATGTTACGAAAATACTATCAAACCCGTACTCTTCCATGATTTCAACAGTGCACTAAGTAAAATCCTTCCGAGCGTCAATAGGTGAAGCAATTTTTAGGTCGGGAACAAATAGAGGAACGTTCACTCTAACAGCGAGATAGGCCGTAAGAAATGGCTTTTTGGCCTTTAGGCCTGTGAAATCTTTCCAGGTCTGGTTGTCGCCCCCATTCTGTATAATATGTGCAGTGGTAAAATCAAAGTTGGCCTTGTAATAGATGAGATGCTAGAGAATGTCATTCCCCATTCGTTGGCAAACATGAGTGGAAAGCAATGGAAACTCACAGTCCATGGTTTAAGATCAATGCCTGATATTGCGAGATCAAGACATGGCTTTCCATAGGTCGGCGCAGCATAAATCCCAATATAGCGCTCCTGACTAGAAGTTCCTGAGCATGAAGTTAGTCTGTGAGTAAAGGCTGAGCTTCTGTCACGGAGCATATGGCTTACGATTCATTCGATCTTTTGTAGCCACTGTCGGAATTTGATATACAAGGTGGCTGCCCGTCTTCTGCGATGCAGCTGTTAATGGATGGGTGTATTGAAGGACGCAGAGAAGTGGGTACTCACTGCCGCAGTTTTCGTGGGCTTCACATTTGGAGGTGCACACATCCTCTCCGCAGAATTCCTTGCCGAATCCACAATAGCCATCCTTACTGCGGCACATAGTGATGCATGTCCTAGTTTCCGAGCATCTATCTAAGGAAACGGAGAATGTTTGAGCAGCTAGAAATGCCACTAAAAGGCCCTCAAATTGCCACTTAGGGTCATGAAGGGAAACCATCGTGTGTTAAGAAGGCTACAAATGTATTCAACCGCAATGAGATCCTGGGGATATAGCGACACTTATAACAAGCTCCTTAATTGCAGGGGCCGAGGAAAGTACCCAGAGTAGGTTCTTTTACTGTACAGTTCTTTACTATGAGTTCAAAACTTACGACGTTTTTAATTCATATCCGCCGGTCGGGTTCTTCGCCCCTTTTCAGGTCTATGTTAGACGGTAGTAGATCTACCAGATAGGCGGCTAACTCATGGACTGATAAATGGGTATTAGGAGCCATTGTGCGTCCATTCGGGCGTTTTCAGGGCAGCAAGCCTTATAAGATGTCGGTTCAAGGCGAAAGAAGCGTGCGATCAATGCTTCGCTCTTGCCAGGTACCCGGCATCTGAAAACTTAACTTCTCTCCATCGGTGGTACAGGCTGTAGAATCCAAGAATATGTTCTGGGTTATCATCTTGACAGATTTCAGAGAATGGACTTTGACTAAATGCTAGACCTAGAGGCCGATGTATCCCCACAAACTTATGTGACACCTGAGCTATGCCTGCTACTAAAGACATTATCTCTTCTCTCAAAGGGCCCAATGAACGTACACCTCATTAGAGTTCAATTTGAGACCCTTGGACTTGAAACACTATCCAGTCGAGAGCCCGTGGTCATATTATCGTCGGCGAGAGTTAGAATGGCTGATCGGACGTGTGCCCTGAACGAACTCGCGAAATTTATTTTCCCAAGTGGACTCATAGTTCGGCTAACTGCCCGATAGCCCAAGCATATCAGTACATCTTTACAGATCGTCTACGGTGTGTCTTAACTGAGAAAGCTACGAGCAAGGCCGTCGTCGCCTATTGAGTAAGCCACAACCGGTGCTCTCATGGTATTATACTGAAATCATGACATGAAAAGGAATCAATCGGGGCAAAAAGCGATACAAAGCCTCTCAGCTAGCATCAGTAAATTATCAGCACTAAGCTGGGGTTAACAACATTAGTTGGCCATTAGTTGGCATATGACGACTCCATAGACATTATGTCAAAGATATGATATACGCGCCTGATACTGGCAGGAGTTGTTGTCCATGCAAGTCCAGCACTAATAGACCCCTAGCCGATGACCTGATATCAATTTTCATGTTCCCTTGGACCGCTACGAATAAGAGAATCATGCCTAAGACCCAATCTTACCACAAAAGACTGGTCTCAAAGGAACGATCACACCCAAGGAGCAAATGCAGAGGCGTCATTATCAACCAACATGAACACATGACTTCCCTGGCGTATATGAAGTGATAATTGTCTTAATAACAAAAGCACTCATAGCAACACTGTCAATGGTACTTGCTCTTTCCCCTGGACCCGACGTCTCTTCAGCACCTTTATCGTCGTTCCCTTGCCCAGACCAAGCTCACAAAGAGACCATTTAAGTCTGGCTGCATTTCCCGTTAATGCAGCGCCCGCGGAGATAACATTCTTGATGAATTTTGCAGTCCTTAAATGCCTCATCGCTCCCTGCGTCTTCTCTAGCCATCACCTTAAACGGGTCCCGGCACCAGCCACCAAGGCAGATCTGAGGAGGCCAGCACCGTCGTTGGAAATTACATGGTCTTTGATGAGTTTCGAGGCCATTCGGTGTTTCTCCCGCATTGGGATCGCGAGTCAGGAGTTTCGAAGGCAGGCGTGGTATCCTATCGCAGCGTCCGCGACGGCACCAGGAGCCGACGGCGCAATCCACACTAGTCTTGCAGAGAGTATCTGCAAGATACACATAGGGGATCAGGTTTCAATGGTTTTTCCTGGGATTCAAGAACTCACTTTCGGTGGTGTCGTGGGCATCTAGCTCTGCATCGTCCCGGGGGCTCCTGATGCAGTTTCCATTATGACAGTGAAAATTGACGGGGCAGTCTGCATTGTCTGTACATCCACGAACTGCAACCCATGGACATCCTAGTATTTGATGTTGTTTTCTCTCCAGTATTGGGATAGGTAAAATACTCACTGTCGCGTTTTGGCCAGGGTGACACCTGCTCACAAGCGCTGTTATCCACGCCCTGGCAAGGTTGATCAACGGAGAAATCTGTGTTGTCGGGAGAGCTGTTCAGTGCTGGGGAAAAGGCTATTGTGTGAGAGGGTGTGGAGGGCCCACTCACCATCGTTGGCTTGGGAAATCGAACCGGTACCAAGTGAAGCAACCAGGTTCCATAGAAGAAGAAGAATGATTATGTAGAGCCTCATTTCGAGATAGGTTCCTTCTCCTTGAGAAAGTACTTTGTGGGATAGTAGATTAGGGGATGGCCTGAAGAACAGAATGAGGGACGCTAGGGAGAAGAAGGCAGATCACAGGTCGGTGCTGCTTATGAGGAAAGATTTATAGACCAGAAAGGGAGGCTAATGCTGGTTTGCGATGGTCATTCTCCTCCTGATCAATTGCATCAAAGAGCCTGTTGATGGGAATATGCCCGCCAGATGAGAGGAATCTATTCATATCCCTTGTGCGACCGAGCTTTTTGACAGCATGTGGCGTTGGCAATGATCACACGGTTAATTGAGTACGGCGTTTCTGGTTACACTAAATTGCATGGAAGTATAGCAGACTTGATCAAGATGCCTCAAAGTGAAGACATGAGAGTTCTCCGTTTATACCCATCATCGTAGTAATGCTACGTTACTTATCTGTATTCGTGGAGAACTGGCGCAAAGAATGGATAGGCAAGATGTAAAATGACTGTTATTCGTCACCTAGGGCATGGATAGCCCAGAGTCTCACTCATTGGTAGCCTCGGATATGGATGCGGCTCTCTACAGCCTCACTGGTAATCGAACTGCACACACAGCCTCCCGAGTGGGGATACTGGTCAGATGAAGATTCAAGCTAGCCTCCAACTCGCATGCCACGCGGTACCAATCAAACGCCATCTAGTGTATTCTGACCGTTGAAGAATTTTAACAATATATTTAAGCCTTGGGACCCGCTTCTAACCCTCAATCCTGCATTATCCGTGGTACAGAACAAGACTGAATCACAATGTCCGGCAACACGACTACGCCAGCACCCAGCATGGAATTCAATATGGAGGATATAGTGGAACGTATCAAAACCGGAAAAGCTACTCGCATAGTCGTCTTGGCCGGTGCGGGAATCTCTACAGCTGCCGGAGTGCCTGATTTCAGATCACCGGCTACGGGCCTCTATGACAAACTGGCCCCCTTGAAACTTCCCTACCCAGAGGCTATCTTTCACATCAACTATTTCCGACACACTCCCGAGCCATTCTACGCGCTAGCTAGAGCCCGTAATCCCAAAAATCTCAAGCCAACAATTTCCCATGCGTTCCTGGCGCTACTAGCCAAGAAGGGCCTCCTTGATTTCATATTCACTCAGAATATAGATGGCCTCGAGATAGATGCTGGTGTTCCGCCGGAGAAAGTGCTTGCGTGCCATGGGAACTGGAAAAGCCAGCGATGCCACAAGTGCAAGACGCCGTACCCGGACGATCGTATGGCCAAGGCGATTGAGACAGGCCAGGTGCCTTATTGCCTCATCTCGGAATGTGGTGGCGCTGTGAAACCCGATGTCGTCTTTTTTGGGGAGCCCCTACCCGCTGCATTTACTGTGGAGGAGAAAAGGGCGTCCGAGGCAGATTTAATGATTGTCATTGGGACAAGCCTCAAGGTCGCACCGTGTTCGAGACTACCGCGCCAAGTGAAGGACGAAACCCCCCGTGTGCTGGTTAATATGGAGAAGGTAGGGGATTTTGGAAGTCGACCGTCGGATGTGTGCATCCTTGGGGCGTGTGACGACGGGGTACGGCAGCTGGCCGACGCACTAGGTTGGAGAGATGAGTTGGAGAGGCTTTGGGAAGATGCTGTCACTGCGAAGCTCGCAGAGGTGAATCCCGAGGCTGGGAAGACTCTGGATCAATGTATTGAAGAGTTGGCAAATAAGATGGAGGCTTCGGCGAAGATCTCCGATGGGCATAAGAGGATGTTGGAACAGCATTTGGAAGAAAAGTTTGGGAATATCCTCCCCAAGCCTCCCGTCACTTGACCTATATAGGTGAGGTACTATTGATCACTGCCTTTCAGTTGAGATTCCAGTCGTAGTAATTTGAAAAGAGCGTAAATTACGGGAGATAAAGGCTAGTGAGTTTGTTGTTCAAAGAAGCCAGATGAAGAGGTGAATATAGCACAATGATAAGAACAGAATGAATTACTGAGCTCGCTTCTCAACACACTTCCAATGAAATCCTTGCCCAATCAATTTTTAAATAGCTGTTTCATCCGTAGCTTTATCTCTTTTTTAGTTTTCTTTATTCCCATATCTTTCTTATCACGATGCGCAAGGTGCTAACATATACTAGTTGGGGAGATATATATTACCCTTCATGCCCTCCCGTAGATGCATGATCCAGAGGATCGCACCCTTCGTCAGCTTTAAAATGAATATCAATACATTCACGTCCTAGTAAAAGCTTCACCACCTCTTCATGGCCCTCTTGCGCTTCTCGAGCGAGTGGGGTCCAATTTCGATCGCATTTCGTATCAGCTTCAACATTCGGACGATCAAGCAGCAGTTTCACCACATCTTCATGGCCTCCACAGGCGGCCCAGGCAAGTGGGGTGCGTCCAGCTGCATCTCGAAAGTTCGCATCAACGTCCTCCCGCGCCAGGAGCAGTCGGACCACTTCAATATGGCCCTCTTCTGCAGCACGGGACAAAGGTATCCTACCCTGAACATCCACTGGGTCCGTAGTTTTATTGGGGTGCTTAATGAGGAGACTAACAATCTCTGCATAATCCTCTTGGGCATCTCTAGACAAGATTGACCAACCCCGGACATCAATTACGGCTGGATCAGCACCTCTCTCCAGTAACCGTTCCACAATTCCCAGGTATCCATTCCCTGCAGCTTAATTCAATGGTGTGTAATCCCACCTATCCCTAGTATTTCGATCTACATGGCCAGTCGATAGCAATGCTTTCACGGCTGCTTCATGACCCATTCTGGAAGCTAGGGATAGAGGTCTCCAGCCTTCTAGAGTTTTAGACTCCGTGTCAACGCCGCGGTGCACTTTCAAAAGACGTACAACTTCTACATGTTCTCTTCTGGCGGCCCAGGAGAGTGGCGAATGGCCTCTTTCGTCTTGGTTTAAAACAATGGAGTCCTTGGTAAGGAGCAACTTCATTGATCTCTCGTTTCCATACTTTGCGAGTAGATGAAGAATTGTTTCTTGTCAGTCATTTCCAATGAGACGATGGTCACTGGAAAGAAGGGTTGCTATTTCAGGGATGGCCTGTAATGCAAATGACAACTCGTCTGTATTCAGATGTTCTAGTATGAGTTTGATCAGTTCTAAAGGTAGGCATAGTTGAATGAATTCTAAACCAAGAAAGAGAAGAAAAATAATTTTTTTTTTTTGAAAACCAGAGGAAGAAGTATTTCTTTTTTGAATATCCTTACAAGTTTTAAGACCAGCGAGAGATGAATAATGGCCAACGGCAGGTTTTGTTTACAGGAGAAACGAAGGAAGCGGCCGGTTATTGGGGGATTGGGGCTCTGGACTACTTTCGGATTGGGGTGGAGGGTCTTGTTGTCTGATGTCGTCGTTGTCCTTCTCTGTGTAGAAGACTAATGGCTGGTAGTTGGGAGTTTCCTGGCGTTCTTCTGGTGACATGACGTTTGGATCTGAGAGGCATGGAGGGATCTCCGGGGGAGAGGAAAGGATCGGTGTAGCGTTTGTGTGTGAACCAGAGGTCTGGGGCCCGCGGTATATCTCGCCGAGGTCGCGCACGAACTGGAAGGATCCATGTGCATCGCAGACGATGTGATGTAACGGGATGTCGAGTGCAACACCTCCGCAGGCAAACCGCGTATGCTTGATCGCGAGAATGGGATCGCGACAGGGCTCCTTCTATCATCCGATCAAAAGGTGGCAGTAGGGCGTTTCCAGAAGCGGGCAGATTTGGCATCAGGATGCGGCCTGAAGTGGAAGCCGAAGCAATATCATCTAGTCGGGTGCTACACCAGGCTTCTGGAAGCTCTGCTCCGGTGTCTAGATCAATGATCTCTGGGACTTTACCACTCGTGTTGAATTGCAGGTGCCTGTTAGGTGTGGGTAGTAATCAAGAACAAGCGAGACTGCTCGTTGTAGGCATTTGTTGCGATAATTTCACGTTATTTAGAAGTAACATGTCTACTCGTGGGATTGTTTTTATAGACGAACACAACCTGAATAGGTACGGTGGGAAACACTAAATAGTTCGCTGGACCAAGATTGAAAGGCGATCCCAGTGCGGCCGTTGCGCCGTTGTTAGCGCATTGCACGGAGTGCGACACCGTGACATGAACTTGGTCCAACGCAGTCGCTGTCTTCACGGCCATGAATGTATAGAGACTCAAAATCGAAAGCACGGGAAAGCCTGTGGTTAGAAAGGAGTGTTCTGATCAGGTGATTTAGGGACATGCGAGAGAGAAAAGAGAGATCTTTAAAGAGATACTCGATCAGACTTCACGCTTTTTATGATCTTTCTTCCCAACGAATGTCTCAGTAGATAATCGTTGGTTCAGATGGGCTTCGGGCGGATGAGAAACCCACCTAAGAATTCCAATTTATGCAGCATATCTTTCGCGATACACCAACCAACGCTTGAGCTTCGTCTGAAGGGCTTTAGTGTAGATCCAAATCAACGCTATGCCTATAGGAAAACAGATGAGGAAGAGGACGCATAGCTGTGTTTCCTGCATGTAGTCCTTTTACAACCGTTAGCTGTATATGGATTCAAAATCCTAATGACATGGTGCAGCTAGGAGGCGGAAGGTTCGCTGTTATTTTCTCTCCAAATAATTCAGAGAATACATTTACTGCACACGACGGAGATCGATGCGTCCCACAGGGCTCGGACGAATCTTCCTCTAACTAGAAGCCTCATGATTGGGCTTCCCTATTCGCTTCCGAGAATCTTTGCGACTTATACATTCTCCGTCTAGACGAGACTTCGCCCATCCATCTTCACGCTCGGCACCTCGCTGTGTTGACTGGACGTGTGATTGACTGCTTGTAGACTACTAAAGGCCAGCCCTCTCTTCAGTTATCATAACAGATGAGTAGATCGACGAAGTTACCGCACAGCTTCCACCAGGACACCTAGACCTAGACCAGATGTCTTTATGTCAGAATGTCAATGAGAAGCACGCCCGACTATACCGGCTGGTCAATATACATCAGCTTAAGGCGCACCTATACTTGCCCTTTTTCTTGCTCTCGTCGGGTAGTAGAGGGCAGAGGCATGGTCGAGACTGTTACGTGAAGAGCGCGCGGGCGCTCCTAGAAGCGTACCTATATTTCTACGAGAGCGACCCCGCCACGGCCCGAATAAGCAATAGCGTGAAGCTCTCTGGGTTCTCAGCACTTACTGCTGCTGTTATCGTTTTCCTCCGTTTGCTCGGAAGAGACACTGCACGGGAGAAAATTTTGAAACGGAATCCGACCTGGTATGGTCAGTCTCTCATCCATCGGACTATATCTGCGCTCAATGACCGCTCAGAAGGTCAACCCGGTTCACTGCCTGGTCAGTGTCACACCGCGCTGAACGAGCTGGTGCGAATCAGTCAATCGTTAGAAAGAGGGATTAGCCGACAGATTGTCATGCCATATTTTGGTATCGTGACAATTGACCGTAAATGCGACAATGGCCTTCAGGCCCCGGATAGTCTTTGGCAAGAAAGACTGACCGAGTCGACTACGGAGCTATTACACAAGTGAGGATATGCATGCCCTCCCTGACTTGTGTGATGATCTAACCTTTTCCATATTTAGGTCCGTGGGCGACTCCCTATCCAACATATTTCGAGTGAGCTAGTCAGATTGATACAGGCTTTGATTGATAACTGTGCTGGGCTGTCTAGTAATTATATTCTTTCCATTCATTCTTCATACATTGTCTAATAAAGGTAGTGGGTCTTCGTGGTGCATGTGCTGAAGAGTCTAAATATCCACGGCTGGCGCGGATCCACTTTATATTAATAATGGAAATCCTATTAACTAATCAGCCGGAATCGGCGCGGATTTAAATTGACTCCTAAGCTAATCCGATGGAGTAAAAAAAAAAAAAGAAAGGAAGAAAATACGAGTTCCGTAGATTGAACTATTGGCCTGAATCCGAGATATTGATAGCGTGATTCGAGGAAGAAGTGATAAACCCCCACACAAAGAAAGATAGATTGATTAAGACATCCTATCCCTAACGAACTCGTGTTTTATCTCATTCCCAGAGAACAGAGAGTAAGGGTCTTCTCCTTGCGGCTGAAGAAAAAGCAATCAGGGCTGTGGCTGACCTGAAAGGAATTCTCTCTCTCTCTCTGACTGGTCCATTTCCAATATTAATTGCTCATAACTAGCCTCGATTTCAGCTTAACCTCGAGCTTTGACTCCATATGAAGTGCACTGACCAGGTTTCGGCTTGGATTTGCTGTTAATCCCGCTTAAGCCCCAGACTTCTTATATTTTGAGACAAGAAGCTGGCAAATTCGAGATCCAAACCAGAAACTTCCTAATCCCAGTCCGATCGATTATCTAGGCTATGGCAAGTGAGGATCAGCGGCCATGGGGCTACAAATGGCGGTCATCTAAAGGCTTTATAACCTCAACTATCATCATCGCCTTGTATACTGGTATTTCTCATAAGAATCGTAACCCCGCTAGTGTCCATCATACTAATACCCCCACGTCAGAGACCTTCCTTTATGGCTTTGTGGTTCCCATATTAGGGTACATGCTTGAGGCTCGCCTTCGCATGGACCCATCGAAAACTCAACGGATGACCACTGCCGTACTGACCGTTCATGGCTTCGTATCTCTCGTCTCCGCGCCCATCATCGCTCATTTTGCCGACCAAACGCCCAATCGAAAGGCTCCGCTGCTGATGGCTCTCGCGGGATGTATCATAGGCACTCTGCTGGTAGCCTCCACTTTCTCCAGTTCGTAACCCGTCCGATTTACTATCAGATAAATTACCCCCGAACTCACAATCACGCAGTCGAGACGCTTTTTATTGGTCGTGTTTTGCAGGCAATAGCCGGTAGCGCCGCCTGGATTGTCGGTCTTGCGACTTTGAGCGAGAATGTAGGCCTAGAGAATATGGGAAAGGTGCTAGGGCTGTCTATGACCTTCGTGACAGCCGGCCAAATCAGTGGCCCTATTGTTGGTGGTACTCTTCTAGAACTGGTCGGGTATTGGCCAACATGGAGTGCTCCTATGATAGCCCTTTTTCTGGACATGATCGCCCGTCGACTCATGATCGAAAGGGGAGTGGTCGACTCGTCATCGCCCTTATCCTCTAAATCAATTGCTCCTAGTGATCCTGAGGACCGCGAAAGGGCGCCGCTGCTTCCACCATTGTCCGACAATAACCAGTCCGGGGAGGTCAATGGAGCCCCTGCAGAAACCCAGCAGATAGACTCACCGGGCTCCTTTTACCGTACGATGCTCAGCGATGCTCGCGTCGTAGCCAGCGTCGCAAACGTACTTATTTTCTCGACTGTCATATCCGCTTTCGACGCTACTCTCCCCTTGCATCTGCGCGATGTCTTCCACTGGAACACCCTCTCGGTGGGTCTCATCTTTCTTTCTCTCCAGGTTCCGTCGATGCTTCTTGGTCCTGTAATCGGCTGGTTTCGCGACCGAGCCGGCGTCCGATATCCTGCCACGATAGGCTGGTTGCTCATGGCCCCGCTCCTGTGGTTCTTGGGTGTTCCGGGCGAGGAGCGTTTCCCTTGGGCCAGTCCGGAGACCAATGGCGAAACTATGTTTGTCGTTGGCTTGGTAGGTATCGGTATCGTGATCACCTTGGTGCGTGGTGCGGGCACGGTACAGTTAGTTGGTGAGTCCCAGCCTTACTCTCCTTCTCCCCTCTGCTCTCACCGTATATATATTCATTCTCATAATTCGTGTTATTAGCCGTCACCAAAGACATGGAAACTAAGAATCCCAATATATTCGGAGAGTTCGGGGGTAGTAACCGGATATTTTCCATGACCGAAGTGGCATTTAGTCTGGGATCAATGTTGGGTCCATTGATTTCGGGTACTCTGTCCGAAGCTGTTGGCTACTTTTATATGAATATCGTCCTGGGTAAGTTGGTAATTACTATTGGGTTCCGTCGTCTGCTAACGTGTCCCTCAGGCTCAATCTGTCTGCTCGTGGCGTTATCGTGCTTTTTATACTTCCGAGTCTAGACAGGGAACAGAACTTTCACTTCGATGAAGATATTGCTTTTAGTTGGTCAAGGATTTTTACGAAAAGTTTTGTGGCGTTTAATTTGGTTAACAGGCATGTGTACAATCTAAAGACCAGATTGGACATGATGGCTAAAGCATAATTTTGGGCGAGAGAAGGCCACTAACCTATGCATATAGCTTTTTATCGAGCATATGAAACATATAAAGTGGATATGATTTGAAAACTAGTGACTAGGTTCCAACTCTCGTATTCTCTGATCTATCTTTTAACATCTGTCCACAAGGATCATGGAGTCCCAAGCTCTGTATCTGTGGTGAGCCTTACAATAATACTAGTCATAATGGCGATAATTTACTTGGTATAACTATTTAGCCTCTGAGGAATCTGGCGCGCACAATATTGTCTCCTAGATACTACACTGTTTTGGAAGCAAAAGCGCAGGCCCAAACAGGAAGACCACGGCATCGATGCCTCTGGCAGGACTTTTGAACATTTTCTTGATGATATATGGAACTTCTGCGATTCCTATTAATAGCCAACATTTTATCGCTTACCCTTCTATTAAATCTAATACTAGATACGTATGACGACTGCCCGATCCACAGAAGCTTTGCATTTGCTGATCAACGAGGAAAAGCGTGGGCTCCGAAGTCTCATGCGCTCTAGGGCTTGTTCCCAGCTCGGCATTCGTTTCTCTCAGGCTACATGCCGTAGGATCAATGCCCTGATCCCCCTATCAAGCATTGACTCAGAACCCACGGACAAGACGCTTCCAAGGATGGAACTCAGGCTATCAGCGAGCTGTCCTACTATTCGGTGAGGGAGGAAATCATTGGTGCTTTCCAGCGTCGGATGAAGGTCGTCACCGTTTTGTTCGAACAAGACCCACATCCGCGTAGTCCGCAAGTCGGGGTACCCTAGGGAATATCGACTGGCGCGACAGGCGAGGTCATTCGCACAGACTTCAAGGTTACCCCTAGAACCGACGTGATCGACCACAGACTCCCGGCCGATTGTGCCAGAATGAAGGATAGAGAGGGAAACTCGCAAAATTGAAGACCAAATGAAGGTATCCATCCATAGAGTAGTCACAGCAACGGTATCAACTTAGAATAATTCGATAATACGAAAACATATAGCGATCTATAAACGCTAAAATACTGGCAGACAGCTTGGCCAGCTACTAGACTGCATAAGCCAGTTAGATTTACCATCTCCCACCTTATCATCAACCTCAAGATCCCTGTGTAGTATGTCCAGAACCAAAATTCAGAAACCACAGTCGCAGCCCAAGATAGATCCACTTGATACCTACACAAATATCCACCCGTCTACTCCCTACTCATTCATTGTTTCGATGGCCAATTCGTCATTGTCCAGCCTTTCAAGAGAATAACCACTAGCATTGGGTACTTTGAGCGGTTATTATCATAGTCTTTAGGGACAGCAGCGACTGAAGCAACTAGGCAGCAGAAAAATATAACAATTGCTGAGTGAGTCCTCATTGTGGCAAAGGATTCTTTTCAGTGCGGTGAGACGTTCTTTTGAAGAGATAGATGCACGAGAGAGGCCCGAGGGGACGAAAGAATTATGAAGCATATTTGCGAGTAAACAATGACCAAGACGAAGGAAGGGTGTATACACACCATATTTATAGCCCTAGCCAGAGCATAAATGAATAATGAAAGGTAGGATCTGAGCTTGCATCCAGCTGCAGCTTCATGGAACAGAGGTTTGAGCAGTTTTTGATAGGGCCAGGGTCGCTAGGCGAATGATTCTCAAAGAGCTTTTGTACTGTCAGCTTCTTTGACCACATGATATAGCCAGCAGACAGGGCTGATATACAAGAGCTGTTTTCAAGTTACTTCCAGGCTTTGTTGGTAAATAATTATAGATACAGCCATTTATGCTTTGAGCAGCTAGCCAATGAATATGCACATCTCTGATGACTATGCACTCGATTCACCAAGATCATGTCTTGTAGCTACTTCACTTTGAACATCATATGCTGGATAATAATTGAACGCACCCGATCTAGCTGGAGGCTGTACTCTTTGTTTAGATCATTATTATTAGGAACACCATGAACATTTCGGAAGAACGTTCAATCCCCTTTTCTCTGCAGGCGCTGTGCTTTATATCTACTAATCCTATAGCAAAGAATAGCATCCAGTCCAGAAAAAGTGAAATGTTCTTCACTGTTTCCGGGACTCTCGAAGAATCCTTGCGATCTCAGTATTCCCTTCACCTGAGGCAAGCGTTGCACCTCGCCTACACTGTCTGTAAAGCTCCTCATTGTCCAGATGAAGATGTAACAACAGAGCCAATATATCCAATCTTCCATGTTCGGATGCTCTCGGGGCAGCAAACATCTGCTCCTTGTTTTAAGAGCAGCAAGACAACTCAAACATCTCCGGAGATTGCAGCAGCTTGGAGCGCTGTTGTACCGCGTATTGGGGCAGCTGCAGCGTTGGCACCAGCACCATGCTCAAGAAAATATTCGGTTATCTCTAAATTGTTGTGCAATATGGCATATTGCAATGCTGTCTCTTCCTTCATTTGGCGCTGGTGGAGCATTTATATCTGCAGAATTTTGTACAAGAAGCTTGACGATTGCAAGGCTGTCAACACAGCAGGCAATCTGAAGTGCTGTTGTGCAACCGACAGCTGCGGGTGCGTTGACATCAGCGCCGTAGGCTAACGGCGGGCGAGCAATTTCAGTGTCTTCTGTGCAAACTGCTGACAACAATGTGCTATGGAAGTACCCTGTCCTGAACTGACGGCTGCCTGAAGTTCCTGTCTCCAAAACCAGCCTAAGCAAAGTATACTGTTTATGTCTTATAGCAAAGCCTAGGAAGTCGCTTCTGCCCTGCATGATGTCTTGCGGGGTGCCCAGTTTGTAGAAGGATTTCAATAACCTCCCAGTTCTTGCCAAGTAGGTACCAAGCCTCCAGTGCAAAATGGCGTACTCTACTGGTCGGACGGAAGCGAGCGCCGTACTCGAACAAAAGTTTCATGAGTACAGTATTCTTGACCTTGGTAGCTGCTTCAAGTGCGTCTAGCCCATTTACTACTGCCCCAGGCGCGTTTGGGTCCGCACCACTAGCAAGAAGGTATTTCACAATTTCCAGCTCTTATTTCAAAATTGCCGCCTGCAGCGCTGTATGTCCGCCGTCAAATGCAGGTGGATAATTGATTTCCGCCCCGTAGAAGACTAATAGGTTGATAATGTCCTAATGTCTCTGCCAACTGGCCTCCTGCAAAGACGTATGCAATGACTTCATAAAGGCTCCAACATTAACGTTTGCTCCGTTGCTTATCAGGAAGTGAACAGCCTCTAGATTGCCACAGATGATTGCTTCATGCTGTGCCGTGTTACCATATTGGGGTACATACGGCTTCATGGCAGCGTCGGTCCTCATTAACAGTTCCATCATACTGACAATGCGCGTTGAATTATCAACCTGAAACTGTGGGCCAGAGCCTATCTCGTCAGTCTTTCCATCTACTATGGTGCTTGCAGCGCGGTGTTCCTTTCCACAGGCGCCAGGGGTCCGTTGACATCTGCTCCGTTTCTGACCAGCTTCTTGCCGTCCGGATTTATCCCCGCCTCTAGTCGCATTTCGGCGATCTCATAATGGCACTTTCTGACCGCTATATCGAGTGCTGTTCGCCACGCCTTGGAACTGCGCAGGTTAGGACCTACACCAAATTCAAGTAATAGTTCCACAATTCTATGATCGCCGTTGGAGTAGGCGGCCATTAATGCGGTTGGGTCACTGCTGCTAAGACGATTCGGGTCAAAACCGGCTTCTAGTAGTATCCGTACGATATTGTCATTTCCATTGCAGATCGCCACGTATAGTGTCGAAGTACCGGTAATTGCCTTACTGAGACTTTCTGGCGGGATGCATTACAAGCACACGAACGATATCTTCATATCCTGCAGCGCAAACTAGGAGGTGAAATCCAAAGATGAAGAGGGGAGAGTTGGGCTTTTTAAAGAGTCCGTAAAGTGTTCGAAAATCTTGCATTTTTACCAGCAGCCGAAGGAGCTTGGTCAAAGTTTCCGTATCTATGTGGTTGTTAGAAGCTTGGTAGACACAGTCCTCCATCTTGCACAGCAACGTGCCCCTTGGAACATGGAGGGTCGTATCATCCCAGTGATCCTTGAGTTTAGGAATGTAGAAGAGCTTCCTTAAAGACCTTGGGTGAGATTGTACGATGTCTATGTGTCCTTTTCTAAAGGCTGAGGGAGCTTTTAGGCGTCGATACAGTCGCAGACGCATGGGGTGATCCGACCAGGAGAACCCTTTAAATGTTATTAGCTGTCCTTGGATAATCGTCCGTTTCAGACGCGGATAGCGTACAAAACTCTAGAAAGGAAGATTGGAATTAAAAGAACGGCAATTCAGGGATTTCAAGGGTACATAAATCAGCAGTCAAAGGGGACGGGGTTGGGACGGTTACCCCATCTGGAGTCGCTGGTCCTTTTACCGAGCCCATAAAGGCGGATGTCAGCAGCCGCGTTCCATTTTCATTAGCTCAAATAACAAACCGGGCAGTAGAAGATGCTGAAAACTTGCCGCAAAACGGCGTGCTTCCTCTCTCTTCCACCCTTTACTGCTGAAGACTCCTCAATTGATCCTGATCTTGGACTCTTTCTCCTCCAGCTCACTCTTGCGTCTCTTGCATGCTACATATTCGTATTGCTTTTGGTTGGGGTGCTTTGAAACATTCCATTTCTTCAGCTGATAAGGGTGTTGGGACTTCCTTTAACTATAATAGTAGTTGTAGAGAAACGAAGATTCGCAACTCACGTCTTTTTAAAATTATAGTCCCGCTCCATGATGGGCATAACATCCTTCAGATCTCTAGACTGGTACTGGTCTATGATGATGCCTCTGTATTGGGTTCATTCGGACATGTTGTTCCGCTGAGAGAACATGATGGAAGTCAATCTTCTAATCTCACGGGACTGTCACGCTGAAGTGTTTTGTTTAAGGAGCAAGACGAAGATGAGGTGGATTTTTTATAATCTCGCCTTCTTCTATTGATGTAAGTGCCTCCGGGAGCTACCTCAGATGAAAATCAGAAATAATCTACGTGGTCAATTTTTTAACGTAACTATATAACATGAAGTCACGAAGCATGTTTCTGTTGCACTTTCTAGGGTACTTCTTGAACCTGGACTTCAAATCAACCATTCTCCGATCCCAAGGATAGCAGGAATGGACTTGGCCGAGGCAGTTAGGGTTGGCCCCGCTTGTGATGCCCGTCTTAGCCGATCAATTGGCTAATGGATTCTCCAGAGTCCCCCACTTCATGTCTTCCGACTGCAACATATAAAACCTTAAAAAAACCACTGCAGGCTGGCTCTCAATACATTCGATGGTACCTTTACAATCACTGTTTCCCAGGATGTCCGGAAATCTCACATTCCCCTCTCCACCAGCAGTGTACCTCCTCTTGGGGTCACTACCCTTACTGGTTCTCTCAGAGTCCATAACTAGATCCCACACTGGCACGGCATTGTTCAAGATGCTTTCCTCGGTAGCCTTCATTAGCGGTCCAATATTCCTAACTACCACGGAATGGTCCCCCGTTCAGTCTCTCATTACTACCGGCCTTCTTTTCTCTCTAGCCGGTGACTACTTCCTGATCCCCTCCCGGAGCGAATTCCACAACATGGACTCCAATCCCTCGGAAGAAAAGAGAATCTCCATCTCCTTCCAGCTCGGTGTCGTTGCCTTTGCAGCAGCTCATATAGCCTATATCCTAGCCTTCTTTCAGGATACCCATACAGTCTCATGGGAAAGCTTCGCCACGACCTTCATAGCAACCATGGCAATCGCAAAATGGCTTGGTGTAATCTACCCACCGCCACATGCCTCCTCTCGAAGTAATATGCTCGATCTCACCATTCCCGGGGACATGAAGCCGTTGGTCCTGATCTATGCGACCATCATCAGTTTCATGTTTGCTACTGCTGTTTCCACGACCCCGTTGGATGTTTCGACACGCTGGCAGTATCAGCGTGTCTTCGGGGCGGGGATGTTTGTCGCTAGTGATGTTTACGTTGCGAAAGATGCGTTCAAGAAGACTCCTGGGAAACGGGGTTGGGTCCAGAGTGCGTTTGGGTATGGGCTGTATTTTTGGGGGCAGATGGTTATCGCGGGGTTGGTGGAGGGGTGACGGGTTTGTTGGGTGTGGGACGGAGTGCTCTATGGTCTGGTAGGGTAGGGATGGGATCTAGTTGTTTTGTAGGGTAGCTTGTTGGTGTCTAGAACCCTATTCATAGGAATACTAGACTGCCGCTATTCAATAGTAGACGAAGGTCAAGGATTTGTCGATCAATAACAGTCACAGTACGCCAAATGGTTAGCCAGAAATTGCTATCATTGAAGCTTCTACTACCGTGCTCCCGATGACCTGGACATGGAGACAACCAGATTTCACGCACCCTGATAACTCCAATGAGACCATATTAGAAAACCCAGTGTGCACAGCGCTTAGGGAGGCTATTGATGGAAGCTCTATCGAGGAACAAGGGTGTGAGCTCTTGACTTTCGCAAAATGGCCCTAGTGTAGGAGATGATAATCATGCCGATTGACAGTACTAATTGGGTGGGATGAAGTGAGGGTTCCACCCGGCCAAGGCTAATGAGATCTTACCCTTTCTCCATTTAGGCATCATTAGTTGAAGCCTAACGCCGACTCCTTACTTCATATATTATGCCGGAACATACCAGAATTTTACTCCAACAAAATCGCTGCCGAAATGGACGAAAAGACCTGGATGAGTCAATAGTTAGCCCTTGCTTCGTCCGATCTAGTTGGATAGCAAATCGGTTTATGGAGCGAGGTTGGATTCCGTTCCGATGTAACATCGTTTATCCCCTGGGAAGCAAGAGCCATTAAAATCACCTAATTAGTGCAATTTAGAGTATTTATGGTTGTCTTCAGCCTCTTGGGGCATCCCTATAGTTCCTACAGATTTGTTGTATGCAATTTTATCTCTACCCTTCATTTGTGTTCGTGTCTTTTCTTCCTAGGTTCAGAACATACGATTTGTACCGTACTTTATTAAACCTAATGATGCGCGCCCTTCGTTTGGTTGGCGCATGGCCTACTGCTTGCAGCATTGCCCTAGTGCAAGCCAACAACTATATTGAAACGGATGAACCAAATGTCACTGCAGTACTAGGAGGCTATGGGATCGATGTGTCTAGTCTACCTGTTCTGACGAACCTGCCCGAACAGTCGACGAGTTCGTCCTGTTCAGCGGCTGTGAGTATCCGTCCGTTGTGTTCTCTTAGACTTATAGTTTGACGCGGTAGCAGTGCCAAAGCCTCCACTCCCTCCATGGCTCTGACAGAGTTCTGATCCAGGACACTGCCACCCACGCCGACTTCAAGGGCTCCTTCTGGTCCAATCAGCAGGCGGAAGTCCAGCCTTACTGCATTTTTAAGCCTGCCGTTAACACGGATGTTGCCGTTGCTGTGCTGCTATCACGGTTGACCGGCTGTCCGTTTGCGGCTAAAGGTGGAGGCCACGTGCCCTTCAGAGGCGCGTCTAATAGCCCTGGTGGGATCACCATCTCGTTCGCAAATATGAACGATGTAAGCCTGAGCGAGGATCGTTCAGTCGCATCCATCGGTCCAGGGAACGTTTGGGGCCGAGTTTATGGGATTCTAGAGCCGTACGGGCTAGCCGTTATCGGCGGTCGGGAGACCAGCATCGGTGTGGGAGGTTTGGTCACTGGTGGAGGCATTTCCTTTTACTCCAACCAATATGGTTTGGCTTTGGACAATGTGGAGAGTTTCGAGGTAAGTCTTCTTCTTTACTTAGCTCTTTTCAAGTGATCGGCGCACTTACAATGTATAGGTCGTGATAGCGAGTGGCCATATTGTGACCGCCAGCGCAACTCACTACCCCGACCTATACTGGGCTCTCCGCGGTGGAGGCAACAACTTCGGTCTCATTACTAGGTTCAACCTGTATACCATCCCAAGTTCGACGATGCGCCGTAGTAGGCGTGTCTATATGGAGACTCAGATCCCCGACGTCGCCAATGCTTTCGCAAGCTTTGCCCGAGCGGGCCCATCTGATGGTAACGCCCAGCAGATCGTGGTATTTGGTCGCTCGGAAGGAAAGAATTTTGTACAAGCAGAGCTCACCTACCTCATCGATGTGGCAGACCCAGCCAGCTTCAGGCCGTATAAAACCATCCCCGCAGTCTCTGACACCACTGAGTCCATCAACCTTGTGCAGTATTCCGAAAAGATCGAAGCTATTGATACGCACAGTGGGCACCGCAACGTGTTTTGGACAATTACGGTGCTGCTAGATGAGTCTTTCGCGAGCTGGGCAGCTCAATATTTCTTAGAGATCCTGTCGCAGGTGGCAAACGTCTCAGGTGTGAGCCCCTCGGTGGTTTACCAGACACTAACGGAACCAATGCTAGCGAACATGACCAAGTATGGAGGCAATGCGTTAGGTCTGGATAACACCCAGGGCCCGTTGCATGTTTTTAATGTGGATTTCGCATGGGACAACGCCGCGGACGATGAGACTATCTACGCTTTTATTCACGGTTACTGCAACACCGTCATCGGCGAAGCCAAGAAGCGTGGAATCGCCCATGATTTTATTTTTATGAATTACGCTAGTCAGTTCCAGGATGTCATTGCTAGCTATGGAGCGGATAGTAATGCTCGTCTGAAAAAAGTCGCATCCACATACGATCCTCATGGCGTTTACCAGACGCTGCAGCCAGGGCACTTTAAGTTGAAAGGCGCACCTGTGGTATATTGACCTCAACTACTTTTTTCCGTCCCATATAACTCAAAGTAATAAACTATCCTTAGTAGAATGGTTGCATACATGAACACATGCTATTTCCCAGGACTTCCTACTCGTAAGACATAGTCAAGACGTCGTCGAACCGAATAGCTGACTGGGGATATATCTTCGGCATGCTTAGTTCTATCTTGAATGTGAACTGCGGACTGTCTAAACCGGGTATTCATTTTTCTCAAAGTCATGTTGCGACCCGCTGTAACTCGATATTTCCGCTATAATCGCAAAAGAAGGCGAGTTTTTAATCAGTATGGCTGTTGTGATCCTTCCCAAGGATCCTGCCAAAGAGCTTTTCGCTCGATTATTCGGCAGACGAATACTTCTCCTCTCATCAACGTATGAGCCTATCCCGAGATGACTTTTGCAGCAACTTTGTACTACCAAGTAATCAAATAACATTTCACCAATCTCTGAAACAGAGTTCTCGTAGCAGTCATCTACCTGCCTCTTTCGCCGTAATCCACATAGTCTCTGCTGTGGTCAAGACACCATCACTACTATTTACTATCTCTGCCTCCATGAACCGCTTTCTCCCTTCTCGTCTACTCAACCATGATCGAACAAGAATATCGCTCGGGGTAGTCACCGGCGACTGATAAGATATTGACATTTTTTGCAGTATAATTCATGTGCCTTGACCCAGGTTGACAGGTACCATGCTGGTGTAGCAGAATCAGGAATCACATGACTTCATCGAATATAACACCCTGAAAACCACCGTGAACAATCGAAGGGTGTGCTTCTAGATCCCGTCCGAGGGAAATCAAACAAACCACGTCTAGTAGAACACCCCGCTCTGCTGGGCCAAGGCTCGTTAGATGGTTTTCGAAACGTAGGGAAGAGCCAGCCTTTCTCGCATTTTTTAACCGAAGCGACAGAACGCGGCGTATAGTTGTCTCGGTATGGACAAACTGACTAAAAAGTCGATTTCTCCCGTATTCTCATTCAGGTAACGGGGAAAGAATGGGGACAGTCTCTTAATTCCCGCCATTAATAATCCTGCGAGTCCTATCTATCGAGGTAAAGTATCCTACGGTCTTCTGAGGAGGCTCATGCTTTTTGAAGAAGCTCTGGAGAAAGTCCGATCTATCTGTCTCACGCTTTGTCGTGATAGAGCTAGAGAAGTAACGGGGGGCCTTGCATACCCGTGGAATCTGTGGGTGGAAAGGGACGAGATACTTGAGCATTATCGGTTGAAAGTGTGATCTATAGTTTTCCCTCTGGCTCTATTTCGCTCCTTGAGACCTCGCGCATATGGGTCAAAGGCAACGGCCCAAGGTCTGTACCTGATCTAAGTTGATTAATCTATCAAAACACCCAAAACTGGATATTTCCCGGCAGTCTCAATGTGATTTAGAGGCGTACAAGCGCCTAGCCCCGCAACCTAGCCAAGTCACTCATTCTTGGCAGCCAATCTTTCTCCAAATGCCGAGGAATTTATCCCTACAGTCTACTACAGCCACAGGTTGGACGAAGTAAAGATCGCGGAAATAGGGCTTGTAGTCCGAAACTCCGTTTGAACAGCTACTAATACCTTTCTCGTTCGTTCGTGAGCACATGTTTCTCGCGCCACGTCCACTTATCTCTTCCTCGTTGGATATGGGCGTACAATTCCATCTGAGTGATCCCTTCTTCCATTGTATGCACTTCCATCGAAACATTCCAGGTGCGGGGCTTGCACGCCCTATGACAGCTGCCGAGATATGCTTCGGTTGACATCCCTGCTTGAGGATGGATTCAAGAGATATAAGGACTGTTGAGTCACCATAGAGGGCAAGATAGGCTCAAGACGCTATGGGATCAAGTTTGTACAATCGCATGCAGCATGGCTACCAAAAGGTTCTCTTACCGCATTGTTGGCTTTTAGGCCAATCTACCGGGAGTGTGTTGTCCCAAGCCATCTTCCCATAGTTTCAGATATTGTGGGCCTAAGCTTGTATGGGTTCCATGTCCTAACAGCTTTCAGTTATGCAGCGCGCCATCCCCGAGACGAAACCCCTTTTTACCTACAGCCACACGGATCCCGAATGGGCCAACCGCAAGCGAACTCCCCAGGAGGTCGTGTCGCTGATAGATGAAGCGGGAATCTCGCACATTTGCTTGTCTGCATGGCACCGACCGGGATCCGCCATCTTCTCCAACGAGGAAGGGGTCAAATATACACGGGCATTTCCGGATCACATCTCCGGCCGAGGCTCCGTCGATCTACATGACCCAGTCAATGCAGTTAAAGAGCTGAAATATTACGTGAAGGTAGAAAATTTCAAAGGACTGCGAATTGTGCCCTGTCCGTGAAATCTCCCACCTACTGATCCTCATTACTGGCCTCTCTACGTCAAGTGCATTGAGCTCGACATTCCCCTCCTAACATAGATGAACCACACGTGTCCTCTATGTCCCAGTGAAGTTGGTGAAGTTGGTCGCCCAGTCCCATACATCGACACTATCGCTCTGAAGTTTCCTGAGCTGAAAATTATATGCGGCTATGTCGGATGGCCGTGGGCTGCGGAGACGGTCAGCGTGGCTTGGAAGCACAAAAATGCGTACATTGATACCAGCGTGTAGTCTCCGAAGTATTATGCGCCGGAATTTCTTCAGTTCGCCCACACGACTGGGCGGCGAAAGGTTATGTTCGGGACGAATTTCCCCCAGCTTGGATGGAAGGCTTGCGTTGATAATGTCCAGACTCCCCTGGTGGACAAGGGCGTCCTTACACACACCGTTGTCGCGGATTCATGGGTGCGAATGTGACCAGAGCGTTGAAGCTGCCCGTCTCAGATTGGCAGGTACCGAAATTTGTGTTGTAGGTATTCCATCGTAGTCCTAGTTTCGCACTAAATACTATGTCGATTAACTATAAACACCTCTTACAAACCCTTAGACACATATGTCTATTCTATCCACTTGTAGAATAACAACACAGACGATCACATAACTAAGCCACCAAAGAACTACCCCGGCCTACTCAGTCCGTCTACCATCCTCCTTAGCCAAATCATCCACAACCTCCCGAAACTCATCCAACTCCCGCTTAGAAATAGGATACGTATACTCAATTGAAGGAAACCCCTTACTCTTCACATCCCGCCTATACGCCTCAATCCCCCTCAACGCCTCCCCCCAAACATCCGCATAAGTCTTCACAAACTTTGGCATAAACCTCCCAACCGGAAAATTCCCCACCATATCAACCTGCACCAAGACCTGCCCCGAACACCCACTCCCGGACCCAATCCCAATCGTCGGCACGCGCAACCTCTCCGTAACAAGAGCAGCAACCTCCGCCGGCACCGCCTCAATGAGAACCATAAACGCCCCAGCCTCCTGCACGGCACGCGCATCTCGCAGAAGTTTAACTGCGCCCGACGCAGACTTCGCCTGGACCCTGAACCCACCAATCGAATGCTGCCGTTGCGGTGTAAGCCCGATATGCGACAAGACGGGGATCCCAGCCTGGGTGATTCGGCGGATGGTAGGAGCCATTTCGGCTCCGCCTTCTAGCTTTACGGCCTTCATGCCGCCTTCTTTGACAATGCGGAGGGCGGATTGGAGGGCCTGTTCGGGGGAGAGTTCGTAGGAGCCCATTGGGAGGTCTGCAATCTAGTTGGATGTCATGGGTATTAGGATTGTGTTGTTTTGTGAGTAGATTGTGAGATAGAGGATAGAGGGACGAACCGTGAAGGCATTTCTCACGGCCCGGGATACGCTCCGACAGTGTACAAGCATCTCTTCCATTGTCACTTCGTTTGTGTCTTCCATTCCCAGCGCAACCATTGCCAGGCTGTCGCCGACGATGACCACGTCCATGCCTGCGGTGTCGGCTACGTGGGCGCTGGGGAAGTCGTGTGCTGTCAGGACGGCAATTGGCTCACCTTTCTTGTAGAGGTTTTGAAGCGTTTGGATGGTTACTTTCTTGCGGGGGTCTAGGGGGGCTTTGCCGAAGGGTGAGTAGGAGCTATTCCGGACGGGTACGGAGACCAGAGGAAGGGATCGTCGTGCGATACTGTAACCGGGTCGAGATGAAGAGTGCAATGAGGCCACGTGAGAGAGGATGGATTTAGGGACCATTTTGTAGAAGTTATAAGTCCAGATGGTGCAATATCAAAGAGTTCCACTATACCAGAGGAGTAGTAGTGGAAGGGCAGGGAGTGGCGTGGTGGCGCGCCAGGTGAGATTATATAGCTTCACAAAAATGCTTAACCTCGGCAAAAGAACGTAGAGGGGAGGGGAATGTCTCGTAAGTTGTTGTTGATGTGTTTTTGTGGTCTTTTCAGGGTTGGCGTTCTGGGATATGCTGCGTACTCCCGAGTATCGCAGGAGTGGATCGTCTGGCCGATCCGTTGCAGCCAACGACGAGTCCACATTGGAGGATAAATCGTATGTATTGCGGTATGCATTCATTGGGGGTTATGGGCAAAGCAGGGGATGCGTTCATGTAGTCTTTCCTAGTTTGTCGTTCCCATGAGAAGTGGCAGAGTGTGGTAGTATAAACACTGGTCGTCGTGGAATTGAACAGAACAGCCAGATCTCAAGTAACCCTACCATACTTAACTACCGCGTTAGATTCCTCACTATCTAGTTGAGCTCTGAGCTAATACAGACGAATTATGGACAAGCACTGAAGACCTTCAGATAGCATCGGCCAAATGTCAATCTGATACAATCTATGAATAGAGCCAAGATCTCTTGTACAAGGCCCTAATAACCAGACTTTTATATTATAATGTAAAGTAAAACTATCTTTTGAATTGGGATCTCAAGAGCTTTTGGTGAGTCAATGATCGGTCATACATAACTCATCCCAATAGGTCAACAATCAACATAATCTGTGATACTGTTAAAGCCTTTTGAACGGCTGTGCGTCCGTCTTTAGACGGATGAAAATAGCCAGCACAGATGCGCTGAGGGCCATGCCTCCGGCATAAAATATGGCAGGACGATATGCCCCTACGCCACCTCCCTCTCCGCCAGACGCGTTGAGTATATAGCCAGCAATCGGGGCACCCTACAGTTCAAAGGTTAGCTTTGAGAAAAAGCGAATAACATCGGCACTATGCCAAGGACAATATCAATAGAAGAGAGGACATACCATTAGATATCCACCAGCCCAACTAGTGACGATCATACCCATTGCGACAGACACGCGAGCGGAGCCAAATACATTTCCGACAACAGTGGGCATCGTCGAAAAGAAACCACCATTAGCCATTCCGTTGATAATGACGAAAACAATCAAAGGGCCAATGGACGTCGAAACAGGCCACAGGATCAGCATGCTCAAGGCGCTTAGTAAAAGAGACATGAACAGGGTATTCAGCGGCCCCAGTCGGTCGCTGCAGAAGCCGCATATCAATCTTCCTACAGCAGAGGAGAAGTTGAATGCAGCAACCACCCCGGCACCTACACCCGATGCCATGCCCAGTGACTCGGTATATAATGGGAGGAAGAATGGGGGGACAAGAAGCGGAAATGTTGCTATCGCTCCAGCCGCGAACAGCAAGGCAAATCGAATATCACGAAACAAGCGCCTGAACAAATTAACAGGAACGAAGTCAGAAACTGGATACCTTAGAAATCCACAGGGCGTAACGTACCACTCCACAAATGCCGTGCGCCGAATTGGTACTCGTTCTTTGATCAGGCACGCCGCTGGTAGGCCTGTGCCCCAGATCATGAAACCGATGATTCGGAATGTCCACGCGATTCCGACCTTATTAATCAAGGCATTCATGATGAAACTAATGACGGTTCCCCCAAGACCACCTCCGGCGTATACAATCCCATTAGCGATACCGCGCTTCGCCCTGAAATACTGCGCAGGGATTGCAGAAACTACCATGAAGCAGAGGCTTTTCCACGTTAGCTTTCTATGCTGAAAAGCAGGTAGTAAATGAGCTTTCTTACCTGATTCCCAAACCGAAGAGGACACCAGCTGTTGCAAATAAGCCACCAACGTTCTTGGTCGCAAACCCACTGAGGACCTCTCCCAAGCCCAGCAAGAAGATACCGAGTAAAGCCGATACCCTTGTGCCGAGTTTCCGAATCACGCTCGCATTGATGATGCCCAGAAAAGAAATACAGGACGTGGCAAGCGAACCTATGAAAGCCAAAGTAGAAGTAGACGATACTCCTTCCTTTACCAGTGCCGCTTGCAGAACACCCCAGCAGTAGGAGGTTCCGATGAACCACCAGGTAATGACCGCACATGCAGATATAACGACCCAGGCGTAACCTCCATCAGGAACCTCGGCGTCGGCAACGAGCGAGGCCTGCAATAGCTCATCTGTGCTCTCTCCTGGGGTACGATCGCCCGAGGGTTTTGTTAGTCTCCCCTCAACCTGTGTGCCCTCTTGCAGTTCGATGGCTGTAGAAACTGACAGCGCGTTCGATGCCATTGTTTTGTTCCGGTGCAGGAAAGTATGCTCTTGTGCCGTTTATTTTACAATAATTCGAAAGAGCCCTGGTAGACGCCTTACTCACATATTCCCCCCCGTTTAGGAGAGGTAGCGTATAATGTAAAAGCCCAGATTGAGATATCCAAAAAAAAAAAAAGAAAGAAAGAAAGAAAGAAAGAAATGAGTCTCTTTGCTTGAGTTAGTTAGGGCCAAGGATTTAGATCACCTAAGCCGGGACACAGGATTTGATTGGCCGATTAATGAGATCTGCCCAGAGGGAAGAGAAGGGACACATAAAAAAGATTGAAAAATAAAAAATAAGATAGTGGCCAGGAGTATTGGCTATCTAGTGGCTAGCTAACAGTCAAGGGCCACGCATAGAAATCATGTGAGGAGTGACTCAGGACGCCTGCAGCGTATGAGATGCAAAGAGGACAGACCCTTAAGTAGGTTCTTCGGCCGAATAAAGTGAGCGATCAGCCTTCGAAGTGGGTCCAAGGAATGACACAGGGCGTACGGAGTTATGGCTCCAGAGGCCGAATTCTCATCATACCCTAAAACACGGACCATGGAACCAAATCTCAATTAACTTCGTCATTTAATGGGCACCTTCCAACTTCTTTGGGGGCCACCGTTGGAGATTTGAAGCTATCGTGACTACTCGGTATCTCCAAGTCATTAGAGAAGCGACGAGCGAGGTTTGATCAAGAAAAGGATTGGGCTCTTGTGCGGAATACCCGACGGAAGGCAAACTCGGATGGAGCACGCTCACGAAGACCTTCCTAAAATCTGCGAAGATGTCCTATTGCTGCCGCCTCTCAACCCACAGAACGCCCTTGCTGGTAATATAGGTTACAGACCGTCTCTGGATGAGTCAGTCGAACATCCCAGCCAGCCTCCGAGCCATGCCTCTTTCGAAGAGCTCAGGCGTAACACGGCATTTAAGCAAACAGAGATAGAGTGGTATCTACCTACAGAACCCCGTGAACCATATGAAGACATAAACTGTCGCTCTTCAGTCCCCTTGGGCGGCAGCTTTGGGTTCTGGCCAACCCTCAGCCATGCCGAGCTTTCTGACGGAACAGGCTCAGAGCAGCTTCCCTACATAAGCTCCTCATGTGAGAGCCTTCAGCCAGGGCCCTTGAGTGTAACTTCCAACAGCAGGAAACGCCATAAGAGAAAGAACAGACGACTATCCACGACGGCTGTGCAAACTTTGGTGTCATGGTTCGAACAGCACCAGGCTTATCCATATCCTACCCAGAAAGAAAAGAACCAGCTGAGGCATGAAACCGGCCTAGAAGTGAGCCAGATCTCAAACTGGTTTACCAATGCTCGTCGGCGCAAAATGATCGCTGGTGAGCCTACTCCAGAGGCAAACCACACGGACAACACTCTACTATCACCGCTCCAGCGTTGGCAAAACTCACCCCCCGAAAGTGAACCGGCTGCAGCATCCGACATTCTGAAAGCTTTGGAGGATATCCCATATACTTCTGACGCTAGTATCTCATATCCAGCTCCACCAGAAGCTTTATCCAGCAACAGCTCAAGTGCTTCATTTGTAGTAGGGGTGCCTTCGATCAGCAGCTACGAACACAGTCACTCGTCTGGCTCAGATATCTCATTCAGTCGGTCGAATCAAACCTCACAAAGACCGCCCACGCCTCTCCTAACTACGAGATCTCGCCGTCGGCGCCGGAAACCTCCACCTCCAAACGAGGCCTTGAGTAAGCGAAATTCGAAGGCCCGACGGCCGTTTCAGTGCACCTTCTGTTCCGATACTTTCAATACCAAATATGATTGGCAGCGACATGAAAAGGCACTTCACTTACCGGTCGATCGGTGGATCTGCGCACCCCAGGGTGGTCTTACTGAGGTTAATGGCACCAACGTTTGTGTATTTTGCCAGGCCCCAGACGCAGATTCCACTCACCTCGAAACCCATGATTACCTCGCGTGTCGAGAAAGGTCGGCAGAACAACGGACATTTGCTCGAAAGGATCATCTTCGACAGCACCTCAGATTGATGCACAATGTGGACTATCACCTCACCATGGACCAATGGCGCGATTCCCTGACTCGCCTTAACTCACGCTGCGGATTTTGCAATGCGAAATTTCATACGTGGCAGGAAAGAGTAGAACATGTCGCAGACCACTTTAAGAAGGGCGCAGATATGATCCAATGGAAGGGCTGCTGGGGCTTCGATCCTGGCATTATGAAATTGGTGGAAAATGCAATGCCTGCCTATCTCGTTGGACATGAGCGTCTCACAATGGACCCTTGGAAGACCACGGATGCTCTTGCAACTGGAGGTGATGAAGTTTTGCCTGCCATCATGGACGTGCCGAATGCCCTGAATCGCTATGTTAATCTCAGGCGCGACCTTATTGCCTATATACGTGAGCAGACTGCCGCGGGTAACCACCCCACTGACGAGATGGTTCAAGACAAAGCTCGTCAGATCGCCTACGGGAACAATGACCCCTTTGACCAGACATATGCTGATAATCCAAAATGGATCGCAACATTGAGACAGGAGGCGGAACTGATGTCAGTCCCAGAAGCAAACTGTCTCTTTCCCTTTTGTGAAATATGGTCTCAGAATTTTGCTACAACAGGCGACCTATTGCACATGCCACTTGCCGAGTCTGATCTGCTGTGGGATAACCTTCTGGCTGAAGACACATTACCAGCTTAATTCTATAACAACCGGGCTCCGAACAGGTGCATACTTTCTAGCCAGGCCACGATGACCAAAGTGAGGATTAATCTATGAGCTTATTCATGTACAGAGAGTAGGCAATCTACGAATGGCAATCTACGGAAGAAAAACTATCTCAGAGGCATTAGGCCGCTAGCCTCACTACTAATGATATAAACCAATGTTAACCTAGTCTTTATTGCTGCATTCCTATCCTTACTAACTACAATTATATTCCAGTCCTACCACGTTTTGATACGGATGGGGTGTTATTTTCACTATGATACATGCATCTCAGGTCTGATACTTTTTGATGCGCCCAATAATCTCTTCCACGTCCTCCCAAATTCGCATGCGATTCTTCAGACCCTTAAGTTCACCCCAATTTCGCTTAATCTCAGTGTAAACCTCATACCAATTCGTCTTTGCTCTGGGTAATTTTATCTGATGCGGTACCGCTGGAGGCCAACGAACCATATCGTCGATGACGTTTGGGTCAAGCTCGCCTGTTTGATACTCTTCCGTGACGACCTTGATTTGGTGTTCCCGTATCTTGTATATCATCTCGACCTCATCCGCAGTAACAGCTGTCCACAACGACGGCGTATGAACGCATTCGCTTTCATCCCAGGCCTCCCACAACCAAGGCATTTCCTCGCGAATAAGACGATACCATACAGATACTGGAAGCTGCTGGAACGCTCTCGAGGCAAGTCTCAGGTTCGCAATATCGCGAGACCCAAGGGATTTAACGATCATGAGTCGGATCTCTCGTGGTAGAGCTAATAGGGGGTCGGTCGAGCATTGCATTAAATCTAGTAACATCGCATCGCGTTCAGTCGTTTGATGTAGGTCAAAGGCTCCATTCTGTGGACTGAAGTCATTGTTGTCTTTAACGGCAGCTAGTAGAATAGATGGTAGTTTGGGGATATAGAGCGGGTTTGCAACTAGGAACTCGCACCCAGCGTTGTGGCTCCAGAACTGTTCCTGTGCGCACATGACCTCTCCCCAGCGAGGAAATTCGTGGAAATCTTCAAATGTTGACTCTGTGTTGCGCCACTTCATCAGGCCGTTGAGGTTGAGGTGGTTGAAGTGGCACTTTGCTTGGCGAGAATAAATGTCGAAGCACCACGGGTGGAAGGGTATGCTATAGACGGTTGGGTCTTCATAATTCTGCATATGATGAATCAAATGAGCCTCTGGTCAATTTGAAGGGAAGAATGGAAATTCAGACACTGGACTACAAGGAGAATGATTCTATGGTGGCGGCGTTTAGAACACGGGGAAAGCAAGGGTTTAGCAAGACTCACATCCCATACGATGTTCTCAACTCGCGGACCATCAATACCGCCTCTTGGTGGAAATACCGTCGGGCCACCCATATCACGAGATGGCATACCGTCGCAAAGACCAGACAGGAAAAAATCTCCTGATCTCTCCCAGTCCTGCTCGAGTCCGTCCGGCTGCCATCTGCCGCAGGAGCCTTTGTGGATCAGGCATTGCGCGGTCCGGCAGCCTCTCATTTCTTCGAGTGAGATTTTCCGTCCACTATACGCATTTACCTCCGAACAATCGGGGCCAGCAATGTGCTCAACCGGCTCCCACACAGAACTCTCGGGCACTTCGCCATTCTCGGGCACCGGTAAAATGATATGGTTTTTCGGGGCCGTATCTAAGGTCCAAATAGGCTCTCCGGAAGCCTCCTCTGGGGGTGGGAATGATGAAAGCCAGTCACTATACCACTGATTTTCGATGTTGTCTTCATCATTCTCTTCCGTAGTGTCTTCCTCTGGCTCCTCGAGCATCTTGTCGTCGGTAGACTCATAGTCAGAGACATACTCGTACGGTTCATGCATAGTCTCCTCTCTAGGGAGGTAATCAGGGTCATTAACAAGATCATCATCTTGTTCGTTGTTGCCGGGTAAGACAGCGTAACTGCAACCTTTCTCGGCACAATCCTCCCAGAGTATTTCGTCATCTGCCCCCAGATGATTACCGGTGTAGTCCCATGCAGCTGTAAATGGCTCGTCAACTCTACGGCTGCGAGCTATATTGAAGCTCACCCCACATAGGTGGCAGTAAATCTGGGTGGGTCTATCAGCAGGTGACTTTCATGGTTAAACCAAAGATGAATGTGTAGTACCTCAGAGTATCCTGTCGTTGAGCGAGTTAGTATGAGTAACCTGCCATCCAACGTGGAGTTATCTTACCCATATTCACGTCCTATGTACAACTATTGTTGGTTCTTTCAGATTACAACCAAGGATTCTGGAGATATTTAATCTCTTTCTCCTTTCCATATTCTGGACTTTTATCCGCTTGAGCCTGTAAGTGAGGGTTGCATCCGCCTTTCCTATGGGGGACTAGCCTAGGCTCACAACTCGTATTTTTATGGGTCTGGAGGGTGGCGGCCTAAGTGCCCAGGCACTCAGGCACCATCCGATTTATGGTATGCCTGAGGCCATGCCATGGTGATATCCCCCCAATGCTTGTTGTGCTCGGAGAGTCTATAAAAGATATAAGGTAATGCTAAGTTTTAGATACTGTAGTAGTCTATTAAGGAGCGTTTAGAGGGTGAAATGGGAATGGACAAGTATAGTTTACGGCGCAAATGAGTGACAATATCCATAGCAGCTGTGGGGAAATTTATATATCTTCCATGGTTGGTTTTTGGCTAGCAACATACCTGTCACAGAATGCCGCAAAAATTTCCCTAGAAAATGCACTAGGATGGTTCAAAGACATGCTACAATAAATTAGATTCCAAATTATAGCCATACACAGGAAGATATGGCCCTTGACCCAAGTTCATTGGGCTAGAATGTCTGAGTTAATTTCCACATAGAAGGTTAATAGAGTAACTAAGGCTTATAAAGCTAAAGGAAATAGCCAAAATATCAAAAGCGGCCGGGTGGCGCAATGGTAGCGCGCTGCCTTCCGGTTCCGGAATGTGGCAGTGGTTGCGCGTTCGAGTCGCGTCTCGGTCGTTTCTTTTTGTTTTTGCTTTTTCATTTTGTCTTCCCTCTTTAAGCATAGGTTAAAGTCGGACAAAGTCTGTCGAAAATACTCTGATGCTTCTCCACACGATACCATCCTTCCCCCTCTCGTTCAATCATCTCTCGCCCGCTACACCTGCTCTGCGAGAGGACTACCACATCGTAGTACATGGACAACTGGAGCCATACATCTGGATGCCCCCGGCGTACAAAGTCGAGTATTATGCATGGAGTAGATATATTCGCAGCGCAAGGAAAGGGGGTAAAGGAGGTGCCACTATTGCCTCGGGTCATCTATATCGCCTACTACTAATCGATAGCGGCGAAAGATGCCTTTAAAGCTCGACAAGGAGGATTCCGTCAAAACAAACTAAGATAAGCCTAATGGATCTTGGTTACTTCATCAATGGCCTTGAGCGATCTAAAGCACCGGAATGCGTCGGTCAACCTAAAATACGCGCCCCATGTGTTTCGCCCCGAGTCAATCAAACCCTAATGAGGATGGGACAGCTTTGCAGGGTCCCCTCTTATAGAAAGACTGAGTCAACATTTAGTTACCCGCCATCGAAGATACCACGAGGAATCTTGGTTGACAATATACTCTATTTTAAGGACTCTACTCCCTTGAGAATCGAATGTAGTGCTGAATGCCGTTCAATCCAAGACCGGTCGCTTCGGCAAGTTGCAAGATATGCGTGAGGAACAACTCTATGAACTGAGAATATGACAGACCGTCTAGAGAGACTTTGCTTAAGAGGCTGTGTATGTAGGATTTAGGATTGATCCTTTGATGGCCTGGCTGTGTAGATACCATATAATTTAGCGCCGATTCTAGATACTCGCAACGATATATAAAATAGGTCTGATTTCTTGAACCAAACTAAATATGCGTTTCTATATATATATATATATATATAAAGGTTGATGTAATTATCTAATCGATTTCGCGTAGTTTATATAGAATAGATCAGAAGCTGAAATAGTGGTAATTTAGGGTTGACAAGAATCTAGGCGGGGTTATGGCTACATAGTGTATCTTGGCTGTGGAGAATACAAATGTGAACCACGACCATGTGGCATGAATCACCTTAGACTTTTCCCTAATTAGCTTATCTACCGGATTTTCTACACGCTAAGCGATGCTAAACCCGTATGTATTTTCGAAGTTGCCAGACTTTCACCGTTTCACGGACCTCCATCCAGGACGAGTGAGCCCACGATTCGCCGATGATCGCCTCGGAGTCGGCCGTAGATAACGCCCCGGATGGATGCCATTGATAACATCGACGTGTTGACCCATTCCTTTTTTCCCCCGAGGGTCGTTTAAGCATCCACTCTTACGAAATACTTGACCAGAAGGGTTATGGAGTCGACCCCTCGTGTCGGGTGCCACGTGAGAGTAACCCTAGATCCCGTCTGGAACATTTAGAGTTTTACTGTGGTGGAGCCGATTTTACAGCCTGAGCCACTAGAGTATGTGTACAGCGTACACATGATGGAATATTGAAATTTGTACGGAGTAATAAGTGTATTCGCCGTTGCTGCGGCGGCAGAAGTATGATGGTTGTTGGTATAGGTTGAGGTTGAGGGGTGTACTAACAAGGGAGTGCCCGGAGGGTCCTTTACCTAAAAGCCCACCGTTTACAAGGCGAGTTTAATTAATCTGATACTTTCCATACGTTCTGGGCCTAGCGTAGGGTCCTCAGGCGCATGTGGCCCACAGTTCAACGAACAATATAGAGACCCAAGGATACAAATCTGCCGCCGTTAGACCATATTGAGAAGCTCATCCGGACCTTTCCCGACTATAGTTCCGCATTATAAAGTCCTGTAACACCCACTTGCAGGTAAACGACATGAGATATATAGATTTTGACCCTGCCGGTGGAGCTCACATCACCTTTGGGCTCCATGTGATATTCTGCTCTTCAGAATGGTCACCATCAAGCCGGGGTCTCAGCAGGACCTCCAAATCGGATGCTATATCATATTCGGGGTGGCTATGATCATGGTCGGCTTGAGGTGTGTGGTATAGATGGTGTGGAATGAGGTGAGGCTAATACAGCTGAGATGAATGTGTAGGTTATACGCCCGACAATTCTTGCTGGGCAAGTTGGGAGCTGATGATATTTTAATCATTTTAGCCTCGGTAAGTTTATCTCAAACTATCCAATTTCATTGGCTGATGGTAATTCACCCCTCGATCTTATAGATTGTCGCGATCGGGGAGTTAGTAACTGTGCCCAATATGTACGAATGCGGGATTGGCCTTCATATTCTAGAATTGACACGAAACCAGCATGAATGTACGCGCAAGGTCCGTCTCCTTCATTAACTCAACAACTAGACTATTTGGACGTAGCGCTGACATATGTATAAGTGGGCATGGATATCGCAGGTTCTCTACTACCTCAGTCTCGGGTACTGCTCCATATCACCTCCATCGGCGTACAGCCTTCGAAGACGGCTAACATTGACATCAACCAAATATTCAGACTGGCTAAAGGCAGTATGGTCGCATTATACCTACGATTAGCCTCGAACAGAACCCACGTTAGATTTCTCTACGTCGTTGGCGCAGTTATACTTAGCCATGGAATCGCAGCGACCCTCGTTCGTCCGCACCCACCGACTATTTAGCAAAATACAACCAACTAACAAACTTAGGTGGCAATCTTCATCTGCAAACCGATGTCGCGCCTATGGACCCCCGAATACCCAGAAGGATGCCTTGACATGACGAGCTTCAACTATTTCAACGGCGCATTCCACGTCACAACAGACATCCTCCTTGCACTTCTCCCAATTCCCATCGTAAGAAAGCTCCAAACAAACCGTCGCCGAAAAAGTGAGTCCATATCTTACATCCTCACAATACGCCCGAAAGTACTAAAAGGAAGGGTGACAGTCGGCCTAATAATCGCCTTTGGCATCGGCATCCTAACCATCTGCGCATCAATCTCCCGCCAAATCACAACCGTCATGGCGCTAAGATCGCAAGACTTCCAATGGTTAGTCTCCTCCCTTAGAATTCCCACTCACATTCTTATTGCTACGATCTCACACGCCCATCTCTATATCTCTAGGCACTGGTCCGCCGCCGAACTCACCACCTGCCTCGAAATAAACATGTCCCTCATCTGCGCCTCCGTCCCAGCAATGCGATCCCTCTTCAAGGTCTATTTCGGCAGCAACAGCCTCACAAACAGGCGCGCATACGAACACGAACTCAACGATCTATATACGCAGGGAAGCGGTGCACGGAAGGCTCTAACGGATTTCAGTAACCTGGAAGCAGCACGACGACAGACCCGGACGAATACCGTCAGTAGGCATAGATCTGTTGACAGTTTTGACTTTTTGTGCGGGCAGAAAGATGGGGTGGTGCAGACTACAGAGTTTCGGGTTTCCTACGGGAAACGAGTGCCTTTGGCTTAGATATGGGTTGGATTTGTTTTGAAGGGAGTTTTTGAGATGGAGTTCTTTTTTTTGGCTTTTCTTTTTTGGAATTTAGGAGCTTTAGGCTTGGCTAAGGGCATGGGAGCATTGCATTATTAGATGGGTTTAGGTTCATAGAGGTGAGAAAGCACTTTGAAGCCCTGATTGGGTGGGAGATGGGGATTATGTCTTGGCGAAGGATCCATTCTTTGTGATGAAAGGAATGAGTGATCAGTTTCTAGGTATTTCTTTGTCTGATTAATTGGGCAAGTGGTGGTGAGACCTGGTGATCATGATTGAGGTCGCACCTACGGGCAATCCATGTCGTTAGTGTGTTCCTGATATGGGGAGGAGGCCAATAGCGCCCACGACGGTTGAGGGCGGCACCATCTATGCATTCATATTCGGTGTAGTGCATAAGAGGGTAATGTTTGGAATAGAATAAGGTATGACAGACTCGGGTAACTGACGATGATATTGGCTATCTATTAATAATGTGCGTATGAGTTGTCAAAGGACGAGGTCAGGGGTGCGATTTACACCCATATATAGGAGGGGTTAGTAGGGTCACAGATAACTCCTCTGCGCAGCTGCTTGTTTTCTTTCTTTCTTCTATTCCTGGATTTTCTGTGCAAGCGTAGCATGCGATTTACACCGACCTACGTCTCTACAAATGGCTGCAGACGGCCGGCCATCGCGTTCGTTAGAGTCATTCGCGAATACCCCCCGCGAGATCCCTATAGATGTAAGGAGAATAGGCACCCGATGTATCGGAGTATGTTAAAAGCGACCGTTTAGGAAGAGTTCAGTATCTATAATGAGACCCTCCAATCGGATACCACTTCCCTCACCTCGTCCATCCTGCATTACGAGTATGAGAACGGACGGCGATATCATAGATATGGCCAGGTATTGTTGTATAAAACAGCTTGCCTACTCACTATACTGACTTTCCCGGAAGGCACAATATCTGTAACAGATACGTACGATATACTGGGAACCTTTCAGTACTGATATATAATATAGCATGCCAAATGATGAAGCCGAGCAGGATCGCCTTGACTTGGTATGTCGGTTGAGGCGTCTCCCAATAGCAGTGATACTGAGGTTACTGACAATATTTAGGTGCACCACATGTAAGTCGATGGTTCTGTGTCAGTGGATGAAAAAAAAGAAAAAAGAGTCCCCGTTGATTATCTTGAGGTTTCTTGTGATGCTCCACGGAGAGCTATTTATCTCGCCTATCAAGAACCCTCAGACCATTCTGGACCTAGGAACAGGCACGGGTATCTGGGCGATAGACGTTGCTGAGTATGGCCTTTGCAGCGACGCCTACGTAGCAAAGGATCGCTAACGGCATATAGTCATTTCCCCTCGGCCAAGGTTATTGGAAACGATCTGAGTCCCATCCAGCCTTCGTGGGTCCCTCCGAACGTCGAATTCGTCATTGATGATTTTGAAAACGAGTGGATGCACCGTCGGAACTTCTTTGATTTCGTACATGCTCGCACGATTTCAGGGTAAGTATATTATAATGCTTATACTCGAGTGTCCACACTACAGGAAGCTCATAGCCGTTGCTCTAGGTGTGTTCGAAATTGGGGTCGTCTAATGGAGCAGGCATACGACCATCTGAAGCCAGGTGGATATTTGGAATGTGCCGAGTTTGCTATAGACGCCTACAGCGATGACGGATCATTCAAACAGGACTCTCCCTACCGAGAATATATCGACAACATCAACAAAGCCGGCGAGATCACTGGAAGACCGATGAACGTGGCTCCGCTTTTGCAGACTTGGATGAACAATGCCGGGTTCGAAGATGTAACGGAGAGGGTCTACGTGCTGCCGTATGGACCATGGCCAAAGGACCCGAAGCTTAAGGAGATTGGGAGATGGCAGTATGTGCAAGCTCCAGAGGGCGTGGAGGCTTATGGGCTGCGGTTGTACACACAGGTGCTAGGGTGGCCAGAATCTGAGGCCAAACTGCATCAGGCTCTTGTGAAGCAGCAGCTTCGTAATAAAGCTTTGCATATCTATGGAAAGATGTATGTACCTCACCTCTCGTTCTCATTGAAGGATACGTGTTCCTAACCGCTGTTCAAGGTACGTTGTGTACGGCAGAAAGCCTGGGGTAGTATAAAACAGACGACGGCAGTGCGCAGTTTCTCAAGCAATGTTAATTAAAATATGAGGCGATTCAATTGGACATAGGCTTCCTACCTTTACTCACGGATGATGCAATGCTTTATGGAACATGATGTTTATTGCATAATCGCATTGTTTTAGTGGCACTCAGTCTTAGCAGCTTCACTAAGCTCATTCCTAAATCCTTATCGGGCTTACCAAGACTACAAGACGTACTAATACCATGAGATCTCCCAGTCTGTCTTGTCCTCTATTAGCAATAACTCCCTTCGTGGTAGGTCACGCTCAGCTATCTTCACACTTTGCCTTGCTTTATTCTGCTGAATGAGATAAACCCGCAAGGAAAGATCCCAAAGCACCGCCTGACAAAATCCCACAAGGCTTGCCTTGATCCCCTTAGGATGTGGACCAACGATATTACCAGCGCAGTACAAGATCAACACACGCATTTACTACAGCCCGTTTCGTGAACCCGCCCTCATTACTAGTAATCAAAGACAATTACAGCGGCATGGTGACTGACAAAGCCAAACTGAGGGAAGATCCTGCCATAGGACCCGGCCTGCCTGGTTCGCAGAATCAAGAGCGTACATCAGCACCATGCCCATGAGACTGACCATGGTTACGCAGGCCATCATCACCCTTCGCATATTAGGGATCCACGAGCATACGCCTGCACCGGGTATAACGAATCCAAGCTGCGCTGCGCCAGCCGGCATCTGGATGAGTAATTCCTGGAGCCCATCGTAGCCAAAGTCGGATATGACTAGTGATCCGAACGCGGGAAGGCCGCCGCTGGCCAGGTTCGCACAGAATGTGTACAGCGCGAGGAGCCATGTTGCGGGGTCACGCACTGCTTCCAGCACTTGGTATAGCTTATAGGTGCCCTTTATGCCTCTGCCCTGGCCATCGGCCAACATGCGTTGCATGGCGATCTCGCGCTCTGTTTGTGAGAACCAAAGGTTTGGGATGGTGTGCCAGGCAAGAAGGACGAGCATAACGAGGTCCCAGGCTGCGGTGGTGGCGCCGAAAATTGAAAGATAACGCCAGGCTTCCAAGTATCTCTCAATACGGCCAATGCCGTATGAGGCCAACCCACCGAACGGTGTGGCCATTGTGTCACCACAGAACCAAATGCTATATCGCACAGGCTGCTCTCAACGTTGCACCACATTCTAGTTATCAGTGAGAAGCCTGGTGCTATAGATGCTATAGATGCCTCCAAGGCGCCTAGCAAAAATCGCGCGATCATGAGGCCGGTGAAGTTATTACAGGCAGCATGACACATGAGTATTGCGGCCCAGATAAACTTGGTGCCGGGTATAGGTCAGCCTATTGCGCCGGAATATTTAATAGATAAGGGAAGTTGTGGAGAACTAACACTGTTCCAGCAAGGTATTTGCCAACGAGGAGCCGCACTGACAGATACATTGTCGGGTATGACTAGAATATGTAATAGAAGTAGAATATGGAGGCTGTCCAAGAGATCTGTGGCCCGGTCAAGTTAGTGTTGTTTAACGGTCCTAGTAAAGCAGCATAGCTCAATGCCTGTTTGTCTAGAAACTGCAGGAGATAATAATTCCTAAGTAAGGGTAGCAGAATCAAATCGACTTTCCGATGCACTCGACGTTGGTCTTGCTGTGGGGCATAGTTGCTCATGCCTGCAAGCCCAGCATCTCCTTTGGCATTGACTGAAGGGAGTGACTTGCTATCGGTAGATATAATTGGAGACATATTCGAGGAATGAATCGGTTGCATGTAATAGCCATGCTGAGCAGTGTTAAGCCAGGTTGCTCTTATACCGTGCAAAATGTCACCGGCGTCTCTGTTTTCAGCGCCCTCTTTTAGTTCGTGTGATCCTGTACTCAAATCCGGGGGAAACGATGCACGATTCGTTGATAAGCATCTCCATAATCAGGGCGCAAATATCACTGATTGGCAACTCGTACTGGGCCGGTTCGTCGGGGTCTCCACTACCAGCTCCAATTAAAAGAAACATATCAAATTGATTTAATGAACGACTTAGATTTTATTTAAAGCTAGATAAAAAAGAACACACAATCAGTGCGAAGCTCCCTTTGCCACTGGTAAGGCATCCTTCACATCTCGGTAAAACCCCTCGTCTATCAAAATCCCCCGTCCCGTCATCGCCATGGCTTTCCCAGCTATAACAGTCCTCTGGTGCGCATCGTCGCTTTCAGCTGCGTCTGTAAACTCATGCGTATGGTTCTTAACGCCATTACTGACCGGAATGCGGACCAAGGCATGCAGAGCCGGCACTATCTGTGATACATTTCCCTGGTCGGTGGATCCAGCCATCAGGCCCTCATCGATCGTCCGAAGCCGTACTCCCTGGCCATTAATATACTCTGTGAAACCCCTACAAAAGCGGAGGGTTCACCACTAAGTCAGCATAGATCTGATCTTCCTCCAGCTCGATCTTGCACCCAGTGGCCAAGGCTCCTCCTTCCAAACACTTGACGCACGCGAGCCCCGAGCAATCGGGGTTCGTTCGATTGTACGACTACGAATGGTGTATTTCTGTGTTTCGTGCGGGTGAGTTCGGGAATGGCATTGGTGATGCTGGGCGCTTGCAGAATTGCCCCGTGCACTCGCTCGTCTGGGCGGAGTTGTTGTCGTAGCATGGAAATGTTGTTGTAAGCAGCTACGACGGCGCCCAGCGCGTTGACTCCCTCCCAGGGACTGGCCGCGGCATGGGCGCTGAAACCGTGGTAGATCGCAATGATGTCGTAGCAGGAGTTGCAGGATTGACCTGCAATTCCTAAGATTCTGTCCTCTATGAATTCTTCGTCTGACATAGGGTGCCTTCAAAGGTTCGTCTATTTCATATACGGGGAATGGGCGGGTTGTCGTACATCATTAGAGATAAACTGGTCTTCTTAAGGGCGAGGTCAATTTTACCTCCCCCATCTTCCCCGGCAGGTGTTCCCAGCAACTGTGCTTGCCCCGGAAGACCGAATTTCTTAATAGCGAAGGCCAAGCCTAGAAATGCGGTGACACTGGCAGTCGCGATGAGGTTGTGACCGCACGCGTGTCCGATCTCAGGCAAGGCATCGTATTCGGCGTTGAAATTGACACGGCGGCCAGGGGGATCCCCAACTAGGGCTTCGAATGCTGTCTCTAGACCGTAGGCATGGCGGGTAGTGGGAATTCCCTGCGATTCGAGGAATTCACACAGTATATCGTGGGAACGACGTTCTTTGTAAGCCAACTCTGGGCATTGGTGAATCTGGGGTCGTGGTTAGAAGCTTACCAAATTGTAGGGTTAATTTGGATTACCTTGAGATTCAACTCGCGCAGAGAGGGGTGCAAGGCAGCGATATACTCATCGATCGCCCCTTGGACTTCTTGCTTAGATATCACGGTCATAGATCCTGAACGCTTGACTTTGAAGGTCTAGTTGCTCTTCGGAAGACGGGGAATTGCTTTTAGCCAGCTACTATTTATGTTACCTAGCTTATATAGCTTTCGAAATAGAATAAATACTATCTTAATAGCTCGGAATAAGATTTCACTGTATGCCGATGGGTCCTGACCGGGTTGTCCGACAATTCTCATTAGGGCTAATCCGATCTACTGATAGGCCGGTTAAGTCCCCCGGCGCGCAAGAAGCGTACGATTGGCTGCGCGACTACTATGCGAAGGGTAGGGTATAAGTAACGCTTCCGAGTCAGTTTATGGACACATCTTCATATCAACTCAATCTTCCTTATTGAACTGTAATTAACTATGACTATCTCCGACTGGCAACAGAAAGCTGCCGCGAAACAGGCCGAAGCGGCTGCCAAGATTCCCAGTGAATGGCGGTTGCCCGCAACCATATTGCAACAGGCTGCTGAAGATGAGCAAGGTGTCTTGGCTATCCCTCAAGGCTGCGGAATCCTCACCCCCAAAGAACTGGCTATCACCGAAGCCGCCGATGCTACTGCCCTACGAGATAAACTACTGACCCAAGAGGTCACGGCAGTGGAGGTTACGACTGCATTCTGCAAACGTGCCGCCATGGCGCAGCAGCTTACCTCCTGCTTAACGGAGACTATGTTCCCACAGGCTTTGGCACGCGCTGAAGAGCTAGACGAGCACTTGACTAGGACTGGAAAGCCGACGGGCCCACTACATGGCTTGCCAATCAGCCTTAAGGAAACATTCAATATCCGTGGCGTGCACTCCTCTCTCGGTTTGGTCGCGTTTCTCGACCGTCCCGAAGCCACCCAAAACTCTGCTCCAGTGGAAATCCTTCTGGCTGCGGGCGCTGTCTTGTACGTCAAGACCGACGTACCTCAAATGATGATGACGGCCGATTCCGAGAATAACGTACTTGGTCGTGTGCTGAATCCCACCGGCGCAATCTGACTGCAGGAGGCAGCAGTGGTGGGGAGGGCGCACTCTATAGCTCTACGTGGATCTCTCCTTGGCATAGGTACCGATATCGCAGGCTCCATCCGGATCCCAGCCTTGTGCTGCGGCACATTTGGCTTCAAGCCTAGTATCTGTCGCGTGCCTTACTCCGGCTAGACGAGTGCAGCCCGACCAGGCGTGACTGACATAGCGCCCGTGGCGGGACCATTGTGTCACTCCGTTCGTGATGCCGAGCTTTTCCTGCGGGTGGTCATGGAGGCACCTGTTGATGACCTCGACGACATGGTGCTTGGCATTCCCTGGACGGAATTGGCTCCTCCAACTGCCCCGAACCTCGCCATAGGGGTTCTCCCAGGAGACCCCCAGACACCCTACATCCAAATATGCAACACACTTTGGAGAAAGCGGTACAAAAGCTCGCAGCAGCAGGACATCGTATCGTGGACCTTTCCACCCAGATTCGTTGCATCGCCAAAGCGTCTGATACGTCGTTCCGCTACTTCCGGATTGATCCCGATCAAACGCAATTGAAGCAGCATGTCTTCAGCGGTGGAGAACCGCACATCAAATCGCTCCGTTACACCTATAACTTGGAGCGTGGCGATCCAGAACCGACGCTACGAGATATGTTCGATCTCAATGTGACACGAGCAGATGTGGCGGAGCTAATGCATCGCGTGTATGTGGAAAATAACCTCGACTTGATCATCGGCGCCGGATACCAGAACTGTGCTGTTCCTCATGACACCTATGGGGTTCCGGTATATACGGTCCTGGCGAACTTAGTTTATGTAAGTGTTTTGCACCCCAGCCTTGTCATAGTGCTCGAGCTGACAATATGTGAATAGTATCCCGCCTGTATTATTCCCTTCGGACAGGCGAATGAGGTCGCTGATGTGGACTTCGTGCGCGATGTGAACTATGTCCCTCACATGTAAGTAGAATCCGTCTGAGATTATCGGCCTCTCCGATGATTCCCTACTGACCATAATAGATCTCCCGAAGGAGGTTGAAAACGCCCCTTGCCATGTGCAGCTCACCGGTCGTCGACTGAAGGATGAAAGGTTGATGCAGCACGCCAAGGTCGTTGAGAGCGTCCTCGCGAATAAATTGGCGTGAGCTAAGTATACTTTCGGTCGGTTTGATCAGGAATCCAGAGCATAGTAGCAGAGCACAATCAAATTCCTTTCACTAGCATGTGTAGTCGCTGCACCAATATAGTAGATTTGTCAACCTGCGGAGTAGCCCAGATTGCCCTAAATCGATCTCGTAGCCGAATAGTCAGTCCACGTTGCCAGCGAGCTAACATAGTGAACATAATCTACTCGAAGACAATGAGCCATCCAAAAACGCGGCGCAATAAAGCTGGCTATTGACAAAGTAATGAGGAATGTTTCTCGTCTCCCTTTTCCTGATATCTATGAAAAGTGCCGTCGCTTTCGAGGTTTGGCTTGAAGGAAGAAATATGGCTGTGATTTTATATCGAGCCTGGCGCCTGCCGTTTTTGCACTATGAGACAGGCGAAATCGTGACAAATGGTAACCGTCGAAGCAAGATCCACGACTGCAATACTAGTTATAAAGAACCCCTAACAGCCCACAATGGATAACTCTAGGTCAAGCTTTGATTTAACTGCCGAGAACCTAGCAAAAATATCGGATATAGATGATACAAATTCAAATGGCTCCTCTGCAGCTCCCCGAAAGTCGAGATCGCAGAGTCAACAGGTGGAGTCTGAAAAATGGATTATGCCCGAATTGACGGAGAAAATTCTCGATGCATTCCTAGATTACAATAAAAAAAAGGGACGAAAAGAACAAGCAAAGCTAGAAAAACAAGCAAAGCCAGAAGATCAAGAAGAACTAGAGAATCTCGACCAGCATGAAAGTCCACAACCAGAGTCCGCTAAAAAGGGTGAGGCAGGAGCATCGAGGTCTCAATGGAGTTCCATAATGGATGCTTCGTGCATGATGAACGTTTCGAGAGACACCTCACAAGGGTACTAGGACCGTCTAGCTGGGGATCCGCGTCCACGTTAGCACGATTTCAGCCTTCCAGAATGCAATAGCAATATACGTTATTAGGTGAGGACACACTATACCTTCAGTAGCGAACAGCAGCATGTACAAGACTAACGGCGGTACTAGGCATACAAGCCCACCTTTGGAAGATTAGGAGAAGGTTTCATCATCCATGTGTTAGTCATATAGCATAATTATTTGGCGTCTCCTGTTAGTGCTCTGTTTTATCAATGGTCTCTCAAAGAAAGCCACTGTCTGTCGAGGTCTTCAATTCGTGTAAAACATGTCCGAAACCTCCTATATGGTATCGTAAAGGACTATCATTGTGTTCCTAGTGATTTGGGTCATATGGAATGATTGCTACTAATAGGGTTCTAATCCTATATAAATACTCCGTCTAAATAGTTTATCAGTAACCAGTACCAAGGGTGTAGAATTGGATGCCAAGTTGATGCGCAAGAGCTGAATTCCAGATTTCCTCAAAAGCTTCGACACGTAGGCCCACTGAAACTGCTTTTGCCGTCCTCTCGTTTTTAGTCTTCTATCCATATCACTGCACTCTATATTATATATAGCAACCCAAAAAACCGTGAGGCGAACAAAAGTATTCGCAGCAAAATGCAAGACCATAGAGTGCAAAAAGATCAAAAGAACCCAACAACTTCCTCGTTTCCTTCTAAATATGGAACCCCTAGAATATGCAAGTATGACACTCCGTTTCCCACCACCTATTTCAACGGACTGGTCCCAGCCATCCAGATTATCACCCGCGTAAATTTGCCATCGGCGCCCACATCGAAGAAGTTGCAATTGTACATATCATTTTGCGTCCCGTCGAGCAGCTCGCCAGTGTATTGCTGTTGAGTCGCAACCTTCCCATTCGGTTCATCGACCACGATGCTCTTGACTTCATGTAGCATCTGCTTGGAGCCATTTATGAAATCCGCAAACATACGACGGATCTCATCCCTTCCCGTGAACGTGGCATGGCCAGTTTGGACAGTGAGTGTGGCGTCTGGGGAGAAGTGCGAGACCACGGCATCGATATCTTTGGCATCTACTGCCACGAAGAAGCTTTTCGGTAGCTCCGCGAGTTTGTCGCTAGTGAGGGCTGGGCTCTGAGAGGCAGCCATGGAGGAATTTAGATGCGGGTTGCTATATCACGATGCTAAATCTGGAGCTGTTCTGGTATGGTATTGTGGGACGCTGAACAAGTGCGAATTAAGTAGAGGATAATGATCACTGGGATTCTACGAAAATGCGGGGTTTATATTGGCATATTGTGGAGTTTTTATAAATGATGGCTGGATGTGTTGTGGGTCTGGATGCGAAGGCTCCGGACGATGCCGAATCAGGTGTCTATATTGACCCTATGTAGTACAACAATAGTGGGTCAAAAGTATTGCAACACCTACCCAGGAGGTTATAAATCGTTTAGTTCTATCCTGGCCACGCAGGGTCCGTGCTGTATACCAAGCTCATGGCTGGTATACTAAATACTGAAATATGGATTCTATAGAACTAGTTTTGAGCTCAAATTATGCAGAATTTGTTGAGATATTGAGGTTTGAAATTAGAGGGTCGGGTGCGGAATTTCGGGAGTTGCAATACTTTTGACCAGGCAGTTTAGCATGACCTATTCAACATGGCCAACAAGACAGATGTTTATTAATAACAGTAGAAAGAAATATTCCCTATGAAATTTATGCTATCGGACCTAACGGCGTAGACCCGGATTATTCATTTGTGTATAGTATGGGCTTGGAAAGTGCCGAATCGGACACTAAGACCAACGAGGAGGCATACATAGTGGCCCCTTCAAATACGATAAAGAATTCCAATTGCTGTATAGATCCATAACCGCTGAGGGTAGTTGTGAAGGCAAATCGCACATTACTCTTTGTTAACAGCATATAGCAATGGTACTCCGACAAGGAACAAAATATCAGATCCACAAATATGTGCGTACTGCCCTACGGATATTCAAAGCTTAGGTTGGCAAAGCAGGTGAGCACATCCAACAGGCGAGCACATCTAGTTACTCTGTCTTGACTCGCTGGGAAGGAGATCTTCTAGCCATTTGTATGCGACCGGCAAGCTGTCGGGGTACCCCATATGCGGTAGGCCTTCGAAGAACCTGCATGATGATTAGTTAATCTTGGACCTGTAGTTCATATATTACGGATGTATATGGTGTCCTACCTTCCCTCCTTGGGACTCCCATGGTTGAAGAGAGTCAGAGAATCCTCGATCGGAGTAACACCATCATCGACACCCTATACGCTTGTCAGATACAGCCCATACAGCACGCAGGAACATAACAATTGCACACATTCAACAAGAGTAGCCTGCAACTAGGGCGGTCGAGAATCCCCGTCTCGAGAAGGGAGAATTTCTCTCTTGCTTCCTGCCTAAAGAGCTGAACGTCGTCGTAGCCGTATTTCTTCGCCCACCCCGGCATGATTCTGCACAACCATTAGCATACAACTCGAAATCTACGTAAATATGAGGAGCGAACTAACGAGAAAGGGTACTCATGATCATCCACGCGACTAAGCCATTCCTGATCCAGGAAATAATGACACCCCGCCCCATGCGCAATGGCTCCACGTAGTCGAGCTGCATGTGTATGAGCGGCACGGATAGCATAAAAGCCTCCCGCACTGAGCCCCCAAAGCACAACTTGATTGATGTCCAGCATTGGCTGAGTAGCCATGTATGCAAAGATGCTATCCCATACTCGATCTGGTGAGGTAGGATCCGCAGGATCGGCGGGACAGTCCGCTGTTCCCGGGATTTCGGCTATGACAACCGCCCATCCGCGGGCGGTGATCTCGTGGGTTCGTTGGCTGTTATCCGGTCTGTATCCGTCTAGTCCGGTCATGATGAAGATGACGGGGACTGGGGCCTCGGGTCGAGCATTGCTAGGCCAACGAATGTAGATGGGGATTTGAGGGCCATCATTTCCAGAACGGTGGGTGTGCGGGATAGTAACTTCCTTGATTGGCGGATTCCATTGGGAAGCGGACTTGAGATAGACCTTTTTCTGAAGGTCGAACGCTGTTCGCTTGATGGAGTCTGGCTGGGCGATGTCAACGTAGGGAAAGCGAGAAATCCGATAGACTACGGCTGCGCGGCGGAAGAGGTCGATTGCATGATGGGTGTGGCCAGCATCCATGGCTTCTGAGGCTCGGGACTCTAGCTCCGATGCTGTGGGAAAGAATGTTGATGTATATTCGTCCGTACTGGCGTCATTGATATTCTCCTGCCGTTCATCGGTCTCGGTCAGTTGCAACGAAATCTGAGCTTTGAGTTAGGCAAGACAAACCGAGATTAGCTTTCGAAATATAGGCTCAAAATCTTCATAGCAGCCATCATGAAAAGGATAAACTCCTTTTTTGCACTGTAAGGTTCGGTTTATTCGGTTAGTTGTCTCAATACGTTGAATTGCAGAATAGTTTGCGGATAACTGACAGCAAACTTCCAACGAGTTTCCCACAAAGCCTTGATACAGCCTTTATGCGGATAGATCGTGTCGAATTTATCCCCAAGGATCCAATTAGTCATGTTTATGTAGTGAAATTAAGTCCCAGTCTTTCCAAGAAAAGGGAGGCTATGAGTGTGATGGAGAGGAAGCGGTCGTCGCAGTGAACAACATGTTAGAGGTGAATATAGCAGCTGCAAGACAAGTTTTGAAGAAAACCCAGTGAGATCGATTTTACCCCCACTTCAATGATCTACTACCCCAGCAGGTACCACTTTAAACCACTTGTACTACATATTTGACGGGTTGTCGAAAGATCACGTGAGATATCTGTAACGCTGCGGCCACAGCCCTAAAGCCAGCATACCGCAAACGGCGAGGAAGTTACATCGCACCCCACATATCTAAAATTGCTAGATAGGTGATGACTTCATTATAGCACAGCATCAAGGATATTACGAGGATTGGCGCATCAAGGTAATAAGCTGGAAAGATCTTCGTACTATCCTTGCCAATTGATGTACTATTGGTTACCCAGGCACCGTGTATAACTTTAAAAAGTTCTACTCCGTACTTATCTACAAACTAAAAACGACAAGAATAACAGACGGGAATCATTTAACAGCAGAAGAATGGTGGTGCTCCCTAAGCGCTGCATGGGTGCGACGTGACCCTCCTCCGAAGTACAATAAACTCACATGAGCATAAATTCTATACTATAAACATCACTCAGTTGGCCGACTCAAAAAGCCCCACGAAAAGATAATAGCAAATGGAACTTCATTATCGTTTTATGCTATGTGAAAATCTTTCACAGCAAAGGAAGGGAAATAATATTATTCACGCACTGCTCATTGATACCAAGCAAGTGTTCGGTTGTTATATGTCACGATGGCTTTCCGATTCGTTTCTACCCCACCCAAAACACTCAAAGGTTGTATCTAACCTGGCGCAAATAATTAGACAATTCAATAATATCACTTGATTTGCCCGAATAGTGGTGTTGTCAGTCGGAATATGAAATACCATTTGGGATAGGGGTTTGAACGGAATGGTTCTTATTCTGCTTATCCTATTAATCATATCAGGTGGATAACCTTGTCATCTCCATTCCGGGGGTGGTAAAAGTCTTCAGGGGTTGTTTGGTTAGAGCCCTCAGTACGACTTCTAGATTTGGCGGGCCTCTTAGGGCGTGAGACTCCAACCAGCCATAATAATAGCCTGGAGACTTACAACTGCTGCGTTATGCAGATCTGAGTCGATGCCCGGGTGGCGCTCGTAGATACCATTGTCGACCTTGTCATGATGACTATCTTTTTCTCCTTCTTGATACCGAAACAACATACCATCCTCCTTTCCGAATTCCTAGCCATGGTAAAGACGACCAGCTGATATCCGCCATGCCAACAAGAATGAAGATACAAACGACTGACAATAGGAGCTGGGTTACGCTCATACTCTCGACAAAGAGGTGAAGGCGTGGCATTTTACAGGTGGCGAAAGCCCTGGCATAAGTGAACAACGATGTTTAAAAAAAGAAGAGATCTAGGGCTAGTAGGCTCGATGACTCGCATGACTGTGGGCGAGGCGAAGAAAAGTGCCGACCAACCAAGACTTTCTCTGTGCGTAGATATAGCACTTTGCCAAATGCCCAAGGAACCTATGGTTGCGCTCAGCCTCACAGGATGTCCCTAGTCTCAGCGGCTAATGCATGACTAGAGGGCGCGCGCACCAGCCATGTAGGAGGAAAAGGATAATACGAATAGTCAGCACAGCGGCTAATGAGGCTGAAATAGAGTATCCGCAAGGTTGTCAAGAAAGCGATATTTTCCATCGTTCCAAACCTTCTTAGAATATCTATCAAGGATACTCAAAATGGAAGGCTTATGCGACAAGTGCGCTGGGCAGGGTTATATTTCTGAAGCAGCATGGAGAGATAAGACCGTACCAGACCGGCACAAGGAGCTTGCGCAAGACGTGCTTGTTTCTTGATGCTTAGAGGAAGGACAGAAAGCCATGAGCCTGGTGCCTCATCGCCTGCTGGGCCTCGTGAATTTAACGATAACCCCAAGGGATTCAACTTCAGCTCCCTTGGTTCTCGACTCATGTTCCTAAACGACAGTCCATCAAAACTAAGATTCAGAAAGTTGGACGAGCTATTAAACCGACGCATATTAAACCCGAGCTGGTCCAAAAGTGGATGAATATTTGTCAGCCTACTCACGAAGAAAAATGCCGACAGTTGCCCCTGAAAGTCGCCAGTTCCTCTGGTGGTAAATCTGACTTAAAACGCTGCTTGGTGATCGATGTCCTGGACAGCTGCATGGTCTAAGCGCCGGCACCTTGTGAATATTTTGCTCTCAGTTACGTCCGGGGCAATTCCCCACAGTTGCCTTTGTTGTCGAGCAACAAGCACCGTCTCATGGCTGCAGGAGGTCATTGAGAAGCTTACCGCCAATTCCAAAAATCATACAAGATACTATGGTCTTGTTTATCGCATTGGGGGAGATATCTTAGGGTGGACAGTCTCTCTCTGGTCCAGGACGAGGGAAGAACTCGCCAATAGTATTATCTCTATGTATTTGATTTATAGAGGGTCCATAGCGACGATTGTTGCAGCTACTGGTGTTAAATGCTAATGCAGGGCTCGCCGGAGTCCGACAGGAGTCTCACAATATGGACCAAAGGACCAAGGAGGTAGCACCTGGTGTCAGGATGAGAGTTCTGAAAGAGCTAGACGGTTACCTCTACATGTCGAAATACTCTACCAGAGGCCGGACGTATGTAGCCACAAGCACCAAATGAACTGTAGATGGAAATGGCGCTGACAATTCTAAGATTCCAGGAACAGACCCTCTCCAATCGCTGTATCTTTTCTGTCAACGACCCGGTCCATTTTCGCCGTCCTTAATGCACCTGTGCGAGGATGGCACCTCCGACGAATGCCCCGAGAAGACTAATTTGACAAGTGTGGGCAGTTTTATTCCAGCTTCACTGGATCTAGAATGCCACCTACTTTAAGTATTAGCTATTTTATATTAGTGCGTTTCAGACACTTCGACTCCATTACTCCCGACGAGAGTCTGGAAAAGACAGTGATGCAATAAATGCGTTTCATGGCATCCTCCGGTCGCCTCAGCGCGAGATTGAAGAACGACCTATTAGAAGGCATTCCCATCGTCGGCTTCGACCTAAAAATCTTGTTCGTGGGCTCGTGCATTAGACGCCTATTAGACTTTCCTAGCTACTCGTGGGCTGGCTGAACCGGTGCTGTGCAATGGTTAGATCACTCTGAATGGGACTTGGCGGATGTGGTCGGCTTATTTCGAATGGTATTAGTTTTATCCCGCTAGGAAAACTGGTTGAGTTCCTTCTTCTCTCAGAAAGTAGCGGACAAGTGGAAGATATGATTTCTAGGGCCTCAATATCTGAGCCACGTGGCGCCCAACGCCATTCCTGGCGATATTACTGGATTATGCTTATCAGCTGGGAAGTCGGAGTGGCCGAACGACTGGGCATTGGGACAGTGGACGCCGATTCGGTGCAAGAGTCATATGAGCTCGAACTTGTCAGGGAAGAAATATTATCGGCATGATGAAATCAATGGTAAGCGGTTTCTTTAGGCCCAAGAAAGTGCCATTGACCCTGTAGCGCTAGTATTCAATACCCTAGCTTCCCTGGAGGCCTTCCCAGTTTCTGTACAAAACACCAGCTCACATAGACTCATGTTTGATACTCTATTTACCCTCTAAGTCTATAAATATATATTTAGTAATAAGCATTGCCAAACATTATTCCTGCAATGGGAAGCCGTATCCAACTAGGAAGGCGGGTTCATCAATGCTATGATGCTGGTAGCTGCGACCGTTAGCATCGTAGTTGAGCTGGAGTTAGTGTTCTTACCTGAGAACGCCGACAGCACCAGGTTCCAGCATCATAGAGAGGGGGAACTCCATGGGATAGCCCAGCCAACGTTTGGTGAAGGCCCGGAGCAAGTGCCCGTGAGCGACAAGCACCACGTCGCAGGGGTTCTCTCCGTGCATATTCGGAGCGTGGATGGCCCGGATCTCCTGGATGAGACTGTCCAGACGATGCGTGACCTCTTGAGGGGACCTAGTGATACTAAGTTCAACACTGTTCGTGCAGGATAGGGTGCTGTTACTCACTCGCCCTTCTCACAGCCATCCCTCCAGATATCCCATGGCCTCTCTGTATCGAGGCCATGCTCCTTTCGTAGCTCTCGGATCTGACGAGTCAACAACCCCTCGTACAGCCCATAACCCCATTCGGCAAGTCGCTCTGTCTCGGAGACTTTGTTATCGCGCCTCAACGTCTCCTTGTCGGCGTCACTGAAGGCAATCTCAAAAGTCTGTACCGCCCGCTTGCGGGGGCTGATGAAGACATGGGCTACATTGGACGGGTCAATCAGTTTGCCTTGACCAACAATAATCTTACCGGATGCCTGAACCTGCTTGGTGCCGTGTTCTGTGAGCTCCAGCTCGCTGATACCGGTGTAGCGTCCGCTTTTGGACCACTCCGTCTCCCCTAGGATAGATGGTCAATCCGCTGGAGGACGTATTATAGGCACCATACACATACCGTGACGGTACAGAAAAACGCGGGGGGTTCCAGCATCCTTGTCCGGCATTATCAAGAGTGGAGATTTCTGAGGAGTAAATGTTATGTCTATGTTTTGTCGTCAAGGAACAGATGGGAAAATGCCGTGGTTTGTGGACGGGAAAACGAATTTCATTTCAATTTCTCCTCACCGATTGGCTCGGAAGGGCATAGCCTAATTCGGATTTTCTATAACTTCATTGGTTGACCTCTCTAAAGGTATTTGGATCTACAAATTAGCCTATGCGAATGCTGCCCTCTGTCTATAACAACAACACATATTTATATAAACCCTTAAACCCTCAAGAAAAGGCTTTCTTTTCGGACCACGTGAACTAGTTACTAAACACATTCAAGAATTGCTCCGCCATTACCTCAAAAATTAACAAATTTACAAAGGATCTAAGCGCCTCGTATATTTCGTATATCCTTCTTCAACCGCATGAAGAGATTTATAATTTTCACGGTTTACTTGAGAAATATCTACTCGGTAGAGCGACGGCTAAATGATTGGATATAAGTCTTTATCCGATATACTTCCAAACTTTCAACGTCTATAGTATCAAAGCCGGAGAAATCTTCTCTTTACTCTGTCCCCAAGCTACCGCAGCTTTCCAGATTATCAATGTTATTGATATAATAATTCCAACATATTCATAACAACAAAAATAGCTTAAAAACAAAATGACACAATGCACATCAATGGGAATAATAACTTGGTTTCCAAATAGCGAAAGATCAAACCAGCCAAACTGATAAACGACATCAGAAATCTGGTCGTATATAGACACCATATTAGAGGACCTCAAGACATCCAATCAAATATAGTTAAAAGCAAGCAGACAACCCACTCCTTACTGACTCCCAAAATGCTCAATAGCTTGAACATGAAGCCCATCCTTGTCAAAATTCGCTTTGGGCCTTTGGGACTTATGACCCCATGGAGTCTGCTGATTTTGCATGTCAACCAGCAGGCTGTTAGCCTTCCTAACCAACGCCGCCTAGACTTCGCCCTCACTGCATTTTCTTGGAGATCGATATCGACCCGTGCTTGGGTATAAGGGTGTTCTCTCAGATCAACTCTCGTCGCACTAAATCTATCATTGCGAGGCTTCAAGTTAAAAAGAATGGAGCAAACGTCCTCCAGGTTTGGATTCTGCAACAAATTATGCGCTTGTAGGTATCCTCGGTTCGTATATACCTAGATACTAGCTCGCTGGGTGATTCCATATTTTGACCAGGTGACACGGTCACCTCTCCTTGGGAGCTGTCAAACTGCATTGAGTCACTAAGGTCTTGGGCTCGTGGGGGTAGACTGTCCGGAGTCACGTCCGCGCTGAGGGAATGAGCAGAACTGAAGAACCAATCTAGAGAGGGCCACTTTTTGTAGGGTTTTCGGGGAAGCCTAGGTCGATAGAAAGCTCAAGGCTCTCATGATTTTGGAGGGTTTGAGATAACTAACGTAAACGAGAAGTGCTACTTGAATAATTTGCAGAAGGGGATATGGGCCTATTATATCTTATCCTATGGACACCCCTTTATTTGAGCTATTTTCTTAGAATATAACAACAAAGAGGTTGGCAGTAGGAGGCATTTATCCTTAATAAATGCAGCGTTAGAGCTTCTCTTTTTCTTTTTTTTCCTTTATTCAAAATCATGCAGAGATGGAATCTTTGGTACGGCACTTGTGTATGCGTGTGTATCGCCTTGGGACCGAAATTTATTACTCTGAGGCGCGACAGTTGAATCTCGATGCCATGCTGAGCTTCTATCGGCTAGGTAATGCACTGGAGGCACAAGGGTATTTGTACCAGGCTATAGTTGCTTAGGTGAATTCGGCGGAGATACGATGTCGAAATGCTCCCAATAACGGTTGGGATGCTGGGAAGGTAACTTCATTGAGACGGGTGAAGGAAATTGTGGCAAGACTCGGAGGTAGATTATTAGCAAGTGATTATATCTCCATGGAGGATCGTATGTATTCTGGTGTAGCTTGAAGGCCAAGCACGGGCTGTGAGCGTATAACTAATGAAACCAACGTAAGGGTTTGTAAGCTAAATATAGTCTCAGTGCTTATAGAGGCTAAAAAATAGATACTTTGAACCCTTTCTAGAGGACTTGCAAATACGGTGGCGAACGACTGCTGACGGTTTGGTTTTCAGGATGGAATATACCACCGGATGATGATTGGGGCACGGGATTGGATCGATTGCCTCGAAACGATCATCAAAGGGCAAAGTTTATTGTACGATAGGGTTAGAGGTTCATGCAACGCGAAGTTCTGGTTTACATATGTTTACATATTAGATTGGGTGAGGTTTGGGATGGGTTCGACAAGCAACGGGTAATCGTAGTTAATACATGCCAATATGCAGCGTACTCGACACGTCCAAGTCTACTATATGCTATACTGAGGCCATATAAATCACACATGGAAATAGTCCAGTACATACGACCACAGGGTGTGGAGAACAGGGCTTCCCGTCCGCTCAGCCGTACTTAAGCCACACGCCGGCCGGTTAGTAGTTGGGTGGGTGACCACCAGCGAATCCCGGCTGTTGTATGTATTTTTTTCTTTATCAGCTTTTACAGCTGAAAGTAGTCACTTGCTCGTAGAGTATCTTCTATTATATCAATTTCTGTATGGTTCTATCCTCTATCAGTTATATTATTACGGTATGCCTGCAGGCACACGCTACCTATCTACCTGAATTCTGAATATACTCATATCCGTGAGTGTAGTACAAAGCTTTCAGCTTTATATCATAGTCTTTTATAGATAACGCAGCGGTTAAGCTTCTGAATGTATCTGGAGAGCACACCGTAATATATCTTACTTAAAGATCTTGGAGATAGAGGATTTGGTTGGAGGAGATAATTGGGTAGATTTATAAGGCGAGAAAAAGATAGTCTAGTTATACGTATGTTTATCGCGTGTACTGGATCGGCAAGCGAGAAGCAAACCGAACAGGAAACTGATATCCAACAAGGAGTGCGCCAATTACTAGAGAGATTGAGTAGCATTCACACTCAAGCTGATCTCAAGCAGCAAATTTATCAGCATTATCGATCTATGTCTTGGAGAATATGAAAGGGTTGTCAGTTATGGCAACTATCGCGGACCTACGGAAAGCCAGGAACATTATTCTAACTTTAAGATTAGGTTATTTCTCAGGCTAGGTTGGTGATTCATCGGGAGGCTTTAAGGTAGCGATCCTCACTCAGCCGAACAAGGAAAGAAAAAAAGAAAGTCAAGACTGAATGACAATTACACCGCCTAACATACATATCGGAGTTTCTCTTACGCTTGCCGTATCAGTCCTAGTGCTCAGTGGGGCGGCTGAGCGCTCAGTGATCGCTCAGCCCTCAAGTACCTGAGGTGGTCAACTTTGTTCACTGATTGTTGCCTCACGGATTCTGCCGCTCGCATCCGCGTTCGATGAGCCTGTAACACTCTCCTTTCCCCTCGGTGGACGTAGTAAGTAATCAGTATCGTACCGTATTAGAAGAATGGCATGGAATCAGGCCAACTTTAAACTGCAGTTTTAGAGGAGAATACCAGATTCTTCGCAACTTATCATGAGCGTTTTAACCACGAAGGTGCGTACCTTCTCTGCCGCTGCGGTGCAAGTAAGTCCGCTATCCACTTCTTCTGCCGTGTTGCAAAGAGACGCCTGCCCCGACCTCCAGGGCTCCCCTCTGAAACAATCCCCTACTTACTAGGCACTCCGAAAGGCGCAGTTCAACTGGCCGCCTGGCTATCTGAGACCCATTTCTTTGAGGATATCTGCCCACGACACTCCCCACCTCAGCAAGGCTGAGATAGCACATCCTTTTCTTTTGCTCTTTATTTCTCTTCTTCAGAAAAAGAAATGCAGTGGAGGCAGAATGGGTCATGGAGCGTAGGCAGACCCGTGCAGCTGGCATTATCCCTCTACCTGCTACCGCAGGCCCTCTTCTTCCTTTTCTTAACTACGGCAGCTATATAAACGCGCCAAAGTCCCCTACATGTACATAGAACTAGAACTAGCATAGTTAGAGACACCCAGGGCTTACCCCCTGACGGCCTTTGCCCTAATAGGGGAGGATGGGTCACATGCCTCGACGGTGAACCACGGCCGTTAAATATAACCAAACACGCCGAAGGCGGGTGAGGCTGCTTACCTGAAGGGACCGTCACAGTATAACGAGAAGATTGGTCTGTCTAAGCGGCCAATATAAATGCGTCCCCACACAGCCTCCCTTTTTAGCGCCTGCTCAGGATTTTAGAAAGTTGCTGCATTTTCACAATGTGACAGCCTGAGCATACATAATAAGCAGGTATTGTTAATATGCGGAGTTGTGACTGAGTGGGGTTATGATCCACAGACAACTCTTCCAAAAGATACCCGGCTTGTACGTTCAAAACTAGGATTTGAAAGTCCTTGGGCAAATTATCAGAAACAATGTCCCAATACAATTATTCCCCACTTCTGGTAGGGCCTAGTATGATTCGTGTTCTTTGTCTATTACCTAATGAGGACAACACCGCTTCAATCGAATGTCAGCTCATTACCTACACGTTACCAACAGGCAAGGGGCATCATCCATATGAGGCTTTATCTTATGTGTGGGGAAGCGAGAGTAAACCTCAATGTATCTTTATAGATGGGCATTCTTTACCTGTTACCGACAACCTCTACGCGGCACTGTTACATCTTCGAGATCATCAGCTGCAGCGCATGCTCTAGATAGACGCGATTTATATTAATCAGCAAGATGATCTGGAAAAAGCTTGTCAGATCCAATCTATACTGGCAATATATGGTCAAGCCAGCCATGTGATTGTTTGGCTAGGAGAGACAGCAGATCACAGCGATAGAGCACTTGAAAATATCCGCGTTCCTGCAGAGGACGAGCCATTTACAGACAAATCCACTATCTTGTGGGGAAAGAAAACAAATCATGATGCCATTTTGATGTTATTACAACGACCGTGGTTCCGGCGAATTTGGGTAAGAAAAATCTTGCGATCGATTTAGGAACTACTAACTAATTAGTACAGGTCCTCCAGGAGGTTAGTGCTGCAAGATCTATTCTGGTTATGTGTGGTCCTGTCAAGATGAATGGATATACCTTTTCCTTAGGCTTGAATGGATTGAACCTTACTTATGAGGCTCATCCAGGTTTAGAGAGCCTGATCCGCTCAATAACCTATTTTATGAGAGGGGCAATCTTCCGACCCGAATATACGACACGTTTACATAGAGTAATGTCTTTGGGAGAACTGATGGACATGTATCACACCCGTGAGGCTACCAGAAAACATGATAAAGTATATGCATTGCTTGGTATGAGCTCTGATGACCCCAACACAGCTGACCTCTTACCCGACTATGGGCTTCCATGGGATGCACTCTTCCAGCGGGTCATTACCTGGATTCTCACAGAAAATCATGCTGTTGAGACTTGGCCTCATAGAGAGATAGCTGTGATAAAGGCCCAGGGGTATATACTGGGCCGGGTAAACTCGGTGAAAGATGACACTTCACGATATGATAGACAATGTGTGCAGATCTCCTTTAATACTACGCCGAGATCGCTCAGCTATGAGAATGAATGGGGTACTCAATGGCTACTTCAAGCTTCAGCGAAGCCTATTCAGGAAGGTGACATTCTCTGTCTTCTACAGGGAGCTCTAAAGCCAAGTATCGTTACCATATATGAGGATTATTTTAGTATTAAAATGATCAGTGTAACTCCTCATCAAAAAAGAGAAGGAGGAAGCATGCATAGAGCGCTTCAAAACGTTCTGCATTTACAAAAGGAGCCCCTCCGTGATATACTCCTAGTTTGGAGTTGGGAAGCTTTCCAGGCGCACTCAGGGAAAGAGAACGAATCGGAACCCTTGATGAGATTCAATGATACAGTACCAAGCGACGCAGCGATAGTTTCGGAAAACAAAAGATTAAATGGTTTGGCGCTCATTCTTGAAGATATTGTTACGATAGCGTTGAGATTAGGGCCTCGTGGGAACCAAGTGATGAAACACCTACTTCTTCGAAATGGATCGAAGTTTCCGGTTAGCGAAACTGTGGTCGAAATGGTGGCAGGGAACATTGAATGGGGGGGTGAGATCATGGATCTACTCCTTGAACAAAAAGGCAAGAGTCTATCAATCTCAGAAAACATAGTCAAGTTAGTTGCAGGAAATATTGAATGGGGAGGTATGATCATGGATCTTCTCCTCGAACAAAGAGGCAAGAGTCTCCCAATCTCAGAAGCTGTGGTTGAAATAGCAGCAGGGAATACAGCGTGGGGAGGTGAGATGCTGAAGTGGCTCCTCAAACAAAGAGGCAAGGGTCTCCCAATCTCTAGAGCTGTTGTTCAAATAGCAGCGGGGAATACTGCGTGGGGAGGCGATATATTGAAGCGGCTGCTCAAACAAAGAGGCAAGAGCCTACCCATCACAGAAGATGTGGTCAGAATAGCAGCAGGGAATCCTAGGCAAGGATATTGGATATTGAAGCAGCTTCTTGAAGAAATAGGCAAGAGCCTACCAATCTCAGAAGATGTGGTCAAAATAGCAGCGGGGAATACTGGACAGGGGTATTGGATTATGGAACTACTTCTTCAACAGAGGGGGAAGAGTCTACCAGCCCCAGGAGATGTGTTTCAGGTAGTGGCAGGGAATACTAAATGGGGAGGTGAGATGCTGAAGCAGCTCCTTGAACGAAACGCATTATATGACTAGTTAACGCACATGAATCATACTCTTGCGTCTTTTGTATTTCCTCATTGTGATTCTGACTTATTCTATCGTATTTTATTATTTTTCATCATTACATACGATCGTTATATATAGGTTGTGTCAATGTCTATTGTATTCGGAATATCCTAGTAATTCTATAGCTAGACTCCAGAGATATCAATGCATAAGTGTAAGGGATACGACCCGCAACATTCGATAAAAAATCATAGCTATCAAACAAGAAGAAAACGCTGAAGAAGAAAGAAAGGAAGGATGAAAGAAAGAATCAACAACAGTAGGAAAATAAGGTATCACAGGAAGGAGGGGTCGAAATACACCACGTAACGCATAGGTAAACGAGGGCCAACGGCCTGAGTATTCTAACGGGCTTCAGCCTGCTACACTTCTCATAATTTTTCTTCCTTCCTCTCCATTGTTTCAGGCCCCGCAGCGTGCGTCAGCGCGCGTCTTTCAGTATTCCAGTGCGTAACTTCTATATAGTCTGCTTAGAAGTTAGGGTTTAGGGATCGTTTTCAAGAGTGTATCTCCGAAATTCATTTCGAATATCTGTAGTAAGAATATAATTTATTGATCAGAGATTAAGATACCGAGAGCGTATCGATATACCTAATATCTATAGGCCCTCAGCAGCCTTCGCCAAAGTGTTCTTTTTAATCTAGAGATAATGGCCTCTGATAGATTTCTTTCCCCGCGTACCTCCAGGAAAGACAACTCGTTAACCAAGGTACTTCTACCTAGTACTGTAAAAGGAAAGTAGAAGCCTCATTGGGCGCCTGTTTACTTTGATAAAGTCTAAAATTTGTGTATAAATGCCATTGTGGCTATATAAAGCGGGCAGAAACGCCTGGAGCAAAGGTATCATCCAATAGGCAGTGTGGTAGAGTAAGCAAAGTGGGCAACAAGGTTCGGTTTCGGGTAGTTGAAGATCTTGGAGGTAGAGGCAGGTTACAGGTTATATAGGCGCGTTCGAATGCCAAGGTGGACCGAAACTAGTCATGTGATGGGGTTACCGAACTATCCGACTTGTACCATACATGTTTTAATTACCAGCCTATCTGACTTTCTAGATTGTAAATTTCAACTTCATATATCTTATTCAATATGACTCCAATTGAAGCGGCGTTAGAAGAATTCGATTCCTTAGGACCAGGCGAATCCCCTAATTATACTGAAATTGCGAGATGACATGGGATTCAGCGGTCAATGCTATTAAGGCGCCACTGTGGGGTTACGTGCTCTAAGGACTACCAGTATGAGCAGCAGTGAATTCTCACCAACCAACAAGATAAAGAGCTTATAAGATATATTAATAAGCTTACTGAAAGGGGCCTCTTTATATTATATGAGATGCTTCAGAATTTTGTAAAAGAACTTACTGAAAATAAGCCTAGAAAGCACTGATCTGGGCGCTTTCTAAAGCGGTACTAAGATAAGCTTATTTTAACCTATACAACTGGTATTGATGCCGCGCGAAAATGAGCTGATTCTGTATATAAATATACTTTATATTTTGAGTTACTAAGCCGGAAACTCCAGGAATATAAGCTACGGCCGGAGGATATCTATAATATAGATAAGAAAGGTTTTATAATTAGAATAAGAAGAAGTACCAGCGGGAAAAATCCTTACAATTTAATCTTCTGTCTCCTGAGAATAATAGTGCAGTATTCTATTCTTCCCAGAAGATTTAACAAGCTTGTGATCTTCAAAAGTAGAAAGACAAGACTATACAGATTGCCAAGATCTTAAAAGAGAATGAAATAGTTTGCCAGTAGTAAGTAAAGAAAGAGAAATAACACTTAAAGAATATAAGAGAATTCAAGTATCTTAATAAGAATTAGAATTACACCACTTGGAAACAGAGTAAAAGAGACAACAGAAAGATAAGAAGCGCCTAGCTAAGAAGACAGATCAGCAGTTTCAAAATCACTTTAAGCAGGTTAAGAAGGCTCTAAAGAGGATTTCTAAAGCTTCATCTGCTAAAGTTATTGTAAAGGCCCCTCCAACAGTAAATCAACGAGGCCGCCAGATATAGCTGCCCCACCGCTACTAAAGCAATTAAAAACTCTGTATAGACTCTATCTAATGGATACTTTAAACCACCAAGAAATTGAGGGATAATATTAAATGTATGTGGTTGAATTGCTTCATGTTGATTATCGTAGTTGGGGGCGATTTTGTGCATCAGGTGGGGCCGTGCATCAGGTGATCACTGACTGTACGGTAGCTTCAAGTTTCATCCCCATTCTTTCAAATCCTTGACAAAAATAAACATGTCCTTACCAACCCTCCCAACCGAATTACTCTCATGCATCGCCACCCACCTCCTCCCATCTGTACAAGACGTGGATTCTCTAGCCAAAGCATCTAAAATCCTGTACGTAGTCACTAACCCCATTCTCTACCATCACCAAATCTTTCATCAAGATAGCTCGGCCTTAATATGGGCCGCCAAACACGGCAAACCAGACCCCTGCAACCGCCTGCTGCAAGAAGGCGCCAACCCCAACACCCAAGATCCGCAGCACAGAACGCCCCTTTCATGGGCAGCCGGAAACGGTCATAAAGAGGTCTCTTCAATTCTTCTGTGCTCGGAAAAGATAGACCCGAATGTGCCCGACGCGCATCTCCAAACTCCTCTCGTCTGGGCGGCAGGGAACGGCCTGCCTTCTGCTTCCACGGCGTGGAATTCGCCCAGGCCAACAACGGATGCCGTGCATTCAAAGGCGGGCGATTACCTCGCTATCGTGAAACTGTTACTATCGACGACACACATCCAGCCTGATTGCCGGACCCAGCGCGGGGAAACACCCCTCACGGCTGCCGCAGCAGCGGGAGCAGAAGATGTAGTAGAGGAGTTGCTTCGCACGGGGAAGGTAGACGCAAACTCAAAGGATCGGTTCGGGCAAACGCCGCTCCTGGCAGCAGCCCGAAACGGGCATCTAGGGATCGTCAAGCGCCTCCTGGCAATTGAAGGCGTGGACGCGGACGCCAGATCCCAGAGCGGAGATAGCCCTCTCCTGGCCGCCGCGCGGAACGGACACGCGGGAATCGTGAAATTGCTTCTTGCTATCCCTACCGTAGACCCAGACCAACAGCCTAGTTTTGGAGACCGGGCTCTGTTAGCTGCCGTTTGTGCTGGGCACACGGATGTTGTGGAGGCGCTTCTTGCTAACGAGAAGGTTGATCCGAGCTTGCCGAGTAAACAGGGAGTTACAGCACTCGTGAGGGCTGCGCAACGAGGACGGACGCATATTATGCGGTTGCTGCTTGCGAAGGGGGTCGAACCGGATGGGAAGGACAGGGAGGGTAGTACGCCGCTTATGATCGCTGCTGAGAGTGGACATGTCGAGGCAGTTGAGCTTTTGCTTTCTACCGGTCGGGTGCAGGCTGATTTCGACTTGACAAAGAGGAATAGGTCGTCTGTTTTTGCACCGTCGGAGTTGAATGAGGATGTTGTTAGGGTGTTGGATGATTATAAGAGCCGGCGTCGAGGTGGCTCCTCGTTGGATTCTTAAGGTTTGATGGGTGTTACTTTGTATTATACACTGGACCAATAGTTATTTGAATATCGGGATTTTAATTCTTTGGTTCAAAAAATTTTGTTGCGTTTTTTAAAGACGTTGCCTGTCCTTTATTGGTGGCTTCATAATCATGTATATTCACCCCCTGACCTCATGCTCAAAGAATTATTTATTGGACCTTTGAAAGCAACGTATAGCAGGTTTCATAATACCCACAATAGAAACAAATCTCATTTACAGCCAGCGAAGCAGAGAATGTTGCCAATCTCGCTAACTCAGGTCGTGCGTACCTAGTCTCTCAAGCCTCGCATACTGAGCAGCCTCAGCTCACGCGTTCTTTAGCCCATCCTTTGCTCTGGGATTATAGAAGAAACACTACAACCGCAGCCGTCCTGCAATGAGCAGGCGCCGCCGCTATGTCTCCCTCAAGCTCTATGCATTATTCGTGACTATCGAAAAGGCACCGCAGGAGATCGTCGGTAGTAGCTGCGACTTGAAGAACTTCGAAACCCTCTAAGGACGAGGCAATTAATAAATGAAGTATCTGGTAATATCCATCGTGATATGAGCCATTGTAATAAAGCGAACCCAGTCGCCTTGAGCCGCGAGATAGAATTCCCGAATGACGGAGGTAAGAGGCCGTGGGAGTAAAGTAATGACATTGCTGGATTTGGTTGGGATTCCCCGAGATGCGAGAAGACGCCTTAGAATTGCTGTATTGTTCATGGAATACTTCTAGATCGTTTCCTGAGATGACGTGGGATATAGGCCGGGGAATAGCCATTTCGAAGACGGCGCGGAGATCGACCATGTCTGGGAGGGCTGTTGCAAATCGGTCCTTCTTCATTGGTTTGTGATGGAGCTGGTGTAGCTCACGTGTGTGGGATTGATTGTCTTAAGATCTAAATCTACTTTACAGAGATTCCTTGGTGTTGTGGTCAGGTCACGTAGTTCTGCCTTAGGCTCCCATAGGCTCTGACACAGCTCTCTTTTAAATGATTTAATCGGACCTTCCTTATTCCCTTCATATTTCCTAACTAGGTAGTACCTTCGGTTTCCATGGTGTTGAGTAGGCCCAGCTTCTCCATAAAGGAGGCATATTTCACTATAGGAAATGGTTTGATAAGCCTGTCTGCTGTATTCTCTTCTGATTTGATTGTTTTAAACTTAGTAGTTCTGTTTTCCACTGCTTCCTTTATATAGTAGTAGCGTATATCGATCCAAGACAATACAGTAGAGTAATTAGGGCATTTCAGTATATTAATAGTATTCTGTAAGTCAGTGTAGATCTTAATAGGCTTATTAGGTGTAGGAATTCTGACTGTATTAAGTAACTTAAGCAGCTATATAGCCTGTTTAGCCGCTGTATTCTATATAATAAGTTCTATAGCTGTTAAGCTTGGGGTGACGATGTCTTGTTTCTTTAAACTCCAGTACATTGATACTCCAGCCAGTATAAAGATAAATGCTTCAGTAGATCTGCCGTTTTCACAATTGCCATAAGATAAATTAATATACGCATGCAAGTCTTTATTAGGATGTTGGCCTAATCTAATCTGATAATCAGGTTGTTTCCTGAGATATCTAAAGGTGCGCTTGATTTCTTTAAAGTTATTTACATTGGCACATTCGGTCCGCCTGCTTAAGCGGGAGATTGAGAAGGTAATATCAGGGTGTATATAGCAGGTAATCCAGTTAAGCTGTTATGGTTTGGTTGTCTCTGCGCTAGTAGAGGTAAACCACTCGACCAAATAAAAAGGTACAAGACGACTGATCCTCATCAGTCGCATCTAGCGCCCTATATTGTGGCGAAGACCATAGTCTGAGCACCATCTGGGTTTATCCCGTAATATAAGCTGGCCTGATAACTCCTGATATAATTGTTTCTGGTCTGGATCAGGTGGTTCAGTTAATTCTGTTAGCTTCCAGCCAGGTGCCATTGGTATGTCAGATCTATTCAGGTCATTGATATTGAGCTCTGCAAGAATTTTATGTATGTAGGCTCATTACAAGAACATGATAGTCCCGGTTGTCACGGGTAAGCCTTAGGCTTAAGGCCCCGATGGCAAGTTGCGATACTATATATACCGCACCTGGGAAATCAACTCCGATCAGAGTTGATCATAGTGGATCTTTTACCTAGTGGAAAGATTCTACGTATCGAATTGCTAATCCTAGGAGTAATCCTTTACACCGGTAGTACAGTCCCTGCTGATATTGTACCCTAGAGATTGATTAGGTTCGCCTAGGATCTTTATTTTAAATAACTTTCCTAATTTGATAAGGAGATTATTAATGATCTGATCTATAGATACTGCTATAATAGTATTATTTATATATATAATCAGGAGTATACCTTAACTGGGATCAGTATAGAGATATAGATCTTAGTTAATTGCTTCAGTCCTAAGACTACTAGGATATTATTGAAAACACTATTCTACAGTAGGCCTAATTGCTTTAAGCTATAGAGGGCCTTATTCAATAGATATATATATATAGTACTATGGTATATTGAGTAAATAACGTTAGTGTGGTGGGTCACTGAACTGTGTAGAAATAGGATGAACTCCGTGCCATTAACTGTAAAGGATTACTATTAAAAGGAATAAGCCTAGTAGCTGAGAAACCACTGCAGATATTACTAGTAGTATATGAAAAAGCCCTTGGCAAATCATTTCCTCATTCCTTTTCAGTATCAGCCTCCTTTGTAGGACAATCTAGAGGGGCATCCTCTCCATCTTCATGGATTATATCGAAGTCTTTATCTGTTCGGTGGATTGGTATTGGATAATACGAGTCCTACATTTGCTAGTGGTCGGAAGTAATTCTCAGTCACGTGAGCTCACAAGTTGAGAGACAAAGGAAGACCAGAATTCCGAAGTCTCAGCGAGCAAGGTATAGAGTCGGCCTGATTCCCTCAACCGGATTCCAACAAAAACATCGGCGTCACACATCCTACTATATTCAGAGGCTTTCTTCATTAGACCCCTCTTGCGCCGATCTGTCTTCTGACGGATAGATTTCTTGTGAGATTTCCAAGGAGCCCGCATTTTTCGCTGATTGGAAGATGTTAATGACATTAGGCAAATTATTGAAGACTATCCAATCAGAACATATATATTGGCTAGTAAAAAGAGTCCGCCAGTGAAAACGGAATATACTCATAATTCGGAGGCATTGTAGGGCTTTTTATTGCCGCAGTCCATAACCTAAGGACACCACGGTCTGGCGATTGAAATTCGGTAAATCGTGGCGTATAGCGTCAAAGACGGGATACTTTTTTCAGCAGGTCATTATCTAAAAGAGTTGATCAGAAAAGTCGTTGAATAACATGGGCATTACTTCATCAAATGATTCATTTGTTTAATGATGGTAGGTTAAAAAAACACTGGACTGGTTATTTGACCAACAACTTATTCCTCCATCCACTCATCGTAATACTGGCTTTTTTCTGGACCCCCTCTTTCCTCATCTCATCTCAACACCAATGGGAAGACTAATACGCAAGTTATGCATGTTGCCCGATCTGCCTGTCCATGCACATTATTGTTGGAACCGTGTTCAAAAGTGATGACATCTCAACCACATCGGCTGGGCGTCATAAATTAAAACATAGTTTTTAATCATGTGGCTCATACGCTTTATTTTGAACAATGCGTAGCAGACAACAATTGCCAAGTCATTGGATGAATAGGTTACACAAACTGATGGATGTCAAATGTGAATCCAGGAGATGAACAGCTGGTCAACTAAGTATGAGTACTTGTTCGTTACAGTACTTCTGGGTCGGCCATCTTTATTAAAATACCTCGAAGTAATATATTACAAATCCAATACCGAAGCAGCAATTTGCGGGCCTTTGTTACTTTTTCTTAATCGGTCATTTTCAACCACAAACAACCATGTTCAGCAGTGGATCACCCGCAATTTCTGTCCGACCTGAAAAAAAGGGCCATGTTTTCCTTCTATTTCATTTTTTTGACCAGCCACCCACATTTACTTACGGATACATTACATGACCAAAACATAGTGGATCCGGCACCCAGCTTTCTCGAGTTGTTTCTCATTGTAACTATACTTACCCTTACAGCTCAAAAACATACTGCTACAACATCCACTCGTATACAAAAAAGCACGATTATATTTCGATCGCTACCAATACGGTCAACGCTGTCAATGGACCCTGCAGCCTTCCTACTTTTCTTCCTTGCCTTATAAATATAGAGGTTAGCATTGCAATTTTGCATCGGGTAACCAATGATCATGTAGGTTTCCAACCAATTTGAATAATGAACTGCTTGAGCGGTGCATGATTCATGGTCCACCGCTAGCTTTTCACCGGGAATTTATTTTTTGTTCAGGATAGACCTTTTTATTTGGGAAGGCCAACATAAATAGAGATGAGGCGTAAATATTTTAATCGGCCCATGATTGGTTCTTGTTCGAGCTGGTCCAAAAAAAATACCCAAGCGGTATCAAAATACATGAACCGATGATGTTTCGCGAGCATTGTTGGTTGATCTATCTTTTGGCAACCCCAAGGAAGTGTTACCTTGGGCGACAGTTTTCAGAAGACTTAGGCGATGTAATTAGAAATAGTTGGTTAACTATTCAGTAGGGTACGAAATCTATACGTTATAACTCTTTCGGTTGGCCATCATTTATTAGATCACAGTATAATGAAAGATAGCAGTAGGCGATAATCTAGGACCGAATTTTTTTTTTTTGGGGCATGTCTGTTGAATAGTAAACCAACATTGCGAACAAGGGATCGCTTCGGGGCACTCGCTCACAACATATCGAGCTGAGCTCCTGCTGCTGGCTCCTAACATCTTGCCCCACTTAGGAGCCATTCCACTCAGAGAAGCGGTTCACATACATCAGACGGTATTACGGATAAAAGATTAGCCAGCTTCTTATTTACTCGTTACCGCCGTTACCCAAATGCGCACAGGAAAAATTGGACTCAGACACTACCTATCAACGAGGAGTGCCGGAAGTAATAGGTGTACATGTGGAAGAGGGACCCAGGAAACACAGCATATTCTTGTCGCATGCCATTCCGTGGACTAAGCGGGGAGATTTATGAAAGAAGGAGCGGCCAAGGTTATGTTACGAACAAGGCTTCTTGGGCAATCTGAAGCTATAAGCAGTGGAGCACTGAGGTCTAAGGGTAGATAGAAGCAGACATGAGACTTGGGGAACCTTCGGATAAACATTTGGGAGGAACCAGGCCAAGCCTCGATCAAGGCAAACACTAATAAATCAGCGACGGATAGTCATGGATAACTATTGGTTGGTACGGAATATAGTAAATCCGAATCCGAATCTTAATACCGCCGTTTCGGTTACCAAAATACTTTTGATTGAACTTCGTTCCCAAGGTAGTAAGTAGGCGCATTTAAATTTACCCTCACTTAGACGTATGTGAAGTGACATCCATGGATCTACTTTGATAGCTTCGTTCCTGGCTATATCTTTCCGATTGCCAAGGATACATGGAAATATTCAATGCCCTGTCGAATTTGAACTTTAACGGAAGATTACTTTGACCGTTCTCCACTGTCAGCTGACACCACCCTATGACACTTTCGGCGCGCCCCGTCCCACCTATCCTCGATGGAAGTAAACAATATTTCATGGCCCTGCCATACAGCTGATGGCTAGCAGCAGCTCCCCGGATTATAAGGCGCTCTTCTTGAGGGCGGAGGAAGAGCGAAGGCGAGAAGCGGAATTGAGGGGACAAGCGGAGGAAGAGCGAAGGCGAGAAGCAGAATTGAGGGGACAAGCGGAGGAAAACCAACGAAAGGCAGAGGAGGAAAGGGATCAAGGAAGAGAACAGACGCGACAAACGACTTTCGGAGAGCTCATTCAACTCTGCCACAATCTGTTCTCGCGATCCTTGAGGGTCGAAGATCCGTCTCTCTCGACGACAGGAAAAATACCACCACCCAAAGGGAAACGCTGTCCGTTGCGACTCCTCCCATGGACTGACTCTGCAGCCAGACAGCAAGAAGTCTACCGCTCGGTCTGCAACTACCTAGAACCACCAGGGGAGGCTGCCGAACGGCTATTCCCTCCGCGTCTTGTGCTGGAGGGCTTCGGGCAAGAATTCAACAAAAGAGCTATAAGCAGTGAACAGGATCTAGAGAGTTACGAACGATTTGGCGTGGAGAACCATGTTCGTGACATAATCGCAGAGCTCTGCAAGATTCCTGCCGCCCGAGATGAATTCCACCTAGGCGATGGGGTCTGGTTCGACAGCCACGCTAACGCCCTCGATCCAGTTGAAGTCGACCTCTCCCAAGCAACCGAACCCTCGACTTCCCGGCGTTCTAGGCCGGATCAGTTTTGCATACGTCGTGTCGACGGCGATACCAGGACCCTCCTTACGACAGTTGAGTACAAACCACCTCATAAGTTATCCGTCCGGAACCTTCGCGCGGGATTGCGACCGATGGACTTCTGGACCGAAGTGGTCAGGCCTAATTCCGTCCCTACGGAGGAACCTGAGAAATTGAGATACAATGCAGCTCTGCTAACGGGCTCAGCGGTGGTCCAAGAGTATCATGTGATGATCCAAGAAGGGCTCGAATACTCCTATCTGACGAATGGACTGGCTTTGGTTTTGCTGCGAGTCCCCTACGAAGACCCGAGTATCCTGTACTACCATCTCTGTGAACCCAACATGGAAGCGAACCAGGAACACAGCCAGGACTTCCGGCAACCGGTAACAACGGTCGCGCGTGTATTATGTCTATGTCTGATGAGCTTCGGTTCCCGATTCCGTGATCAGGAGTGGCGGAATAAGGCACTGGCGCAGCTGCCTGTCTGGACGACGAGTTTCGCTCACATACGGTCAGAAATCCCGCAAACAGAATTGCAAAGAGATCCTCCTGGTTCAGACTACACTCCCTCCGTGAGCGCGCGTACCGTCTCGGAGTATTTACCGTCATCTCCCTCAGTCGAATCTTCTACAAAAGGACGTCGGGTGCTGACCCGGTCTGGAGCTCGCTGTGCACCGACGAATACGACACGCGATGATTCTCCTGATTCCGATACAGACCAAGCTCCAGGAAGACGGAAGCGTGGCTTTAGCCAGATCACATCGCCTCCATCGTCTCCATCCGTAAAACGATCGGCGCGCCAGTCAGGTTCCCGAGATATTCAAAGCGGTCAATCTCAACAACATAGCGCACAGTTTTGTACTCAGCGGTGTCTACTTGGCCTGCAGCAGGGTGGCTTGCTAGATGATCACTGCCCGAATGTGAAGTTCCACCTGCAGGGGGGGGAGGGCAGTCGGCATCTTATCAATGCCGAGGACTTGGTTCAACAGATTAAACAGCAGCTGGATAAAAATATTGACGACTGTACACCGATGGGAGGCTGTGGAGCATCCGGAGCTCCGTTTAAGATCACGTGCGCTGCGTATGGGTATACCCTTGTCGGCAAAGGAACTACATCCCGACTCTGGAACGAGGTGTCGCGCGAAGCAGATATTTATCGCATACTTTCGAAAGTGCAGGGTTCAGCAGTTCCTGTGTTCCTCGGAGCGATCGACTTGGCCAAGATCTACTTTTTGGATGGGGCTGGGGCGATTCGCCACATGCTACTCATGTCTTGGGGAGGCGAGCCTATCAGCAAAATCCAGCTTGACGAGGCGATCAAGCATGAAATCTCGCGGTCTCAGAAGAAGATCCGTTCACTGGGAGTTTTGCATCAGGACCTCCGCCCGGATAATTTCCTGTGGAACGCCGAGCTAGGCCGGGTTTTGATCATTGACTTTCATCGTTCTGAATTGGATGGCCGACCGGCAAAAAAGAGAGCGAGGTCACGCGAGCAGCTCTCGTGCGCGGCAGAGGAACACTGGCGAAAACGACGTCGTGCAGTCTACAAATGAAGGCAATCTGGGGGTCTGCATTTCCTCCCAAGATATGTCGAACGGTAAACATTGGCCAGGCGTATTGATCAGTTGACCAAGATCTCACGCAAAATATATACTGTACCCGTATTCTGGAGCGACCATACTGGAGCTATCCTTACTCCGGAGCGAACCATGCTCGGAGACGGTGGCGGCTGGGGACAAACAGTAGACGCTAGTAGAAAGTTGCACAAGTGGAATTATGGCCGCATTCCAACAGTAGCAAAATGGCATGATGAACAGTGCTTTATATGCTCCTCGCAGGCACCAGAACTTCAATGTCTTGGATCTAAAGAGTGTCGCCCAAGATGCGCGAAATGCTTTATGTTTGCGGAATAAAACGCGCTTCTTGACAATCTTTTTCTTGAAAAAGAAGAAAGAAAGAAAGAAAGAAAATACTGAACATGCTACGCAATTAGAATACGTGGCTCTGCGCCAGAATCGTGGCCCTTATCGCTAACATAATAGTACAAGCTAATCAATGATAGCCAATCGCTTATCGCTAAGGCTGGACCAGGACAAGTAGGTAATCCACTCCTTAGCTAACTAGTTAGAATATTGTTGCGAATAGTAACAGATAAACTTCAAATATTTTGGCAGTTTCGAGTGTATATAAGTTGCTGACGCACTATTACTGAGCTAGGAGCTTGAAAGCTATGGAAGTATCACGACGCCTTTATGTAGTATCTCTCGAAAATCGACTTCCTATATGAGGAAGGATAAAGGGCAAGAATATCCTCAAAGCTCCAATGAGTAGAAGGTCCTTAGCGGAAATGATAGCGAGTCGAGCCAAGCAGACAAGTTGACCTCAATGCCGTGGGGGCCTAATTGATGAGTGGGTGCTATTCAAGTAGGTGAGGATGAAACCTAGACACAAAGATGGAAATGGAAGTCAACCTACCTGCTTCAAAGCTTCAATAGATCCAGCGGAGGAAGTCGTGGAGAGAAAACTAAACGCGTCCGAGTCGACGGGCCATAGATCCAAGTCATCAACCCCCACCACCCCGTTATCCTTTTCGTACGTCTGTATTAGGTCTATCGTTATGGTGGCGATGGCTTTAATAGACAAAGCGACTTGCTCTGCGGGGATTCGATGTAAGACTCCAAGCCGGCTATGCTAACGTTAGCTATATATCTCTAGACAGTCTAGCAAGACCCACCGATTTTGATGGACCCATCAAGGGCAAGAAGGGTATTAGAACATGTTAGGGATCTGTGCTTGAATCCATTCACAATGAGATAGAAGAGACTGTCAAGGACCTTTCTTGGTCAATAATATTGAACATAGTAGTATAATAAATGATTTTCACCTATTTTAAGATTAACCCTAGTTAAAGCTGGGTGGAACAAAGATTGCGACTTGAATTTAGATGCTCCAATATAAGTAGGATATTATCAACAATAGTATAAAGAGAGTCCCTGTCTCTATAATATTCAATTACTGATAGGATATTCTTATATTGGATATAATAAAAATATTGTAGTATTTTTTCTATAATTTCTGCAGGGTACTCCCGAATCGCTATAATCTTAATAGGGTAAGAGTAATAAGCAGCGATGATCATAGTATCTGCTAGCAGTTAATAGCTGAAATACTTTTAAAAGATATTCTAGGGTAATTTATTTTTTACAATTAATACCCGGCATGTATCTATATACTTAATAACTTGAGAAAGTCCTAAACCTTTCAGTGAACCCTTAATAATTTTACCAGCCCGCTCAGTTATAGGTGATGCATGTCTTTTATTCAACCTCTTAGGCTGAGAATTCTTGAGAGACTGGTATAGGTTTTTAGCCTTATCAGGGCGATATTTTGATAAGTGTGATTCTGACTGAGAGGCTTCTTAAGCTTGGAAAGATTCAAAATCAAGATATATTAAATGCCTATCTGATATTCCTGGTATAGTGATATATATAGATATACCCGAAGGATACCTTGATTGTACATGCAATGACCCTGAAGACAAATATTGGGTAAGGACTACAAATGGCCTAATCCATATCGAGACAAGATTAGAGAGGGAAGATTAGAGAGGGAAGAGACAATGGCCTTCTGGCGGTTTCTATATTTAGGCAGTGGTTATCAGAAGGCTGAATCAGCAGTAAACAAGAGAGGCCATTTTCTGGTTACCAGAGGATAAAAATAGAAAATCATGCCTACATGGTACTATAGAAGTAATAAAAATTGTTAAGTATGCTAGCTATGAATAGATCTATATATATAGATACTAAACTCTAACTTACCAGGAAGTAAACTCTGAAGTATCAAGAGACTATAAAGATTAATCTGAACTAAATTATTTTCTATCCATTTATTGTGAGAAAGCTTAACCTGAAGAATATCTATTGACTATATAAGATCTTCAGGAAAGATTACTATTGACTATTGGATCTTTATAACCATGTCACAGTGATAGTATTGAGATATTATCTTGATTATGCCCTTTACACAGCCTATATGAGTGCCTATAACCTGATAACTAATTCTTCTGATTATTATGCCTATCTATAGTTTCCTATTAGTCAAGTATAATATCTCCATAGCCAGTATTATCTCAAGGCCGCGGAGGAACTTCTCCTAGATAGTAACTAATAGTAGGCTATTAATCTTTATCTAGATAGTAATAGTTATCTCTTTTCTAGATATTGTCTCTGCCTATTATTATTATTTCTTCACTATTTCTCTATTTCTCTAATCTAATATCTGTGCAATACTGACTTGATATAGATCTAAGTCCATGTTTGCAAGCTACTCTTATAGATAAGTATTTAAATAAAAGACTACTAAATAATGGCGAAGTCTATTACAAAGTATAACAATACCAGTATAAAGTAAATATATGTTTTGAGAAGCAGTAGAAGGCCCGGATATCAGGTAATAAGATATAATAATTGAATTAGCTCTTCACTTATAAAGATATTCATGCTGCTTTTAATGTCCTGCTGGCTCTTTCTATATTACTAGAGCACGGGATGAAGCTTGGATCTATTCTACAGGTATTAGCTATTAATATTAATAAGGTTTATACTCTTTTCTATACACTGCTTTCTATTTTCTAATGCTATCTATAAAGAAGATAGTCAATAGTCTAATCTATCTATTTAAATATTGGGCGTTGCTTGTTAGACATGATTGGAGTAAGATACTGAAAATCAATATTTATACAGTAGAGACTCTATAGCTACTGGCTCCTGGAGTCTTGAATAAGGATAAAAAGAAGGTAAAGGACTTGATACTCAGCAATATAGTATTCTTGAATTTTATTAAATCTAAATATATCTCTATTTAAAAAAGATTTAAGAAGAAAAAGAAATATTATTTCTTTGCTCTACTTATTTTTCTAGAATTTATGGTATCTTAAATTATATACTAACTGTATTAAGTGACTTGTCATGCCTATTAAAACCTATTCAATAGTCAGAAGCGCTGTATTAAACTTATTCAGGCATGCTAATATAATAGGCGCAGGATATCTAATCCAGATATCTAAAACAGTGTATAGACAGCTTTCAGATTCCTTAATTAATCTGGCTGAGTTAGGATACTGACAGCTCTGGCTTTATGCCATGCGCTATTACCTAAAAGTGGCTAAAGAACCAGAGAAGGATAACCCTGTGGTAAAAGCTAGTCATAAAAAAACTGATAAGACTGTCCTATATAATATGGCTGTTCTTGCGCAGAGACTTGGATTTGCTTCTCTACAAATCACAGAGCTTGTCGCCTAATCTCTTGACCATCAGATTGCAGAAGACACACTGGTGAAAGCCCGGAAGCCTGACTGATACCAGTATAGCAATGAAACATGCAATATACTTATTAACCAAATTATTAACTGCTTTTGCTCTGCCGTTTGTATTGATTACCAGCCTTTGAACGAGTACATGAAAATTCACCATCCCACCTCAGCCAGCCACACTCGCGTTTGCCTTCCAAGGACTATCATAATCGTCTGAAACAGTGCGGAAATCCAGTAGTAGCATCCAATAATAGCAACTTTTCACGAGAAGAATAGATCCTTTGGGAACTATCTACAATTACCGTATCCGTAAAGAACGCAGATTGCGATCACCGAAATGGTTGAGTTTAGCCCTATCATCAATGGCTATTTGCGACTATAAAAGCAATATCGGCAGGCTCCCGACGACCAGAAAGACAATCGGTAGCTTGCCGATACGATTAACTCCCATGAGGCTGACCGTTGGGACGGAACTGCCCCAGATTATCGTGGGGATATGCAATAAAATGGGGCTAACGGGGCAATAGAAAATCTGATCCCTTCCCATTTCACCAAGAAATGGGATTGAGATCCCTGTTCTAGCCTCAAACTTGGGGTTGGACGCGTCACAGGCCCACGGACGATCTCATCCATATTGACGATCATTGAACCGGTCCATCAATAGTACTGTACCTACTCTCTAGTACCTCATACCGTTACTATTATGTAACGACTCGGATACAATGTTTATGTTCTGTAGCCGAAGCAAAGGATATAAAAGAGGTTGAACTTCCATTGAGAAAGATACCATCAAGCCAAACACAATAGCAAGCAAATTATTCTTCCATTATCCTTCGAACAACCACTCAACCAAGCCTCTAAGCAATCATCATCAAAATGCGTTTCTTCAGCATCTTCGCCGCCATCACCGCCCTCACTCCCGCCGTCATGGCAGCCGGCCAGAACCCCGTGAACTGTCTTGACAAATGTCATCCCAGCAGTGCTGGCTCCGCTCAGTACTGTGATGCCGCTCACCAGGTATGTCTCCATGTTGCTGAGGACAGATATATGAATGCCTGACCGCTAACAATACATATAGGCTCTTTACCGTGAAGGCCCTGTATGTATACCTGTTCCCTTCTCATCGAGGCCAAGATAGCGTGGTATAGTAGGTAGACAATTCTGACAATGATTATAGGGCTGCTTCAAGTGCTGTGAGTCCGTTTAAACAGATCAAGGCAAGCCGAGACCGCAAGTTTGGTAGTCTCCAGGGGTGAAAATGTGTGGGTTAAGGATGTCTGAGTTGAGGATTTGATGTTTCGCAATTAGCCTTTTGGGGACATGTGGAGCAGCCAGCTTTTTGGGACAAGTGGTGTATTGTATCTATATTGCTCGATTATCCGGCTGTACAATACAATCGGTTTATTGGAGTGTCATTGAAATGCTCAGAAGTCCTCGTAGAACTCTTGTCTCATATATTAGATTTTTTCAAAGCTATATGCAAGTGCCCAAAGAAAAGAAAAACAGAACGGCAAAACGACAATAAGCTGTCGGGGCGCACCCAAGTTAAGATGTCCTATATCTAGAGCTCTGAAGTCCATGTGACCGAGTCTGAATTTATAATAGAAACAATTCTGGAATTGAAGAGTAGATTTAACAGAATTAACTAGCATTGTGGGTAGCTTGTACAGCATAGATAATATACTAGTAGTACTACTACGAACTTACCAGTAACTAGAGTTGATACTACCTAAAAAGGAAGATTTACTCAGTAGGATCTGGTGTATCTACTGCATATTGAAGCACAAACAGTACATGACGAACAGTTGAACCCTGCAAATAGTATACTATACTGGGTACTAGTTCTATTAGAAAGGGTACGATACATACATATAGACTGCTGGTTCGCGGTCAATGTGAGATCCCAACTCGGCAATGATCACAGCTAAACGTGGCTCGTGCTTCACTGCTCCACCAAAAAAAAGAAAAAAGAAAGAAAAGCTGAAAGTGCGCAAGTACTACACAGTCAAATTGATACGCCACAGGCCCAGTGAAACAAACCAAAAAAAAGAGTGACAAGTAGTAGGTAGTAAGTAGGTCGGTATTTATTAGACCCAGGTTGACCAAATGCCGCGTTCGAGGCCAGTTTCGGCAATGCTCGACCGTGACTCATGTCATCACCTGCCTGCCGAACCAAACTGGTTTTGGTATCCTCTGAAGGTGTGGATCTAATGTTCGTTTTGATTTGCCGATCGATGTCTAAGGGTCAGATGAGGTGCTGAAGTACGTCCCTCGACTTGCAAACGAAAATGCGGCTTCGGGTGGCAGGCGACAAGCTAGAAAATTAGGGCTTAACCCTGTCAGATACAAAGTTAGTAATTGTACTCTAGGGGAAATGTATGGAGCTCATAAGATATTGTCTTCAGCAGAAACCAAAGTTAACCCCCCTTGATAGAACGACACAACAGCGAGCGTTCTCAAGGGATAGGCTGCACGGGTAATGCCTGGACGAGAATGAGGCTCAATAGGCAAGGGCATTGCCATGCTCTGGACTAGCCTAAGGCTCCAGTGCAATTTGAGATCCCCTTGCAGTTCCTGGCCGTCGACTCTTGGATGTATAGCCAGAGTCCGCGATGCAGCTGCGGCAGGTGGCATGCTTGAATGCGTCCCATTCGCCGCCACACTGTAAAACCATTAGGCATCACGAAGAGCTGCCTGCGAGCTTCAGAAAACTGTCTCGTTATTGATGACCTTGGTTATTACGTATAAATATCGTCAGACTGATGGCTTAAAAGGCGGGATTCAAGGATAATGTCTTTACCTTTCTCAGGACTACTTTAATCCTACTTTGTCTCTCTCGGCCCACTGAAATTTCTTTTAGTTGAATCCAGAAACAAGGGAAAAAATAAGAAAAAAACATCTCATATTTCACAAGAGCTATAAAATGGAGACCACCTTTGCAATCGAAGGCACCCCGCGCAATGATGAGGTGAAACTGCAGGTACTGCAGAGCATTGACGCTTGCGGCCTTTTTCGTCCAAAGGACGTCTCAGTGAAGGATTGCACAGGGCTCACAGGTGCTGAGGGTAGGCATATCGTTATTAATGCATTTGGAGTATGGGAGATTGGCATGCTAATATGAGAATTCCTTGAAGAGCCTGAAGCTGCCCTTACACCTGCACGTGCGCCGACACCCGAGCTGGAGCCCGAACCTGAGCCCGAGCAGAGCGAAGTTTCAGAAATCTCCGCGGGAGATACACCAGAAGATATGCAGGTTTCGCTATGCAAGATTGACTATGTGAGTCCGATCCCTGTTTTGCACAAGGCGGGTTAAATCGCGATGGGCGCGCCCATGCTAGGCATCCATATTTCTTTTAGGTCTATGATAAAAAGCTCGAGAAACGCATGTTCCTTCCATATAACCCCTTGAGAGGAGCTGACGAACAAGACACCAGCTTGCCCAGCGATGAGCATAGTAAGTGGGTGGTGGTGCTACGACGCGTGTTTTGCAGATATGATCAATCATTGAGCGAAGTTTGCATTGATATCAAAAGCCCACTGGTATTTAGTGTATTGCATAAGGCTATCCGTGATATGAGAGCCACTCTCGACGTAGAGCCATCCCACCCTGGCCGAACGACGAGATATTTCGATGGGTAAGTGTGGAACGCGTCTCCAAGTGAGACATACTGTTGACTAAATGACTACTAGAGAAACCGGATCAGAAAGATTGCTCAGGACAAAGGTGAGCTCTGTGTTGAAGAGCATGTAAACCTGCTGCTCTGGCTTGTCGAGGAACAATACGCGCCAGCTATTAGTGATATTGAGCACATGTTTCCCAAGTAAGCAATCCTCTTCTACGTGTTTCGCGGACTCCCATTTACACCCGAGCCATAGAGGAACTACAACATTGAATATTTTGCGAGAAGCGTTCTTTCCCAAGGACATCATTGTCGATGGCATTGCGGACACACCACGAGCGTATCGGGTCACCAAAGCTGAGTACAGAGTAGATACATACGGAAAACGATATCTTCATATCAAGGCAGTGTACATCGACTACGACGGTCATACTTTCGGGGCGAGAAAGACAGAATTTACGATATGGGATTTTCCTGGAATTCAGTATTCCTCTGACCTTGACGTCTTCCCATTGAAGTATCACCCAAATCGCCCCCACCTTGTTGCCGACCTTATGGCTTGAGGCCAGCAGATTATGGCTTCAAAAGGCCAGCATTTCAAAGCACACAGAGGTGAGTTGCGGAACAAACTCCGCCGAGTGATGGTAGATACTGCCGCTATTAGACGCCTTGGGTCGTGCTCGATCAAGGCGCACGATATTTAAACATAAACTTGTGGACGGCTAATTGATCGAGGAGCATCTTCTACTATGTACAGATACGGTCCCCGCATTCTCTTTCGAGGACAAGAAGTTCCTCTCGGCGAACATTGGAGACCTTGAAGACATCACTTTCAACCAGGAGGTCTTCCGTCAGCTTGTGCTCCCAGACCCTACCAAGGAAATAGTGCGTGTCATGGTACAGAGTCGCGTTAATGGCGTCGACTTTGACGACTTCACAAAAGAGTCGTTCTCCATTTGCCCGCTATGGGTGTCAGGGCGCTGCTGATATAGCTGATCCCTCCAGGCAAAGGAAAGGGTCTTATCATGCCACTTCATGGACCTCCCGAGGGTAGGAAAGACAATGACGGCTGAAGGTAATTCCTAAAACTCAGTCAATAGAATCTAAGCTGTTCCACGATAGCTGTTGCCGAGTATAGCCAGCGACCATTGTACACAATCACATCTGGCGAATGGGTACAGCCTCCGGGGACCTCGAGGACAATCTGAACCGGGCTCTGGAGATTGCGAAGGCATTCCGTGCCGTAATTCTTCTCGACGAGGCTGACGTCTTCATGGAAGAACGATCGACCAAGAACATCGCACACAACGCGTTAGTCGCCATTTTCCTCCGTCTTCTAGAGTACTACCAAGACATCCTGGTCCTCACCACAAATTGTGTCAAGAACATTGATGATGTGATCCACTCCCGCGCCCACATGATGCTCCAATACCCAAGCCTGAGTGTCGCGGCCCGGGAGAAATATGGCGGAATTTCGCGGTGCATATCGGCGGTCTCCGGCTTTCTGATGAGGAATACAACTAACTGCACAGCGTGAGCTCAATGGGCGCCAGATCAAAAACATATTCGAATTGTGTAAGGCCCTGGCTGTCGATAAGGGGAAGGATATCTCTTTTGATCTCGTGATGATGGACCTCGATGTTATGGAGTCTCAGGCACCCTGACTAGGCACTGTCTAACAAGAGATGGACCTTTCAACGCCTAGTAATTCTCAGTAATAGGCTGCGCTCTTTGGCTTTATTTTCTATATTCCCAAAGGTACAGGAGGATTATTTCATAGGTGCATATCGAACACGCACTATAAGTTGTCCTCTTTACATATTCATGTCTCCGATATCATATCCCTCCTTTCGACACGTAAGAATAGATTGAGGCAAAGTACTGCAGACCTTCTACCTAACCTGCTCTCTATGTATTTTCTTGAAAAAGACATAACTATTTACCCGGTACTTCAGACTACTCGAAACCCCAGATCCGCAACAATTGTGAGAACCTACCGGATAATATAAAAAGCTTACTTAGCAATCACCAACTTCCCCCCCCCTGTTATTACTGACCAACGTATTACAGTATACAGCTCGGATAGAAACTGTAACAGCAAGGCAAATATTGCTCTTCGTTAATTTATGCACTCACTAGTCACTACGCAACCACAGAACTTCTCACCGACACCCTACGGGAATCGTAAAACACGTATGGTATGCGTTCCCTTAAATAATGTGTTATTGAAGTCAGTCAAGCAAGAAACAGACTAGAAGGATTTGATACTGGGAAACACCAAGGCAATATGTTATGGGCAAGGCTGAGAGACCCTGGAAGAGGCAACGGTGTGATCGAACTACGCACTACGATGATTGGTAACTCAGCTGAGACTTTGAGGGAATGCTTAATACGCTGTTAGTTTGTGATACAAAAAATGTTAAAGATCATGGATAGAAACCCTGTCGGTAATATATGATCTGTCACGGAAGAATAGATTCGGCCAGAGGCTTTAAAGTTTGTATAGTGTGAAGACTAGTTTGTGCACGTTCGCCTCAAACCCTAAATCAACCGCAAGAAAGTGTCCTCAAGCTCTACACGGAGCTTCCCTACAATGGATACCAGTCATGTTCGGCCACCTCCTCCATTTCCCTATATTATACTCCGTATGGCATACTTTAATTGAGGTGTTGAGATCTGTCCACTCGACAGAGTAATTTTGGTGCTAATCTATGCTCAATCAGGCAGAGTCGATCTGGACAGCGAAAAGACCCTAACCAGGGCCCACATCTGCGGTTGTATTCTCAACATGTTTCCTCTTCGAGCTGATGTCGCCGACACATCGTCAACCACAACATACGCAGAACCCCATCGGCGTGGCAAGCAGAGGATAATATTATGGTTGGAGTTCCGAAAAGTAATGCGTGTCGAACAACACATGCTTGCGGAGACGGGTTAAGGTTAGTTGCAGCTTTTCATCAGATCTTCTCCCCTGAATGGGGCAATAAAGACCAAAGGATTCCCTGCCCTCCGATAGGGCCGTGACGAGCTACATCTCCATGCCAAAAAGAAGATACCTCTAATAGCAAGTGTAAAACATACAGTGCGACCTGACCCAACCGTCCTGCAATCAATGCACCAAGCGCAATCTCTCCTGCCCCGGCTACGAAAAGCGGTGGAAATTCATGCACCAAACCACAGGCTCCATCCAGAAAGACCAGCAGTGAAACGGCCGAAACCAACCCCAACCCCACAGAGAAGCTGCCTTGATCCTAGCGCGCCAAAGTATCGACGAACTGGCGGAGCCGGATCTAGCAGACGCCGCCTTAGACCTCCAACAGAAAGAGGTCTTCTGCTACTCACCAGGTTTCCCGCCCAGTTCGCCTCCTGTGGCAAGTGTGTGTAGGTCAACTGGATCGATTATGCAAGACGACCGCTCCTCAGCGCGCCCCAAGCGCTAGTGTGAGCGTACCGCGCGCTGGCGACCGTTTTCATTGGCCGGAAGTATAAGGATATGGCAAAGGTTACCTGTAGTCGACATATGTACTCCCGGGCTTTGAACTATCTGACTGGGGTTATCCAGCATCCGAGGTTCGCCACGACGGAGGAAACCCTTGCTGCTGGTATCCTGTTGGCTATGTATGAGATGGTGGACGGCATTACGGGGGCATCGTGGCTGACACATACGCGCGGACTAGCAACGATGATTCAAATGCGCGGGTAAGATGTCCACCAGTCTAGATTTAGATTGCCATTGTGAAATCTTGTCGGGCCTTTATGGTCGCCGACGCTCTAATCCGTGGGGAACAGTGCTTCCTTGGTGAACCATAGTGGAGGGCGTTTCTGGGCGAGCTGGTAGATATCGAGAGCCAGAGTTCGACACGAAGTGAACTGGGGCTTATTGTCGACCGGGCCTTTATAGAGGTCGCCTCCTGTCCTGGGTGGCTCGCTGAAACCAGTACACTGATCAGACAGCCAGGTCATACCGAGGCAAAAACAAATTTGGTGTCAGAAATCGTCCACGCTCGAGGCTGACTGAACGACCTTCAAGCAGAGCTCCAATGTACTCTCGTGCATCTGCGTCAGGCTTCCATTCTAGCGTGGCAGCAATTTGTCAGCCCCATTCCTTGGGACTTTGTCGATCCCTTCGCACAATCGTTGCTATATGGCATGCGACTAGGCATATCCCTGTTGAACCGATTGTTCATCTTACTCAGTGCGGATCTCCGTCGGAGATATTGTGGCCCGGAGCCATTTGAAGAAGGCCATATACCAGGTTTGCAGTCGCCGAACCCATGGAGCGCTCTAGATGCGGATGCACAGGAGTGGCAGGTTCGGTTTGACCCAGAGTATCTGCAGGATTCGTATCAGATTCACCCCAGCGGGAATTCAGATTGGATGGATCGCATTGCGATGTCAATAGGGATGTTGGGGATCCGGGCGTGATTTACGCCGCTTTCAGATATGGTACAGAAGATCTCAATCCTAGCTCTGTTGAAGTATGGTACCTGTTATATGAAACAAGTTGTTGCATTTTAGATTCCCCCAGAACTTCGATATGAAGTCTGGTCCAACAGCTTTCTTTTCCTATTAATGTCATGATTTACAATCAGTGATTGATGGTCCTGCTGTATTGCTTATATTATCAACAATGCTATTACTATAGAGGCTGTAACAAGGGTATGCTGTTTCCGCCTGTCCAAGGCCACCATAAAGATGAAAGGTCCACTCTCGAGAGAGACAGCTCAACATCTTTAACATTACATGCGGTAGTTGTTTATGTGCAATAGCATCATCCTGTCCATCAGGCCTAGAGAATGTGTCTCATAAACCCAACTCCACCGAGAGGGTACTCTCACTGCTTCTCTGGCTTGACCTTTTCGAGTTTGGGAAAGGACTTATTCCCAAGGGAGCTCGGAGCAGGAAAGCCCTGAGTACCAGGAGTATCCGGTTTGACGCTCTTCTCAATAATATCGAAATCCATGCCAGCTGGCCCAGTGAAAGCCTTGCAGCCCCAGTTCTCGCCACATGCCGCTTCGTTCTGCGCATCAGTATTGGATTTGTTACCACAAGGATTCATGATATTGCCCTTTTTCATCAGTTTGCCGCTTTGGTCCACTCTCGTCCATGCAACAATCTTGGGCTTCTGCTTATCCACCTTGGTTTTTCTCAGATCCTTGCTCGTATTTTCCAGGCGATACAGGAGAGATGCCATCACCTCACCACAGCTAGCCGAGGTCCGATGCTGATCCAAAGTGTACTCATCGCCAGCAGGTTGCTCCTTCTGATTCTTGTGGTCCTGGCTGTCTATGCTGACTTCCTTCAAGGCTTGCATAACATCCTTGGCATGGCTCTTCAAAACATTGGTAAATTCAGCAAATTCATCCTTGGGTGCAGGAGACTTGGGAGCAGGAGTCTGCGGCTGCTTCTTCTTGTCCTTGACATTCTTGCTGCCACTACCGTTAGGCTTCTTCTCGTCTACCTTCTTAGTCTCCTTCTCCGTGTAGATATAACTGTCGCCGCCGCCGCCCTTCATGCTAGATGCCAGATAGACCTCATCGCCGACTTGCAAGGCGCTCATGACACGCGGCATCTGGTTTCCGTTGAATGGCTTCTTTCCCTTTTTCGTGTGATCGCTTAACATCTCGTCCCAGGCGGCTTCAGCCAATCCAACAATTTGTTCATCGCTGAGTTTGGTGCCCTTTTTGAATTTGACGATGGACTTGTACTGGATGAAGTCGCCCTTGCCTCCCTTAACTGCCTGCTTTGTGATACCAAGGGGAACCGGCGTGGTAGGAGGAGGAGGAGGCGCCCTGGCTTCTAAATCAATCGGGGTTGCTCCTACCAGAGCGGCGAACAGGTAGAATAGGAAATAACAGATTTTGGGAAGCATTTTATGATTGCCCCCTTGGGATTAGGATTAAGTTGTATAGTAAAGGATTATTTCAATGGGTGAATGAGTGAATAATTTCAAAAAAAGAGAAAAGAAAAAAATGATAGTGAGAGAGTGAGACTCTGAATGAATGAATGGTTAATGAAAGAATGGCTAATGAAAGTAGGAACAGAACGTAGATATGGATGCAATGGAGAGATATTTATACCATTTCACAAGTTATGGCCATCTACACTAAGGTCGATGGAAAGCGAGTTCTCTATGCCAATGGGGCTGCTTCCATATGGATCACTTAGTCTATCTGTAGAGTTTGGCCCCAGCAATATCTTCCATCGCCCCTGCAGATCTTCCTCGTCCTGCGGAGCCAGCGTGACATCCGACAGTGGAGCAGTGAGCCGTTATTCCTCTTGGCTGGAACGCATAGCCTATACACGGACATGCAAACGACATGTATAAGCGATCCTCGAGACTCAGCGCCTGATATACTCAAAGCCATTGATGCATCGGGAATAGGAACCACAATCCTGCGTGCCTGCTCATTTTCTAAGTCTGAAATCGTCGTTTCAAAATGCTGTATATCTGACTCTGGCTTGATCCTGATACCCATCGCCATAGTTGGAGCCCCCATGGGACGTGATGCAGCCCCCCTCTGACTCGGAAAAGGCTTCTTTACGGCTCTTTCGCGGCGTGAAAACCATTGCCGAGTGTTATGTTTGGATGTAAAATAGCCCCTACGCAGTGGAACTATCTATAGCTTCAATCGAGGCATTTTCTCCGTGCTAGGTTCCTTAGTGAAATCGTACTTACTAATGGTAGTTGTGATATGGAGTGGCTTTCGTTACGTACACAACAACTACTCATTAATCGAAGCGAAGTCGATCAAGAGCTGCGTTAGAGCGAGGAATTATCACAATAGTGATGTGTAGGCGTCAGTCGGTATACTCCGCAGTCGGCTAGGGTATGGACCTTGCACGTGCGAGGGGGCGGCCGACCCGATAAATTTTATTCATCGGTAGCTTCCCGACGTTTCGGCACGAACCGAGAGGCCAGCTTTTTAGTGAAGCTCACTCACAACCGAGATTTATGCCCGAGCTTGCCGGTTTTTCCTTGGCGTGGCTGCCGATCAGCTTCAGGCGTACCCCCTGAACCATGCATGAGAACTAATTCTGGTCTCTTTTCTCAGATCTATACTTCACTGGGTGGTGTCAATGCTCGTCAATTTTTGTTGTTTGTTTCCACCCAAATGCCACCACAGGAAATCTGATACAGACAATTCCCACCCTATGACAACTCTTGCAGTATTTCCTGCGGTACCCTCATCATACGATTGATGCCACTCCTTCGCACTCTCCTATTCCAAGAGTGTGTGAATCCACTTCTTCACCCCCGCATTAGTCGCCTCGTATTATCGGCGCTAGCCCATGCTTGTCACCTGCAGGTTCACAACCTAGGTCTCCCACTTACCCTTTTCAGACGACCCAGTTTCTTCTCCCATTCATGCAGAATGGCATCTAACAAGCCAACCTCGCAAGAGGACAAGTATGTCTGTACCATGCCCCCTATCTCAACTGACTGCTAATCTAACCTAGGCCGTTCTCGCAACTCCCTGCCGATTGTCTGGTATCTATCTTGGACCAACTTTCCGTAGAGGAATCATTAGCTGTGTCTGCCACCTGCAGAGACTTCCACGCCTTGGCTGTACCTTTCGCTTATCGCGATGTTTCCTTAGACTGGTCCACGCGGCCTCTGCACCGACTCCTGCAGTTATTGCGATTGACATTGAACAATCCCGATATAGCATCTTACATTCAACATGTCAGTCTGGTGTCCTCCGACCCGGGACTCTGGGAAGACACCCAACCGGACATGGACTGGGAAACAGAGTCCCCTAATTTCCGTGATGTCATCGATCAGTCCATGGACATTGTCCGGCGGGCCGGGTTCAGCGACATCGATGACTGGACGCTGGGTCTCAACGGCGGAAACATCTACTGCTTTGCAGCGATCTTCCTTTCCCAGCTTCCTAATTTGAAGTCCCTGCGCCTAGACTATTCCCTAGTCTGGTGGGACGGTTACCCGGGTGTGATGCTCAAGCAAGCGCTCCTTGCCCCTAATGGTGTGCTGTCCACGTTCCAACATCTCGAGGTAGTAGACTACGGTGGCAACGTACCTCTCGGTGAGAACGAGGACTTTTACGGTAGCGAAGACCCTGATGGCTATCCTCCATACAATCCTGATCAATTCCTACCCTGGTTCTGTCTACCATCTTTGCGGCACTTGAATATCTGGCTGCGAGACATCGAAGGACTGCAGGAAACGGTCCCAGAGCTGCAGCTCGACAAACTAGAAACTCTCATCCTCGCACGAACCACCATATCCGATGCAGACGTGGCCTTCTTACTCTCCCGCACTCCCAATCTACGAACCCTCCACGTGGGGATGGCCTACGCCTTCGGTGTCGAGAAAATCGTCCCTGATCCACCCATGCTCGCCCAGGCCCTGAAGTCCGTAAGTAGTACCCTACATAGCCTCTCACTCGGCGTGGAACAATACCCTGGCAGCTTAGGCGACCGCTTCTGGGGTGGTGAAGAGGACCACATCTGCGATTCATTCCGTGGTATCCTGCACTCTTTCCCGCACCTAGTATCAGCGGAGATATCCCTCTCCGTCCTCCTGGGCTGGTATGTAGAAGGTGCGCCTGATCTGGGTCCTCTGCTGCCCAAGTCCCTGCGTAGACTGTGTCTACGGGAGGATCTGAGAATTTTTTATGACTTCGAGTGGGAGCAAGAAGAAGTGAAAAAGCTCCTCCATGCATTTCTCCCTACCTGGCGTGATCACACCCCTGAGTTGCAAAGTATTACCTGGCGGTTGCTGAACCAGAATTATATGGAAGGATGGGAGGAATTCCAGGATGAGTTGCGCAAGGATTGTGCCGATGCCGGCCTGACGCTGGAACTGGTGGTCGATGATCTTGGGACGGGACTGTGGAGCCGGGATGAGTCTCCTTTTGAACCAGCAAATAACGAATAATTAGAAAACAAAAGCCATTAATGGGGGTGAAGCTCTGATATGACCTGGGTAGAGTCAATCAATATAGAAGAAAATAATCTTCATGCGGTGGGACAAATTACAAGGATCGTCGATTCTCCCCAACCTGAACTCTTACCCATTGTAGAATTCCTTTCAGGACCATGCTCCAGGCGGCCTGTGCTGGGATCCCAGATCTTGATCGTGTCATATAAGAACCGGACGTCAGCTGTCGGCCATCCGCTGAGAAAGCAGCAGATAGAACCCAGCTAGAATGGCCCTCCAAGGTCTGTAACTCTGGATCCCATGTATTGTCAACACTTGGGCATCTATATATCCAACTAGGAATTCCTTTTTCAAATACCTTTCTGATTATTGCACTCTTTGGCGCAAACATTAGCCCCGAAGCATAGAGCTGAAGGGGGGCGGTATCGGCAATATGTATATTTTTAAGTATGAATCTTTTCGCTTCGTATAAGAAATTTGGCAACCCAGAACCTTTGTTTATCTATAATTTTTAGTACTA